TTCCATTACGAAGGAAGAGCTGATCTGATCAGGTCGGGTCACGTCTCTGTGGGTCCTTCATCAGGGTGACCTTTGGTGTGTGCTCTGGCTTCATCCCCCTGCAGAGGGCCACCGCCATGGAGGCTTTGTCCCTGGAAGGTTGGCCCAGGTGCTTGCCTGGAGAGTGTGGGGAGACGGCCAAGCCCTTCCAGTCTGTTGCTCTGCCTCTGGGACTCAGCTTCATGGGGGTGGAGTCAAGAGTGGGCTCTCGTAGCACCTGCCTCTAGTTTGGGCAGGCGCACCTGAGTGACACACCTCATCTGGTGGACGGGGCCATGCCGGCCCGCCCACCACGCCTCCTGTACGTGAACTCACATTCTGTGCCCGAGTCCTCGGTCTGGCCCGGTAACTAAGGAGCACCACATCTTCCCCAGGGCAACAGTTGCTCGAACGTGTCCATACGCATATGTTTTAAGAGAGGCACCCGGCACAGCAGGTGGGCCTGGTCTGAGTTGTGGCTTGGCCACTTGGGCATCGTGCCGCCCCTGCAAAGTGGGACAGTGAATACCCACCTCGTGGGCTGATGTGAGGGTGAGAGAGTATCTGTGAGGTGCTCAAAATATTTGGGGCACCTGATATGTAGTAACCATTACTGTCATCCTTGACTCTCAGAGGCCCTGAACACAAGGGCCCACCCTCAGTTCAACCCTGTCCCTTGTCTTCCAGAATCTTGGTCAACATGGACAACAACATCATTCAGCACTACAGCAACCATGTCGCCTTCCTGCTGGACATGGGGGAGCTTGACGGCAAGATCCAGATCACCCTCAAGGAGCTGTGAGGCCCGGGGTCGGGTCCAGGCACGGAGCCAGCCTCACGGTGGCCCTGCCACACACAACCTCTCCTCTTGCCTCAGTGCTGCTACTTGAACGCCTTCCCCGGGGGAAGTGGCCCCGGAGCCACAGAGGGCGGCCAGGAAGGACCCCGTCTCATGCTTGAATCTGCTCTCTGAGCTCCCGCCAGTGACTGCTCAGCCAGGGACAGCGTCACCTGGGTTAACACGCCCGACAGGCCCTCCTTGTCTGCAGCTGCGCCGCACTTTGCCCATCGGGTGGGGGGGGGCGGACCCGCTCTCCCCTCGCTGACTCGGCCGCCGTTTTTGGCTATTCCATTGACTTCAGACCAAGGAGCCCTCCCTCTTTGGTCAGTTAAACTTGAACAGTCTTGATTTTCAGTGCAAATGACTTTTAAAAGACACTGTGGAGGATACACCTCTTTCTCATGGACTTTGTCCACACCAGATGTACATAACGGAGCTGATCCACCCAAACCCAGTGGCTGCTGCTGACCACCATGTCTGCTCAACTGTTGTACACATTTCTCACGCCCGGTTTTCATTCATGTTATATATATAAGTATATATTGTATATATATGCAACATTTTATATTTTTCATGGATACATTTTTATCATTTCAAAAAATGTGTATTTCACATTTCTTGGACTATTTTTGTAGTCGTTATTCAACTATGCATTTTGTATACTCATATAGTGTTTAGTAATAAAATTCCTCCTATGTATGACTTCAAATGCTACGCCTGTGCCTTTTGTGGGAGTCTTTCAGGAAGAGAGGGTGGAGGTAGACAAGGCCTCGCTCCTTCTCTGCCCGTGAGCGGTTTGCCCTGGACTTGACGGGCGGAGGAAGTGCTGGGCACTGGGGAAGCCGAGGTCCCTGCCCAAGGGCAGCAGGCTCCTGGTGCCCAGATCTCTGTCTTGTGTGGTCCCACAGGCTGGAGGTTATGACCTTAGGGCCACTGACTGGACACGAAGACGTCCTGGGAGAAGGGTCCAGGACGACCTTGTTGCTGGGGGCCAGCAGGCAGAGCCGGGGCTGGGAGCGGTGCGACCTGACTTCGAGTGCCCACTCCGCCCCTGCGCTCCGGGCCAGGCCATTTCCCCAAGAGCCTGCTCCTGCCGGCCCACAGAAGCTGCTGTGCTCGTGTCTTCTCAGTGAGACCCGTGTCGGTGGAAGTGCTCACACCACGGGAACTGACATGCTGCCCACCAGACCCCTTGTGTCCCTAAGGAACAAATCACAAACCACTCCTCCCTCCCTCCCTCCCTCCTCTCCCGGCTTACCGCCTCCAGCCCTCAGTTTCTCGGGCTACACAGCGAGGGGTGTGGTCTGCGTGGGTCATTTGTAACTATCGTCTTCGAGCCCCAGGCTTCAGTGGTGGGTCTCAAAAGCTACCACGATGTGGGTGCAAGGACAGCAGGCAGCTCTCGAGTATCCTCCCGGACTTAATCGTAGCAGCTTTGCTTTTCTCCACATACATACGAGAGTTTCTCACAAACTTTTGTCTGCACAAAACATTTTCTTTAAAGTCTGAAAACCCTGGGGATCTCTAAGGGCCCCCAGCCCTGACAGCAGAGTGTACGGTGCTCGTTCCGAGGCCCTGCCTGGAGCTGGGGCCGGGGCTGCAGTTGGGCACGTGTGGCACCGGTCCCGGGTACAAAAGGAAGAGAAGCCTCAGGACTCAGGACTCGGTGATCAAGATAAACCATAGTTCAGTGCAACTGTGTCTGTTTAACAACCAAAAGCTTTACGATGAACAAAATATCAAAATTTGAAGTCAGGATCAGTACTGATGCCTCCCACGGCCTCGGGCTCAGACAGGGCTTGCCTGGAGCACCCAGAGTGGGCACCTTGCCCGCTGCAGGCCCCACCACTGCTCCGACACCACCCGAGTGGCCAGAGCGGCGTGATGTGTGAGGGTGAAACGGCAGAGTGGGTGCCGAGTGCCGGCACGTGGCCGGGCACGCTGCGGTCCCCAAGTCTGCGCATTTCCTTCCTTCCTGGGCTTCCGGCCTCCTCCCCTCCGGGAGCCAGCTGGGAAGCTGGGAGGTGGTGCTTGTCACCCTTGGCTGCACATTGGAACCGACCAGGCAGCTTTTGTCTCAGCGCAGACCCCACCCTGGAACGATGAACTCAGAATTGCGGGAGGTAGGGCCCAGGCCTCAGGACCTTTGAAAGCCCCCTTGGTGATTACATTGCACGATCAAGTTCGAGAACCACTGCTCTGAAGGGGCCAGAATTGCACTGGCGTCTGGCTGCAGGAATACGCACAGGGAACTGGCAGTCTCGGTGCGAAGCCTGCTGCAGAGCTCAGGGAAGGGGGGCCAGCTCCCAGCCACTGTACCACAGCCTGCCTCCAGCGGAGCCACCTGTCCGTTCTCTTCCCCTCCACACGAGGAGACGAGGGCCGTTGGGGCCCAGAAAGGCCCCTGGACCTCGAGGACAGAGCACCGCCGGCTGGGAGGAAGCCCAGAGCTGCTCTCACAGAAGGTCCAGGAGGGACGCTCAAACCCGACACCAGCCACTCAGGGCCTGTCCTTCCCTCCAGAGAGTGAAAAAGGTGACAGGCGTGAAGGGAAGTCCTTTCCAAACAGGGGGCCACTAAAGAAAAGTAGCTGCTGGCGGGTGGGGCAAGCACCCCCTGCCTGCAGGGAGCGTGGGCCTAGTAGTCACAGTCAGTGGGTGAGGGGAGGAGGCGATGGGTGAGGGAAGCCCACGTGTGGGCAAGAATGAGGGAGTCAGTGAGGAGACAGGGAGGAAGGGAAGATGGGAGGCAGGAAGGAGGGAGGGAGGGAGGGAGGGAGGGGGAGGGGGAAGGACAAACGGAAGGCCCGGTGAAGGGCAGAATAATGGGGTGTATTTTCCAGACCGTTACCCCTCTGAGTGTGGCCCATGGGCCAGCAGCATCGGGACCACCTGGGAGCGTGTAAGAAACGTTTCCACCTCAAACTAATGTAATGTTCTATGTCAACTATATTTCAATTTTTTTAAAGGGAAAAAAATGCAGACGGGCCCTGCCCCAGACCTACGGAATCTGCCTTTGTAACGAGCTCTCCAAGTGACCTGCGTACACATTCACATTTGCAACACTTTATTAAACTACCAGTGTATCCTAACCCTAACTAGACACATCGTAACCACGCTGAAAACTTGAATAAAGACACCCACGTGCAGCCCCTCCCCCAGATCAATTCGGTCAGAACTCTGAGGGTTGGGGCCTCCTGGGCAGGCTGTCCCTGCACCAGCCCCCGAGGGATCCGTACAAACAGCCAGGCCTTCAGAACTGGGGGGCTTCACGGAGCTGCGAGCAGCCTACGTCATCTTAAGAGGGGACGGAGACAACCCAGCCCCTCTGAGCTCATGGCCTCAGCTCCAGTCATGTCTCCTCCAGCACACAGACCCAGCACGGCCCAGAGCAGCCCTGCTGTTCTCCTCCCAGGCTCCCTTCTTCCCTGACCCTGCTGGGAGGGGGCTCCTCCTGGAGGGACGGTCTTCACCTGCCAGGGCTCAGCCCAGCCGGTCGAGGGGAGGAGGAGCCTGTCTTGTCTTCCCATGTGTCACCCCCAGCCTCTGGGCACAGTGACTGCAGGGCTGGCTGCTTCCAGCCCAGTGGCCTGCTAAGGTCCCCCAGGGTCAGAGGGACCTGAAAGCCAGGGCCTTAGGGTCTGTCTGGCGCCACTGTTAAGAGTCTGGGATCAAGGAGAGGCACAGCTCCAAGCGTCAGCTTTGAAAGGGCCTTCCAGACTGTCCAGCACCCGAGGGGACAACTAATGGCTTGCAGAAGCATCTCCTTTGGCCCAAACAAAAGAATTTAAATTGGAGTGTGGTTGTGAACATCTCAAATGAAGAGGCTGCACGACTTAAAGGTTTCCCAGACGCTGCTGAACAATCTGCACACCTGGCAACTGTTTGCTGGACCCGTGGCTCTGTCCACTCCTCGTTTCTGTTCAGGAAACCGAGGGGTTGGTGGGCGGGGAGAGGGGGGGTCCAATTTCCCCAGGCAGCTGGGGGCCACGACAAATGCAGCAGCTTAGCTGTAACACCAGACAGGGGTGGCAGACATCATCAGCTGTCACTCATTAAAATATGCGTTCTCTGACTGAATGTCCCGGGGAACCTGGGTGGGGCGCTGGTGGCCGGAGCTCTCGCCATGGCGTCGGAGGCCTCTACAGCACTGGGATCCACTTGTTGTCCTCATTGTAGAGGAAGGACTGCTTGCCAGGGAATTCCGGCTGGTACGTGGCTGTGGGGACAGAGCAGGGCAGCATTAAGAGAGAAGAGGCCGAGGAATAGTATAGGAAACACAGAAGCCAAAGAGCTCGTATGTACGACCCATGGACGCGAACGAAGGGCGTGAAGGAAAGCTGGTGAGAAGGGGGTGCAGGGCAGAGGGGAATAAAAGGGGGAAAATGGGGGCAATTGTAATAGCATTATCAATACAATCTATATTTTTTTAAAAAAGAAGAAGAGAAAAGGCCAGTTGCTGGAGTCTCTTTCCTTCTCTGTACGTCAGAGCTGGCGAGGCCAGCGGTCCCGCCCCGGCCCCTGCACCAGCCGTGTGGGGAGACCGATGGAGGAAGTTCCTGCCCAAGGTCGTCGGGTGCTTAACTGGCCCAGGCAGGCCTCCAACATGGCTTCCCGCCTTCTCTAACTCACTTTAACAAGAAAATTGACCAGAGATCTTGCTATGAAATTTGGAAAAAATATACTGAGCGAATCTATACTCTTAAAGAAGCAAGGTGTCGGCTTGATGAGATTTTGTTTGGCTCTAGTTCAGAAATTCCCAGACAAGCAAGAGCCAAGACATCGTGGGCACTCTAGGCCGCCAGCTGCCAGGAGCACATGGGGCGGCGGGACCACCACCGGGGAGACTCTCTGTCAACACCGATTTGGCTGCTGAGGGGCCGTGCTGGGCCCAGCTGGTTAGCCGCAGAGCTGCCGCTGGGGGCACATGGCGGTCCAGGCAGATCTGCACCCACCGGAAGCCAAGAGGGCAGATGTCTCATGCGCTCACACCCAGGAGGCGCCTCCGGGAAGCCCACCTTGGGGTGGACAATCGGCCTGCCTGGAGTGCCAGGTGTCTTGCACCAGGCACGGCACAGAGAAGTTACCGAGAGAAAGCTCCTTGGGGATGGGGCCCAACAGGGTCAGACGAGGCTGTCTGCAGGTCCCCACCCGCCGGAGCTCACCACTGGTCTGGAACATTATTAGCACATTTACTGAACGAAACCGAGTTCTATCTGGACTGACCAGATGACCTTAGTTAAGATCAAACCTCCGCAGGCTTGTTGGTTTGATTACATTTCCAAGGCCAGAGCTATGAGAATGACTTTCTCCCTGTCCTGTCCACCTTACACCCTACTCACAGATGTGTTTGGAGGGGACGGTGTCTCCCCCACCAGACGGACACCTCTGGGGGAAAGCACAGGGCTGAAGTCGCCTTTGCCTCCCCAGGGTGGGAGCAGCACCCACACTCCCCGAAGGGCTGCACGCGGCAGGCCTTCCTCCGCCCGCACCAGCTGCCCATCAGTCCCGTGCCACCAGGTCTGGTCAATGTCGGGGGGTGATAAAGAGCCAAGGGGACCTACAGACAGCTACGGATAGGTCGGTGGGTCCAGAGACCACCCACCAGAGTGAGTCCCTCAAGCTATTAGCTCTCAGGTAGGTCCCAGAGGGGACAGGGTATCACCGCTTACGCCGCCGGTAGAAAGGGGATGGAACTGGGCGTCTCAAAAGAGCTGCCCCAGTGAATCGTCCTCGGTTTATTTCTCAACAAGCCAGGCACAGGGGGAAAGGGCCGTGCTCTGCCCTGGCCCTGGCTCCCTGAGACCTGCGTTCCAGGGCCGCCCCCCAACCCCCACCCCGCAGAGAGTGACTCAGCCAGACGAGGCCGGTCGGTCTCAGCATTTTAAAGAACATGGACTTTTCTGAAAACCTGGCCAAAGCCACAGCTCCTTCCCCAGAAAACGGTGTCTGCAGACAACTCGGGGTCCCAGACCCAGACCCCTCGGTGCCTGTCTCTGAGCCTCTAGGACGCTCACAGTCCTTGGCTGTGGATCCCTGGCCCGGATCATCCCTGAGATGCCTTTCACCTTAAGAAAAGAAGAACCTTTCATACTCTGAAAGTGTACGCTGAAAAGTCTTCTAAGTCTGCTCTCACCCCTGTAACCTGTTTGGCAAACAGCCCACAGATCAGCGGCATCTGATGGCCCAGGAATGACAAACAGCTCCAGGTTCGGTTTTTACGATCATTTCAAACACCCCTCTGACCTGGGCCAGGCAGGCCGGGCTGGGTCGGCACCGCCGTCCACCGTCTGGTGTTGGACACGAACGAGGCACTGGAGACGAAAAGCTTGGGGGGGCCGTTGTAGTCCACGATCTCGTACTGACCGGGGCCTGGGAGAGGCGGCGCCGGGGGCAGAGGCGGGGCGGAGAACTTCAGGTTGGGTTTTCTCCTGTAGAAAAGAAAATGCAAAGCTGTCACTGAAGCCATCTGTTGGGGAATTGGGAGTGTTTGGACACAGCCAAGACCTGCCCCACACTGTCTGTGAGAGGGCCAGACATGGTGCGGGGCGGGGGAGTTGGGGGGGCACTGGGGACATGGCGTCGGGGGACCTGCTTCTTCCTGGGGCCTGTCCTCAGGGTCCCCGAGACAGTACATTTAAGACAGCCCAGCCCCAAGTGGGAGCTGAGGACACACTGTGGCTGTAACGACGCTACTGAGCCACTCAGGAACAGCAGGAGGCACTCAGCTCGTTGTCAACTCTGTCCCCTGGGTAGTGCCTCGCAGGAAGGTCTGTGTGAAGACTGAGGCTTCACGGGGGCTCTATGGGAAGAGCATCGGCAATCTACTTGTGATGTCTGCCTTGGCCAGGGGACAGGCCTCCCACATTCCTGGGGTTTGCTGCCCCCAAACCAGTGGATCTCTAGAGGCCACCCCAACATTGGCATTCCGGAATCCTACCAAATACCTTCCCGTCCAGGCAGGACACGGGAGTAGGAGAACGTTGGGTTGGAAATTAAGGGACGTCTGCCTAACACTCACCACTTATGTTGGAATTGTTTGTTTTCAGGTCTGCCTCCCCTTCTTCCAGAAAAGGGGGTCTTTCATGTCTGGTGTCGAGAGAATAAGTGAAAGAGAAATGGCACCTGGACTTAAACCCTGGCTCTGGCGCTAATTTACTCTGTGCCTCAGTCTCCCCAACTGTAAAATGAGGAAATTGGGCCTGATGACCTGTGAGGTCCTTTCCAGCTGTGACATTTCATCAAGCTTTGACTCAAAGGGGGTCCACTGGGTTGCCCAGGGAGTTCTGGGATTCTTACGGGAGTCAAACGGCTCCCCTGGCCACGCCATAGAAGGGCTGCAAACTTTCGCCTCACACCCGAAGCTTCTCCTAAGGTGTCTCAGCACAAGGGAATGGAAGGTCCCCAGAGCCCTGAACAGCCACAGGAGCCTCCCCCAGCTCGAAGCCAACCCATCGGAAGAGAGGAGGGAACAGGGCTTCCCGGCCACTGAAGCTCTGCTGTCCCCTGGCCAGCTCCTTCTAGAATAGAGGTATTCTTAAACTTGGGGAGCAAGAGGGGACCTAGAAATGTCTTTTCCAACCTCCTTGTTTTGCTAAAGCAGTTGGTGCCCAGAGAAAGCGAGTCACCCCCAGTGCAGAGCAGATGGGAGGTCACACCAGCACCGGAACCCAAGTGTCAGCTGCCCACCAGTTTGGGGAAGGCACCATGGCGGGGGCGGGGAGCTTTTGGGTTTTAGAGCCACGCAGACCTGAGTCTGAATTCCCGTCGTGCCTGTCACTGGCTGCGTGACCTTGGCCGGTCCGCTGACCGGCCTGCCTGCGGCAGGGCACAGCACCACCCACTCTTCCCAGCAGAGCTGGTGAACGGGGAGAAGGCACGTAAGGCACCCAGCGGAGTGCCAGCACACAGTAAGTGCTCAATAAAAGTCGTCATTGTCATTGTTATGATCCCTGCAGCGCCTCTGCCCGCTGCTCGGCCTCAGAGGAGCCACCGAGCCTCAGGACACGGAGACTAAAGGGCTCCCTCCCAGAGCCACCCGGAGAGTGGACGCTCCCACCCCCGGGGAGCCTTTGGAAGCCACGGTAAACCTTCCCGAGGCTCAGGCAGCTCTGACGCTTATTTTTAGAACAAAGGTGCCCGTAGAAGGGGGGAAACACGTGGCCTCCCGTCCTCCCCTCCAGCTGGCATGGAAGAACGGGTTATAGTGTGTGATCAACCTCCTCTCCCCTTAAAAATCAAAGCCGGCTGCTCCTTGTTCTGGCTTGGGCCACCCCTTCAAAGCACCTCAGAAATCGGATGCGTGCGGGACTGGCATCCTTGAGAAACAGGCTTGACTCCCGGGCATTAGGTCTGAAATGAGCCAACCGCTGTGGGAGGTCACTGTCCGGGTCACCCCCAAGCCCGAGTCTCTGAGAAGACCACGAGGTAGCTGCTCTCCCAGCCGGAATGGCTTGCAGGAGGCTGAGCAGCCCGGGAGAGGGACCCGTCAGCGTTCTTGGGGGGACTGGGTGGGCGTGGCCCCGTGCCCTCCACTCCCTCAGCACCTCCGGGGGACCTGGACACCGCCAACTCTGCTCTCTGGGTCTGCAGAGAGTGCCGGCCACGAGTGCAGCTCTGCCCCCGGCACTCTGGGGGGTCCAGGCTCTTCTGTGTGAAGACACAGACCCTGAGAGCTCCTGAGGGCGTGGCCACCCACCGCCAGGGACAGCCGTGCTGGTGACAACTTCGGCAATCGCACTTGGCTTTGCCCTCAGATGGGCTTCCCCGGTCACTAGCTGTGTGTCGTTGAAAAAGTGTCTTCACCCCTCCCTGCCTGTTTATCCTTCTGTGAAATGGGGGGCTCATGATACCTGCCGCCCAGGGCTGTCATTAAAACTAGCTAGTGCTTGGTACCCGCATTGGTATTTTTTAATTTTTTTTGAAAATATGAAATGTAAGACTAGAGATACAAACTACCTTGGGAATACAGAGAGAGACTAATTGCACCTGAGTGAATCCAGAAGTCTGCCCTAGCAGAGAGAGCACTAGCCCTGAAAGGGAAGCTGGAATTCTTCAGGTAGAACATGTGGGGGAGGCGGCATTTCCAGCAGAGGAAAGAGCAGGGGCGGAAGTGGTAGCCCCACGTGACAGGAGCTGGGACACGAGGAGATAAAAGATGCGCCACCCAGGCTGCCTTCAAACCGCAGTCGCCCCACGATTCTGGGCTGTTTGCTTGTTTCTGAACATCTGCCCTCATAGACCCCGATGAGAAGCTACAGGAAAAGCTTCTATTCATGGCCCTCAGTCCAGCCCAACCTGCTCTGTACCTGCTCCCCTGCCACCTTCCAGAAACGCCCCACGCCACACGGTAGCAGCTCCACGCCTTCGCCCGAGCGGTCCCGTCCGCCAGGAGCGCCCCTTCCCCTGCAGACTCTGATTCAGTCTTCCCTGTTCTCTGCCTGCAGGGAACCCTCTCTGACTGTGGCGCTCTCCCCCACCCCCACCCCACCGGGCTCCTGGGGGAGCAGGTGTTGGGGTCCCACGGGCCTGGACTCTGCTCCGCGCTCCAGCACTGGGGCAGGTCCACGTGTCAGCTGCGCAGTCCACGGACAGTGCCGCCTGCAGAGCACGGGCCCAGATGATATCGGTGCACCTGGCCCTCCACACATTCTAGCCATTCTCTCCTTGGCACAAAAACGGGCTGCATTTTTTATGCTCCTTGCTTGCCCAGCTCTCTAAGGGGGAGGGTTCTGTCTGCCCGACTCATCTCTGAGGCCCCTGACTCATCTTCTGGGACATGTGCTGAAGGGCAGAGAAGAGCAGAGGGGCTGAAGCAAGGAGGGGAGCCCAGAAAAAACGTCGCCCCAGCCTTCCTGTTTTATCATCACCCAGGGCTGCCCCCTTCCACGGCTGCGGGACTGGGCAAATCCAAAGGTCAGGCTGGATCAAACCTCGGGCAGCCCTCAGTGCTCTGTGGCCAGGGTTTTGTGAGCCTCATGGCTCAGTTATGAAAGCCAACCAGGCCCTGCCCTGTGGAAAGAAAACATCTGTCAAAGGCTCTGCGGTGGCCACAGCTGGATTAAGTGTGTTTGCAGCTTCCAGCGTGAGCTGTTTGCAAATCTCCCGAGAAGAAAGGGTGCCTTGGAGGACTCAGCAGGTCGCTGGGGGAAGGCTTCGGGACCCTCGGGACACTCCCAGGCACAGCTTCACTCTGCCTCGGGGGTTCCCAGGGTCTGGAGGGATAAAGGGGCAATTTTTTTTCTCATCATTAAAGGGCAGCCGATGCCTCTGGGGTGGAATGCAGTATCTGTTTAACAGGGTAGCAGGTGACAGATTACAGTGCTTGGGAAGAAGCACCCCATGTCTAATTGAAAATCCCGGGGGAACTTTAGGTGGGTCCCTCGTAATTACCCAAATTGAAGCGGGGCCAGCAGGCTTGATTCTTGGGCCCTGGTTGTGACAGCGCAGCGTGTCGGCGCAAAGCCGGGGACTTAAACCTCCGGGAAGTGGCTGGGAGGTTAGGAGAATGTCAGTGGGTGCGTCACCTCCTCACCGGGAGCGTGAGCTGGGTGGCGGCAGCTGGGAGGGACTGTTTTGATCTCTGACAGCCCTTCTCCCGGCTCGCCTTGACGGACTGAGTCAGCGCTGAGACACGCTCTCCGGCCCTGAAGACGGGCACCTTGGCTGACCCCTCTCTTCTAAAGATCCCTGGAAGCGGACACATCAGCTTAGGTTTTGAGTCGGCAAGGTGAGCCATAGCGAAGGGACACTCTGGGACGTGTTCTGCAACCAAGGACCCCAGAAATGGCCACGCTAACAGCCTGCCAGCCCCTGGCACAGACCTGCCCCCCAGGGGCGCCGCCATCCTGGAAACACCAGTCCAGCGTGGAAAGCCCTCTTCGGCCGTGTGCCGTTCCTGGTGTGCCGTGTGGGTCACCTTATTTTATTCTCCCGAGCACCTTATGAGCATCTGCTCTAATTCACAGAGAATGAATTTACATTTCCCAGGGAGTGAGGCTACCAGCCCCCCGCCTCACCCCTGGTTCTCAAAGCTGGTGAGTGGGAAGGCGGGAGGTTGGCAGGGGTGGGGGCAGGGCCCTGGGTCGGCCTCCTGAGCACTCCTGTCAATCACCAACCTCTCACCTGGCTGGGACCCACTCCCGCTGGTGGGGAACCTGGCTGACCACTCCAGGGAGAATGAACATCTCCCCCATTCCTCCTGAAGAAAGCAGAACCAGACATCACTTTGCAAGCCGGAGCCCTAGCCCAAAACACGGAGCCAAGCACTTCCAACCCAAGACACACTGTCACATGCATGTTTGGTGCTGGTGACAGGAAGTCGAGCAGACCTTCTCAGGGGCCTGACAATCCCGGACCATCAGCGCCCAGGCCCTCCCGTCCCTCCTTCCTCCAGGGACACGGGAGAGCACCCAGAACTCGAATTGAAGAGGCTGAATTTGGACATTCCCTCAATATTCCAACATTGAGCTGTATCTGTTCTTCATATTATTACATCATTTACCATCCAACGTACATGGACAGATGCCTTTTTAGAATAACCCAAAGCACACCTCAGCTCTCTGCTCTGTTTCTCAAACGAAATCACACATTTCTCACTTTCATCCCCTCCTTGTCAATCTAGAACTATATTTTTTGGACCTCCTCCGTGGGTCCAGGCTGGCTCCACGGTCACTGTCCCCTCCATGCTCTCCCGAGTGGCATGCTGAGCACACCTGGGGTCACGAAGTGTCAGAAATGAAAAGAGCTCCCCTCTTTTCACACACGCAGAGACGGAGGTGCAGCGAGGGGCAGAGAGCGGCCCCGGTTCTGCCGCAGACGCTGGGACACCATCCACTCAACAAAGTAAACCTGGACCTGAGAGACCCCGGGCTTGCCAGGTTCCTTCCCTGCAGGCTTTCTCGGAGCCTGTCCTACGCCCACGCTCTCTGCAGTGGCCCCAGGGGCAGAGGGTTTGTTAGGGGCAGTGTTTCCAAGGCTCCTTAACCGAGGACACACAATTCACAAAGTGTCCCAGAGAGCCAGGGAGCTGGACACCCACAGGCACCCGGCCCCAGAGCACTGCCCAGCCGGAAAGGCTGCCCTCGGGGAGGTGTGGGCACACGGCCTGGTGTTCTGAGCACGCTCCTCGCCCTTGCCCTGAGCTGCTCCCAGGTGGGCCTGGCCGAAGGTGTGCATGGTGTTCTGCTCACCTGAGCAACTCCACAGCCTCCAGCACAGAACCTGAAACCTCCAGAGCCTGTTGATTGACAGATGCAAATGCCATTAAATGAGAATATTTCAAACCACTCATCCTAACTTAAGCAAAGCCGAGTGGCACCTCTCCGGAGAAAGCTGTTAAACACTGAGGATTTGCCACGCTCCTTGCACCAATGCCTTGATGCAGCTGCCAGACGTGTGCTGGGGGCTTGAGTGGCCCGGCTGATTGCCAGCTGCTCCCTCCGTCCTGATACGCCTGTAGGTTACCGAGCAGTAGCAGCTGTACTAGGAACGGCTATGTTCAAGCACTTTCTCATCTGATCCTTGCAGCACCCCCTGAGATAAAGTTCTCCACCTAACAACGTGGGAACGGAGGGTCAGAGACAGAAGTGTCTGCAGGGGACAGAGCCAGGGCTCCCACTCGGGTCCGCCAAGCTGGTCCTCTTGCCCACTCTGCTGTCCAGTGGAGCGGGGGACAGGCAGTGCGCTGCGGTGCTCCCGGGCAACCTGGAGGCAGGAAGTCCCCGAGGTGCGGAGACCGTCTGCTCCTGCAGACTTTCCTGCCCCAGTCCCGAGGCCCGGAGCCTGTGAAGGGTCAACGTGCAGGAGCCCAGGACCAAAGGGCAGAAGCGGCTTACGCGGTGGGCTCCACCTGAGGCCTGGATCCCTCCTTGGGACCCTGAGCTGCCCTCGTCAGGTTCCAGTCTTGCTTCCCTCCCCGACTCCCCTCTCCTCACCCTGGTCAGAGTGTGCCCGGTGCTGCCCGCCTCCCCGGGTGCCCAGAATTCTGACCGACTGTGGCCACGAGCCCACGCGCCTGCTCCGAGGTGCCCAGGTGCCTCTACAGGTGGTCCCAGCCCCCCCCCCCCCCGCCCCGGCGGCCGGTCCTGCCTGGAGAAGACTATGCAGGGCTGAGGTCTGAGACGCTGACAGCAGGCCCGTCCTTAACTGCTGTTAGTTTTAGAAGTTCTAGAACCATCTGAGGAATAAGTAAGCCTTGTGAGTTTTTTAGCCTCTTAGGTGAAAGTAACATTAAATTAAAAAGTAAACGTAAATTAAAAGTAAAATAAAAAGTATATAAATTAAAAGTAAATAGACAGGATATTAAAAATGGTAACACAAATCCCTGTCTTTTCAACTTGTATTAATATTAAGTCACCATTTGTACCTACTATTCATATGCCAAATATGTGTGTGTGTATGTGTGTACATTTTATTTATTTATTTTTAGAAAGAAGGAAGGGGAGGGAGAAAGAGAAGGAGAGAAACACGGATCAATTGCTTCTCACACACACCCCCAACCAGGGATCTGACCTGCCTTGCAGACACGTGCCCTGGCCAGGAATCGAACAGGTGACTTTTCAGTTTATCAGATGATACCCAAGCCACACCAGTCAGGGCATATGCCAGATACATATTTTTAAATCTGAAAACAACACTATGGGGCATGAGTTATCCCCACTTTACAGACGAGAGCATGGAGGCTCCGAGGGGCTCGCACAGTGCCCACGGTCACACAGCATAAAAATGGCAGGGGTGCAGTTTCCGTCCAGGTCTGGCCCACATCAAAGTCTAGGCTTTTAACCCATCAGCACAAAACTGGGAGAGTGTCGCTGCTTCAGTATGTCCTGCCCCACCCCCCAGGGCAGGTTTTGTGTTGTGAAACAGAATAAAGTTGGCACAAGGGGAGTGCGGCCTCACGGGGAATGTGGGAAGAGCCAGATGGCCCCGAGCCCCATGCCCGCTGCACCGCCAACTGGTGGGGTGGGCTCGGGCCAGGCTCAGTCTCACTGAAGCCTGACTTCCTCCTCTAGGAAAAATAACTCTTACAACAGGGTTATTATGATAATTGAATGAGATGTTAAGTTCCTGGAACATAGTAGTTGCTCAATAAATATTATACTGCCAATACACATTTATTGAGCACCTACTATGTGTCAACAAGTGTCCTGGAGAGCAACCTGGCATAGCGTCCTGACAAACTGTGACTCCCCTTCCTTTTCCGCCCATGTTGGGGTCCTTCCCAGAACCACCTTTCAAAAGAAATCAGAAAAATCAGGACTCACGGGATGACAGTCTTTGTTGGAATTTTGATGTGCTCATTTGGGCTGTAGTAACCGGGTCCCGGGACTGTTGATGTCACTTTGAATCCACGGCCAGTTTTTGATTTAAAACAGGACATTAATACCTTTGGCGATGGTTTCACAAGGGATTCATTGATATTATAATGCCCTAAAGAGAAGGAAATATTAAAACAGAATAAGAAACTCTTCTCAAATAAATAAAAAGCTATACCTCACTCTGAAGGACATATCGAATGACTGGAAGGTGACATCAGTCCAAGATGATCACATGGAAGGGCCGCCACTCATGGAACACGAGCACCTGCACCACATACGTAGCTCACTGGACCCTCCCAGCAGCCCAGCAATGTGCCTGCTGTCCCCTCCGTTCTAAACGCAAGCCATCTGAGACTAGGCGACACTAAATAATTTGCCCAGAGACATTCATCTAACCAGGGACTGAGCCCAGCTTCCTCCTCTACACAGTAAGAAGAATAATTCTTCCAGCAACAGCTGGTTATAACAGTTAAATAACATTTTAGGTTCCTGGCACATAGTAGCTGTTTCATAGCTATTTTGCAACCAACAAATATCTATTGAACACCTACCCTGCAGACCCGGGGCCGTCTGTCTCCAAAGCCCTTGCTTCCCCACCACGCCCCGTCTCAGGAAACTGTGGCAGAATGAAAGTGACCTGACTGTGCACAGCCTTCCAGGAAGAACAGGAAGGTCTGAGCTGGGGTGCCGAGGAACAGTTTTGCCCACTGGGGGTAGAAGTTGTGCAGTCCAGGAGCAGTGCTCGGCAGAAGCCTGGAAGACGTCTGCACACCCAGGCCCCCCCTTACTCAGAAGTTAAGAAAATGATCCAGCGTGATGGAAAGGCTCTAAGCACCAGGATGCACATCAAAGGTCTCTACACCGTAAGGAAGGATAGCCTAAGTGTCTACAGCCCAATCTGAGGGAACGTCAGCCCTGAAGATGATAAATATGAAGACCGTAAGGCCACATGGCCAAGTTTCTGAAAATAAAGGTGAGTGAGAAGTAAAATAAAGCCTGAAAGTCTACATGTTCTGTGATGACATCTGGATACAAATGGACGTGTCTGAATAAAAACAGGCAGGAACCCAGGAAAGTGGAAGTAATTACGAGGTCTGTCCAGAAGGTATCAAGCCATGCAATGTGAAAAATAGAGACATTTATTGCACAAGATACAAATACAAGAAACATTGTACATAGGGCAATGGCACCTCACTCCCCTTCCCAGTAGGTACATTGGGACCTCACACAGTTCTCCCAATCACCATCAGCTGCTCCATTGTATTTTCTTGAATCTCACTGATGGTCTGAAATCTCTTCCCTTTCAAAGGTGATTTTAGTTTTGGGAAAATCCAGAAGTTGCTGGGCTCCAAATCTGGGCTGTAGAGGGGCTGAGTCACCTGGATGATTCGATGTTTCACCAAAAAACGCTGCATGAGATGTGATACATGAGCAGGTGTGTTATCAGGATAAAGCTGCCAATCACCAGCTGCCCATACATAGCCTTGGCTTTCTGAATCATCCCAATACTTTCCAGTGAGGAATGTTCAAACTTAACACAAAATCTGTTGCAGATTCATTGCTCTACTTGCTCAGTTTGAATCTGACGGCCACACAGTGCACATGCTCACTGAACAGTGTCTGCCACCCCCACTGACTAGTTCAGTGAGTCATCATTGTTCACGCATGTGCATTTCAGTCCACTCTCTTTACAGGTTACACTGATGTCGTGCAAACTGTTCACCTTATATTAACAATGGCTGGACTTTTCCCAGACAGACCTCATATATTAGTGGTAGCATTCTGGGGCAGGGGGGCAAATATTCCAAATTTTCTAAACATTGAGAACTTAATTTTGTTTTAAATAAAATGTACTTTTCATTGCCAAAGTACTGAAAACATCATTACTACCCGATTAGCAAGATTTTACTTGGATGGTCAGAGGCAGGGACGGCAAGGACAAGGGACGCGGTGCCTCAGAGAAGCAGGAGGACAGACCGTCCCTGGGCTGAGGGCAGCTCCCTCAGGAGTAGCAGACACCTGAACGATGCCCCCTTCCTTCTGACTCGGCAACTTCACTTTGAGCGGTCCCCGTGCGGAAGGACTCCCGATTGCACACAAGCTGTGAACTGCGGGGATGCCGGCTGCCACTGTATGTACACCAGTGATCGGTTCAAAACAGCGGACATCTCCTCAGAAGACGTTTGTTCCTTAACCGTGGTTCGCCATTCAACGGAATACTATACGTCTGTTTAGTACACTCTGGTTTCCCTTCAGGTGTATAGATCTTTCCCTTTTTTCTATACACCTGTTTTAAAAATGATGTTCTAGGAGGATTTTTAATAACTTGGAAAGATGTTTCCAGACTATAGTTAAGTTTTGTTAAAGCGCATGTCCAGCCAGCAGCATGTATAACACTGGTTTGTGTTTCTCAAGTTATTTTCCTGTTTCTTCCCTCCCCTCTGTCTCCCATTTACCCCTACAAAAAAGAAAAAAGAGGATAAAGCAATGCTTGATTATAAAATGCTGAAAGGCAGAAGTAAAAAAAAAAGGAACTCCCCCTGCCACCGGGGCTCAGGGGGCACCGAGGGTGACATTCTGGTTCTCGAGGGTCGTGGGACTCTTTTGCAATGCGGCGGGGCTCACGCAGCGGATCCAGTTCTGCACCCCACGTTTTTCAGATGGCACTTTAGCACAGGCATTTCCCTCTGTGGTTGGTACATGCAAACTTTAGAAAAGCCAACCAGCGAACGGGTAGAGGTGAGCATGTTGCCCAGGCTTGAGGGCAGGGCAGGCGGACGGGCCCTCAGCCTGAGGCAGGGCCCTGGACCTGCAGGACAGAGTGGGGGTGCGAGGGGGGTGCCATCTGCGCTCACGTCTGCTTTTGTCCCTCCAGGGGGGAAGTGGGACCACAACATTGCTTCCAGAGGTCAAGGCGGAGTTTTTCTGGCAGGCAGCAGAGGTGTGGGAGGTGTCAGGCATCACGTAGGCCTCAAGCCCAGTAGGCCTGGGTTCAAATCCAAAGGGACCCTGGGCACGTCGCCTGCTTTCTAAGTATCACTGAAGCTGTAAAGTGGGCATAAGGTATTAGCAATAGCTCACACCTTCTGATCGCATGCTGGGCAAGTGCTCTGCGGGGCAATGCGTGTCAAGCCTCGGACTCACAGGAGGAGTTTAGCAGCTATTGGTGCCTCCCTCCCCCTTCCTGTTCTCTGTCCTAAGGGGCCGGGGCCCCTCTGACCCCCCTCACAGGTGGTTGGCTGTGGGGGTGCCACACCACCGGCTCCCTGGCAGGCCTCTGGCCAAACCCCAGGGACACCGGCTTTGTTCTCCTGTGTAAACAAACAAGGCGGGGCTGTGCCCTCGATGATGCAAGGCGGGGGAGCTCCGGGGAGGTTTAGCCTCCTAATTAGGGCTGCTTTTGTTATTTGGCTGCAGACTGATCTCAGCTCTAATCTGGATTTGCACAAATCTGAAATCTGACGTGCGCTGCAATTTCAACCACGCCCCCCCTCCGAGAAGCGTGACTGCTGGGGCAAACCCTCCTGTTCCTCCAGGCCCTGGGGTCCCTTGGGGTCTTCTGTCCCCATTAGAAAAAAAGTCTGATAGAAAAAGTGCTTATGGGGTGCAGACCTCGCTGAAAACTTTTCACTTGGGCTGGCAGGCGGGGGCAGGGGAGGTCGGGGCACCGGAGGGGCTCAGTCACGCAGGGAAGACACTTGACCACATGCTCTCATGCGCTCCCGAATCCTGTCGATTCCGGATGTCAGAAAGGAATGACAGGGGAATAGTCTCCTCAGTCAGACACCTCTGCCCTTGGGTCGGCCGGCCGTGTGGTGCTGGGTAAAGTCACTGCCCCTCTTTGAGCCTCTTCCTCACCTGGATCACAGGCCCAGGAGTGCGGACTGTGAGGACAGGCGTGTTCGGGCCGCAGGGAGTGGGCGCTGGGTGATTGATAGGGCTGTTTTCCTCTGTTTGGGGGCTAGATGGTGAGGTCGCCTCCAGGCACAGGAGGAAAGGAGTCCTGCAGCTGAATGCCAGGGCACTGGGTGTCGTGCGCCCCCAGCGGTGGCGCCTGGGGTACAGGGATGTGCACACTTCGGAGGTGAGACACCACTTCCCCACCTGGCTGTCCCAGGCAAGTGTAAAAGGGGACGCCAACCAGGCTGCTCTGGGGACATTGCAGGAGCCAGCCACTCTTCCCCAAAGGGGGACAGCTGGTCTTTGCCTCCACCTTCTCCTCTTTGTTCAGCACCTGCCTCCACCCCCACCTCCCCAAGGCCCAGCTCCTTGCAGAGACCCCCTGCAGGAATGGGTGCCCACAGCTCAGGTCTGCACAGGAGCCCTTAGGTCAAGGCCAGTGCGAGGCGGCTGCTCACCTGGGGCAGGTGCCCTTTCAGCAGTAGTGCAGTGTCCTCGCTGGGTTTTGGACACGAAGCCGGCTCGGGCACTGACGTTATTTCTCTGCTTGCAGCACGAGACAGAGGCCTGGGGAGAGAAACTCGGCATGAGGTGCCCGGTGCCTTCCCTCCCTTCGTCTTTGTCACCATGCCTGGACCAGGGTCACGTTTGGGGACAAAATCAAATTTAAACGTGTCCTCAGAACATGAACTGACGTGAGCAGAAAGGCCACATGGACAGCACCTCACCGCCACGCCAGCCAGAGCAGTCCTCGAGCTGGGGTCTTCCTCAAGTGTCTGGCACCCCAGAGCGACAACCCACAGGCCCGGCTTCCAGGCTCTCGGTGCCACGCACAGGGCGGGCGACCCTGCACGCACAGTTTAATTTCCCTGAACTTGAGTTTGCTCCTCTGTAAACCGCTCAGATAATCCCTCTTCTACCCAACAGAGGGGGGTTGAGGTGGGGCTGGGGGGCAGGAGGTCCCTGGAAATCATCTACAGAGAAGTGTTTTGCATTTTTTAAATATATTTTATTGATTTTTTAAAACTGTGTAATGCTGCACATGCAAATCATTTTCATTGTTTTTCCTAGGGTCCTCGCTCTTTTAGAACACTTAGCTCCACACCGCCACCCCCCCCCCGCCCGACTCCCTACTGTTCAAACAGCCCTACAAACGCAGGCTTTGGGGCACACTTGGAAATCGAGTGCTTTAAGGTTACAATTGGGTTTGTAAGCACAGCTCTTGTCTTGATTTTTCTGGACTGACCAGAAATTAAGAATGTTGGTCAATTCACACGCTATACATTTGAGAGCATCCAGTCTGCTGGAACTCTAAAAATAACAGAAGAAAAAAAAAAAAAGAGCCGTGAGATCGCTCTTATGTTACACATGAATCATAAATATTTCAAATGCCAATTCGCAGTCAGTCTTCTGTACTCATTAGATAAAGCATACCATAAAAACCGTTCCTGCGATGGCTGGGAATATTTACCGAATGAGTGAAAATATTTGCTGGGGCCAGGATGGGCTGATTTTTCTGTGATACTCCTTTGTCAGAAAAATGTTTCTCAAGAAATGCAGATGGCATTTTGATTTTGTGTTGACAAAGGTGGAGGAATTCAGCGTTTCCCAGGGTCCTGATGGCTGGGCCGCCTGCGGAGCCGGCAAACAAAGAGATCAGATGGAGCAGGCTAATCACTGGACACAGGGAGGGGAGCCAGGTTGCCGGGGAGGAAGTAATAACAGAACCAAGGCAAAGGATTCCAGCGGAGAAGTGGGGATCGTGGCGGCAGAGGGGGAGAAAGGCCTGGGCGGACCTCCAGGCGCAGCGTGGCTAACAGGATTATCGCCTTTCTGCTCCACGCCCGTGGGCTCAACCATTGTTCTCCGGGTCTGAAAACAGCCACCTGTAACTCCAGCGGTACTGCAGCCTTCCTCCCCCGCCTCACCGGCTAGAAAACCAGTGGGAAAAGAGGGCATTTCTGTACACGCTGAGTGTGTGTCACTGGGAGACAGCACCACAGGCGGTTCAAAGAGGGCAAAGCTGATTTACTGTACTGCGTGGGGGTTGGGCGGAGTGTGGCTATGTAGTTCAATGGAAAACACACACACAGCGTGGACAGCATAATCCTGACGCTGGGGTGTGGGGGAGCGAGGGAGGAGGAGACTATGAAAGAAACCACGCCTGATTTTTGATGGTGGTTTGCTTTGGGGAACAGAGTTTTAAGGGACTTCCACTTTGTAGTTCATGGGTTTCTATAATGTTTGAGTATATTTTATGATGAGAGTATATTATTTTCAGAGCCACATTAAAATAATAATGAACAAAAAAAAACCCATGCACCTAAAATTAATCGGTTGGCAGAAGGACAGAGCTGGCTTGGGAAATGGTCTTTTCTAGATGAATAACTGCACACTAATTACTGGGGAGTCAATCCTTTGATGTTGTCAACATTTACTGCGGGCTTTCTGAATACTGGGGCCTGTGCTGGGCATTGCAGGCAGGAAGCTGGGGGAAGGAGCACCCCGTGGGGCGGGGAAGCAGGCTCACAGAGATACTGACTACCCCTGCAAGGTACACAACAGGGCGACTGCCAGGAATCTTTCTTATCACTTCATTATCAGGCCTCGACCTCTCTCCTGTTAACATAACAGCTTCCTAACTGGTTTTCCAAAGCCCACTCTTGACCCGAACTGTAGTCCATAAAGCTGCTGGAGGGAGCTTCTTTAAAAACTACACCAGATGACATCATCCCACACCTCCCAGCCCCGTCAAGGGCTTCCCAGTGAAATTCGAAGTCCTTCCAGGGCCTTCAGAGCCCCACAAACTGCTCCCTGATCCTCTCATCCCCTCCCCTCCTAGCTAATGCTACTCAAACTACCTTCTGGTAGTTCGCCAGGGGCTAAGCTGCCTGCTGTTCCAGGACTGTTGCATATGCCGTGCCCCCAACTCTGGCTCTCCCTTCAGTCCCAGCCTCAGAGCCCTCTCTGACCGCCCAGTATAAAGTGCACGTCAATGCCTACCCCTCGCACATTCTCTCTTTCTCAGGCGCCGCTGTTCTCTCTCACAGCTGGCACCAGGTGCAGCTCTCGTCAGTCTGTTCACTAGTCCTTGCCTTGAGCTCCCCAGTGGAACCCGGGCTGCCCCGGTGGCCGGGCGCAGGGGGGGCGCAGCTGGGTGACCCTGGGAAAGTCCCTGTACCTCTCTGAGCATCAGTTTCCCCTTCTGTGAACTGAGAATAAGATAACCCACTGCATGGATTCTTGTGAATGCCAGGGCGGATGAGAGCGTGACACCACGGGCCATGCAAAGTGCTTCATCGTCATTGTCACCATCTTCCAGCTCTGATTACCCCAGAGGAAGGCTCCCTGGGGTTGTGCTGTCAACGCAGTAGCCACTGGCCATGAGTGGCTACTGAGCACTGGACACAGAGCTGGTCCAGGTCAAGATGAGCTGCCCGGTGGTGTCCAATGGGTCCTAGACTCACCAGAGTGACCCCTACGTAAGGTACATAACTGTCCAGTCACTATACTGTGTGCCTGGAGCTAAGATAAGATTATATGTCAACTGTAATTTTAAAAAATCCTTTTAAAAGATGTGTTTCAAATATAAAATATACACTGGATTTGAAAAACTTAATATTCTGAAAAATGTAAAACATCTAATTAATAATTTTATATTGATTAGATGTAATATTTTGAATATACTTGGTTAAATAGAAATTATTATTAAAATTAACCTCACCTGTTCCTTTTTACTTAAATGTGGCTACCAGGAAATTTTAAATGATGTATGTGGCTTCCATCACATTTCTATTGGACGGTGCTGGCCTGGCGGCCACTCACAGTCTCTAAACACATTGTAACTGATTGGTTCTGTCATAGAAAGTGGGCGGGATCTTTGTGCTCAGAAAAATAAGTACTTATAAGTATTATAGAAGAAAAAGGAAGTGAAAAATAAAGTATCTGAGACCAAAATATTTTGAAATATGGCACAACAATACTGCTCACGTACAAGTCATGCCTTGTGTGTGCTAAGTGCTCAGCCCAGGTTACCTCACTTGATATTTGCATAAACACTATGGGCTAGACACATTTCCCCATTTTGCAGATGAATAAACTGAGTCCTGAAAGGTTAAGGAACTTGCCCAAAGCCACGCAGAAAGTGGTGGAGTCAAGATTTGAACTTGTTTCAAGCTGTGAATTATATACCATTCTGCCTTTGTGATTCCAAAGTGATCATAAATGGCATAAACTCTTAAAAAACTGGATTTTCTGATATGGAAAGATAAAGGTTTATTTCCCTTGGAAGAGTCTAAACATTCAATGAATAGTGTCTGCAGGTAAAGGGGTAACTGGCACACTCATGGTCAGAGGTGCGACACACTGGCAGGAGTGAGACCGGTGAGTGTTTCCCGGGGAACAGTCCTCCCGTGCTCCCCGCCGGCCTCCACGTGGCCACAGTTTCCTCTGGGTTCTGTAAATCCCCTCCAGGAGTCTTGCACCAGCCTCACGTACCAATTGGGAACCCAACACATGCTGACTGGTTTACCAATTGCATTAAAACACTATTTCTCCAAGTTCCTGATTTAGTAAACCACTCCTTCAACATAGATTTAGTGAGCATACGCAGTGTTCTTACATTGTAATGGTTTGGTGCAGGAGTTTCAGTTTTGAGAACTTTCCCAAAGCTTGGCAACTGGAACATGCTGGAACAGGAGTTGCTGAAGTCTTTCTTTGAAACAAAACGTGACGGGAGAGTGTACGCATTAGCTGCCGGGTACTTAGAAACGATGGTGTCCAGTCGGGCACACTGTGAGGAGAAAGCCAAAGGGATCAGCACTGTCACGTAATGTGGCTCCGCAGGACAGATGTCCGAGTGCCGGTGCCCAACCACAGGTCTGAAAGCATTTTATAAAAGGTCAAGCTTGAGCAGGTAGCAACAATAAACTGACATCAGGCTTTGAGGATTGGCTCTGGGAAAACGCAAGTTCAGAACTGTTTGAACTTCTGTAAACTAACCAAATTACTCATCTATGTTTAGGACGTGGCCAAAATAATTTCGCCACGGATGCATTTTCACCCAATCCTGCCTCCAGCCACTGACAGCTGACTCACCATCAGCTGTTGGGTGATTAATAAGAGGGAACCTGTAGACGTTCTTCTTGTAACCGAAGCCTTCCTTCCACTCAGAAGGAAGCATCCTGCCTTCTTTCTAAGGTTAAATGATCTGAATTGCCTAAAGAACGAGTCTGTTTCTGACGTCTTCTGGGTACCAGGCTCCAGAGAGATGCCTGTCCACCCACACCTCCTGTCCCTGACTTATTACTGATTTCATAAAACCCTGCAATGCTTTTGCTGTTTCAACAGAACCAATTCTCCTTCCAGGAAGTCACAATAAACCACTTTTACAAAAAACAAACAAACAAACAAAAAACCCAGAATCAATGTTTGCCAGTGAAAAAGGACAAAAGCCACAGAAACTAGGCGATAACATCACTTTACCCAGGGACAGTGTGGCCAGGGTTGGAGCCCAGCAAAGCCCAATATTTCTCACTACTTTCTGGCTAAAAGCTCAGGAGCGTTGCCCTGGGTTCCCTCGGCCTGGGGGGGTGGGAAACCACACACGCACAGAAAGTGTGGGCAGCGGCGGGAAGGCGTGAGCCCTCCCCCAGCTCCTCTGTCCCTGCGTGGTGGCCACTGCTCTCAGCACCAGATCCGAGGACTCCCGTGGTGTGTGGGGGATGGGCCGCCCCACAGAAGCAGGAGGGCTCTCGTCCAGGGTCTCAGCTGCTCAAAGTCTAAACTGGGTTTCAGTCCCACCTCTGCCTTCTCCAGCTCTAGCAGATTCACTGATGTTCCCAGAAGTAAGGTCACCCCAGCCCTCTACTCACTTCGTTGTTGCATTTTGTTTATTTGTTATTTAGTTTAGAGAGGGGGGAGAGAGGGAGAGAAACATGAAGGTGAGAGAGAAACATCAATCAGTTGCCTATTGCACACGCCCCAACCGGGGACCCGGCCACAACCCAGGCATGTGCCCTGACCGGGAATTGAACCGGAGACCTTTCGCTTTGTGGGACCACACCTAACCAAGCCCCACCGGTCAGGGCTGCCTTTGCATTTTGGGCAATAGTTAACTGAGCAGTTTTCATGGGTTGTTGCATTTACTCCCCATGGCAACCCTGGGTAGTGGATATGATGACTATCCTCACTGCATGCATGAGGAAACTCAGCTTATCAGCTGGTCAGGGGGCAGAGCCGACATTCTCAGCCAGGCAGTCTGCCTCCACCGTGTGATGTGGAGTAGGGGAGCGGCCCAGGCACCCCACTCCAGAGAGAAGGGGGCAAGAGGAGCGAGAGCAGTACATGTGGCCGGTTACGAGATGAGCAGCCGATGAATGGCTGCAGGAGGTTGTCGTTCAAGAAGCATCCCTGCCCCGTGTCCCCTCTGCCCGGTGGTATCAGCACACCTCTGCTCTTTCTTTCTTTTTTTTTTAACTTCCATGGAAGGAGGGTGGTGAGGTCAGACCTTCCTCGGCGGTGCCATCTGAGTCACCCGAGCAGGCGAGCTCCTGTTTCCGAAGCGCCGTTTCCCAACGTGCGTTCCTTGGCGGACCATTCCATGCGCTAGGCTTGTGCTGGTGGTGGCAGCGGCTGGGACAGGGCTCGCCAGTCAAAAAACATTTGAGAAACCTCATTCCGTGTTCCCACTGGGAAGGTTCGTGGCACACACTGACACATGAAATGCTCTGAGATAGTCTGCCATGCAGAAACCTGTCCAGACTTCATTCAGTTTACTGGACCATCGAATCTTTTTAGCCTAGAAAACCTAAGTATGTACGTTTTGGGAAAAACTGCTCTAAAACATTCCAAGTAGAGGTGATGTTTTGTAAAGCACTGTAATTTGTCTTGGAGTGTAGCTGAAGTAATGCTCCCTCACCAGCCCTCCCCGCCCCTGGCTTTCTTTTAACGGCCAGGCCTGTGGCCTCCGCTCTGGCCACACGCTGGCATTTGTGAACCTCTCACAGCACGCACGCATGATCTTTTCTAGAACTGCTCCTGACACTGTGCAAACAGAGAGAGGCCGTCAGAGTCTCCTCCCACCTGCCTCGTGCACCTCCTGGTCCTGTGAGGAATTCTGAAGCAGAGCTGCGGGACGATTGATGAAGTTCATGTGCAGTCTGGACTGAGTGAGATGACAGGTCTCTGAAAAGGCTGGGTGTAGCCACTCCACTACTCACCAGGAAGCATCTCAGATTCACAGACCCAGAGTGTTTTGGGGCCACCTCACCCACAGTCACACTCCTCCTGGTGGGACCAGTGTCAGTAAGGCAGATCTCTCCCTGACGAGGGCCACTCTTCAATTCCTGAGTCGTTGGGTCCAGAACCGGAGGTGTTGCTAGAGGGGCAGGCCACTCAGAGGGCGCGGGTATGAAGTTCACAGCCAGCTCAGAAAGGAACTAGGTCAGGCGTAGGGATCCCCTGACAGATCTAAGGGTATAAAAACTTACGTGTTTATAAACACAAATATAAATTCTCACATCCGTCAAGGAGGGGAGAGGAAGCCTGAGGAACACGATGTGTGCCTTGTTTGGGGTTTGGCTTGAACTTTTTCGGGATCTGTAAGGCCTGATCCGACTCTGCGGTACTCAGACCTTCACCTGGGCCCTGGCTCCTCCCCAGAGCGCAGCCGCGTCCTTTGGGAAGTGACCGCACACAGAGCCTCCCAGGGACCCGGCCGCGTGCGTCCTCTGATTCAGCCCCTTCGCTGGCACCACAGAGGAGTGGGCTGTGCCACTACTTGGCAAAGAAATTCGCGGAGAAAGCCTGGGTGTTGCAGGAAGTATGGTTAGTGACTCAGGTGGTAACAATCATAACATTTAACCTGTTTACAGTGCTCTGCAGTTTCAAAGGGTTTTCCACCCCTCGCAGTGGTAAGGTGCCCAGCGCCTCCGGGGAGTCTCCACTTTATGAGCCAGCTCAGTGCAGGAGGGTGACGTGCAGGAGGTCACATCAGGGACCCACAGCAGGGAGTCAGGGTTAGGCCTTAAGTCTTGTCTCTCGTGCCAGGGCATTGTGAGATGAGGCGCTTCTTTCCCTTGTCGCGTTTGAGTCTCTACTCTCGGGGCCCGGGGCAGAAAGCGAGGTGCAGGCCTGTTGTTCTGTGCCATCTGCAGCCCGTGCGGCCCCGGCGTCTTTGCTAACAGGGAGGCAGCTTCGCAGTGGGTTCGCTCCCGGAGCATGAAGCTCCACCAAACTTGAATTCCAATAAGTAGCCCCATTCAAAGTGTCTTCAACGGGGTGTGTGTGTGTGTGTGTGTGTGTGTGTGTGTGTGTGTGTGTGCGCTTTTAAAAATCAATTCCAATGTCAGGCATTATAATGCATTTCTGAAAGAGATTATTACAACTTTTTAAGGGATAGACAGCCTATGTGTTTTGTTAATAATAGGGTTTGGGTTTGCTCTCTTTTTCATTTTTCTTTTTAAAGATTTTATTTATTTATCTTTAGAGGGGAAGGGAAGGAGAGAGGAAAATATCGATGTATGGTTGCCTCTCGTGCGTCCCCTGCTGGGAACTGGCCTGCAACCCAGGCATGTGCCCTGACTGTAATTAACCCGCAATCCTCTGGTTCGCAGGCCCATACTCAATCCACTGAGCTACACCAGCCAGGGCTCTTTTTTACTTTTTTTAAAAATATATTTTATTGATTATGCCATTACAGTTGTTCTATTTCCCCCCTTCATTCCCCTCCCCCTGCACACCCCCTCCCCCACCATTCTCCCCCTTTAGTTTATGACCATGTGTCTCAAGTTTTTTAGATTCTATATTTTCCCTACTATTCTTGCCCTCCCCCTATTTTCTACCTACCATCTATGCTACTTATTTTCTGTACCTTCTCCCCCCTTCTCCTCCTCCCCTGTTGCTAACCTTCCTTGAGATCTCCATTTCTATGGTTCTGCTCCTGATCTAGCTCTCCTCTTAGTTTGCTTTTGTTTTAGGTGTGGTTCTTAATAACTGAGTTTGCTGTCTTTTCACTGTTCATCTTTTTTATCTTCTTTTTCTTAGATAAGTCCCTTTAACATTTCATACAATAAAGGCTTGGTGATGATGAACTCCTTGAACTTGACCTTATCTGAGAAGCACTTTTTCTGCCCTTCCATTCTAAATGAAAGCTTTGCTGGATAGAGCAATCTTGGTTGTAGGTCTTTGGATTTCATACTTGGAATACTTCTTTCCAGCCCCTTCCTGCCTGTAAGGTTTCTTTTGAGAAATACACTGACAGTCTAATGGGAACTCCTTTGTAGGTGACTATCTCCTTATCTCTTGCTGCTTCTAGGATTTTCTCCTTCATTTTAATCTTGGCTAATATAATTATGATGTGCCTTGGTGTGTTCCTCCTTGGGTCCAACTTCTTTGGGACTCTCTGAGCTTCCTGGATTTCCTGGAAGTCTATTCCCTTTGCCAGACTGGGGAAGTTCTCCTTTATTATTTGTTCAAATAAGGTTTCCACTCGTGGCTGTTCCTCTTCCCCTTCTGGTACCCCTATAATTCGGATGTTGGAACATTTAAAGATGTCCTGAAGGTTCCTAAGCCTCTCCTCATTTTTTGAATTCTTGTTTCTTCATCCTTTTCTGTTTGGTCATTTTTCCTTCCTTCTGGTCCACTCCTTTGATTTGAGCCTCAGTTTCCTTTCCATCACTATTGGTTTCCTGTGTATTTCCCTTCATTTCAATTAGTTTAGCCTTCATATGTTCCTCTAATTTGTGGCTAAAATCAACCAGTTCTGTGAGCATCCTGATCACCAGTGTTTTGAAAGGTGCCTCTGAAAGTTTGGCTATTTCTTGGTCACTTAGAGTTATTGGCTCTGGGGCTCTGAGTTGTTCTTGAGCCATAATGTTTTGCTCTGTTCCCGCTAGTTACATATGAGGAGTGGAGCCTTAGGTCTTCGCCAGGGCGGGGCCACCCAGGTCGCTGGTTTGTGACCTGTATGTGGGGGCGGGGTCTGAGAGGAATAATAGTGGTCCCCTCTGCTGCTTCCCGCTGCTGGGGCCGGTGCAGTCCATCTCACTGCTCGCTCCTTTGCTGGTTTATCTGCACGCGAATGTGTGACTGCAGTCATCCTTCAGTGGGTCCCCCTGCTGCCACCCCACACCTGGGATTCGCCCACGGCTGCCTGCACGCCTGGGTCCCACGCGCCCGGGTGGGTCTGGTGGATCTTTCCTGTCTGACCCCGCTCTGCCCCTGGCTCTGCCCCTCTTAGTGATTTGGCTGAAAGGTTCATTGTTGTGAGACTTCTGTATAGTTCAATTTTCTGTGGTTTGGCTGCATTTTTGTTGCTAAAACTTTATTGTTTTTAAACTTGGTTGTGTGAGAAGGCACAGTGTTTCCACCTACGCCTCCATCTTGGTAGAAGTCCAAAACCACACTTTCCTTTTTTTCACTTTTTAACTTCAGTCTGTCTTACCCTAGTTTGACCCTTTCCCTTGCTATACATATATTTTTTGGCCGATTTATAAATATTCAAATAAAAGCTACCTCTGCCCAAGCCTGGCCAAGAACAATGACACTTCATACAGCTGCTTGCCTGTCGGACTCCGCAGAGATAAAGAACCACGTCCGACAAAGAAGAGAAATGGGGAGGGAGGAGCATCGCTGCATTTCAGGTCGCAGCCTGCCTTCTCTTCGGTCCCAACGGATTTCTCAATAATTTGAATAATCCAATTAGTCTAAGCAGTGTAAAACATCATACTAGGGAGAGGTGTATAATACTAATAGCTTTTTGCTGGTATGCCTAAAAATCTCGGGAAGACGTCTGCTTCTTCTGCTCCATGATGACAAAGCTGATTTTGGATGATTAGGTTCTGGCAACGTGTAGTGACGTCAGGGGGGAAAATTAAAGACACAAGCTCTAACTTACCTGCACGAAATCCGGGGAGGCGGTTACTCTCCTAATTAGAACTGGGGCCTTTGGAGAGAGAAGGCACCAGCTGCTGGATCTGTGATTATGTACCACACGAAGGGAACCACTAGTTACTGCCCGAACTCGAGAGAAGGGGGCTCACCATGGAGGGGAAAGCGCACGTCCCTTTCTTGGACAGCGAGACGCTGTTGGACACTGGAGATTGGTGAGTGACGTTGTAGAACCCAGGACCTGGGATGTCATCCTGAAAGAAAGAGTGCGTGGTGTCACCGGGACGTGTTCGGCTCCGCGGTGCCTCTCCCCAAGTTTCACACCCACTGACGCTGAGCCTCGCCGTAATCCACCAGGGCGGGCACCGCCGCCACTTCCCAGTGCCAGCCGGGCTCCAGCACCTCCTGACCTGCCCTGCTGCTGTGGTGGCCTCCGAGTGCTGAGGCTGGAGTCCAACCCGGGCTGGGACCCCCAAAGCTCTCACTCTTCCTGCCTCCTATGTGCTTTATTGCTGCCGTTTTTGCACCATTAGAGGCATGAGCATAAAACAGGGTATTAAGTGTGATTGAGGTGCAGGGCCGTGGACATCGACTGGGTACGCCGAGCCCATGGGGAGGGGAGGGGGACCGATTCCACGCAGCCACACCTCGCCTGACTCAGCTTCCTCGTCAGCCTTTCAGAAGAGAAATCAGGGAGTGTTTCTGTTTATGAAGCAAAATGAAACAAAAACAACCTTCATCCCGAACAAGGCCGTTTCTGACTCTCAGACAATAAGAGGCAGGTGCACGGGGCTCAGGTGCTGAGCGATGCGGCGTGTTAGGAATAAACAAAAGTTTGATTTCGAGGCTTAGTCCTGCTGTAGCCGTTCACTGACCTTCATCTCCTCTCCCACACTGGTCGCCAGGGGCGGTCCATGCTGACAGCAGTTGGCTGAGCAAGAAGCATGAAGCGATAAGGGTGCCGCTCTGTCTCGAGGGCTTGCTGGACGGCGACCCGGGGCCAGGAGCTTTCCAAAGGTTGTCTCATTAAACCCTCCGATGCCAAAGGGACCACTGCCCTCGCTTAACAGACAGAGACACCGCCACATGTGCAGACGAATTTGCCTACGGCCCTCCTGCGCTCAGGGGCACCTTCAGGTGGTACCTGAATCCAGTGCTAAGCGCAGGGTGTACACAAGTCCTTTGCGGTGGGGGCACGATCAGGCCCATCGTAAGGAGATCGGGGCCCAGAGATGCTGGGCCTGCAGCCATTACATGGCAACTCCGGAGCGCGCCCTCTCCAAGTCCTGCCACGCAGGCTCATCCTGCTGTCCTCGCCGTCCCTACGACCTTCCCTGGGGCAGAGCAAAAGCTTACGGCACCACCAGGGCCTTTAAGGACTTTCCATTCTGGCCTGAGCAGTGTGCGATTATGATTTCATATAAAGGATAAGGTCATCCGTGCTGTTGACAGGTTCTTCTGTGCCAATTTTAAATGCAGGGCATCCGTGGAACCTTGCGGATGGCAGCAGGGGAGCTGGCTGCTGTCTTGTAGGTGAAGATGACCCCCAGGGGACAGGGCAGGACTGGCTGCCCGGGAGAGTGAGGCAGCCTGTGAAAGAATCAGCACAACTGGGGGCACGAGCACCCCATTCAGAACTGAACCCCAGGCCCAGTTCTGGGCATGGCCCAGAAGAGCTCTGGCGTACGGGGCTACAGATCGAGGGGCCGCAGGGAAACAAGGAAGAGTTTTTTCTAGGGGGGCTGTGTGTGGGGCTAGCATTTATTTGTCAAGGGGTCCCTGTGTGCCAGGTACTGTTCTGAGTACTTTCCACGCACTGGCTCATTTCCTCCCCATTTGGAAGATGAGAAGCCAGGGCCGAAGGAGGTAAGGCCCAAGGTCGCGGAGTCAGTTACTGTCAGTCAGAATCTGAACCCAGGCAGTCTGAGTACAGAGTCTGCTTTTCACCACTGAACGTGTAGGATAAAAGCAAACATTTCCACTGGGCTAAGAATCAGAAATTCTAGTTCCCAGGGCTGCTACTAGCCAGGCGACCTTGAGCCAGTCACCTACCTAGACCTCAGTTTCCTCATTTGCAAATCAGAGATGTTGGACTAAAATGTCTTTAAGTGTCTGTTAGTTTTCAAAGCCCCTAAACCAAGGGACAGTTGAGGCAGAGAATGTGACTGTGACTTTTCTAGGTTCATTTGCTTGTTTTGTTTTGCTTTCTTCTCTTCCAAGTTTAAGGAGTGAACAGTGAAGATACACATCTCTACTCCCAGCCTAATGCCACTCTCTCAGCATGGCCATCAGCTCACAGGAGTTTTCTGGGCAACCCTGGCTCTTCCTATAGCATCGGGGGAGCTGGGGTTGCCGGATAAAATACAAGACCCGCAAAGCTGCCCACGTACATTTGAATTTCAAATAAACTACAAAAGCTACTTTGGTATACATATTCCCGTGCACTAATTAGGGCATATTTATAGTATAATAGTTCTCTGCTATTTATCTGAAACTCTAAATTAATTAGGAATCCTGCACTTTCACTTTGCTAAATATGCAGCCCCACTGGGCCTCAGTCATGTTTTAATTCTACACATGGCAAACCGGTTTGAGTCTAGGCCGCACAAGAGGAGGAGTGTCCCTCTTCGCCTGGAGAGGAAACTGCTGCCTCTCTGCTCTTCCCGGATGCCCGAGACGAGTCCTCCAGGTGGCGTACGTGGCAGCCTGCGAGGGCTACTGTTAACTCTCCAGAAGTGAGAGTCTTTACACCACAGAAATTGGCAGATGCTATAAATCAGAGCTTTTCCTGGTGGAGGGGAGAGCTGGTTTACCAGCTTGCTAGCTTCACCAGATGCCCAAGTAGGCTTCTAGGTGACATGAAGGCACTCACCGCCCTCCGACCCCCCCCCCCCCAGAGATCTCTGCAGGTTGTGGGAGGGCTTACTGTCCCACAGCCTGTAGCTGCGGATGCCCGTACACAGCCTGGACTTCCTAGTCCTGCTTTCATAGATTCTGTTCATACTTCGGGTGGAGATAAGATGTGCACGCCCTCTACCATCAGGCCAAAGCAGAAGGTGGTCAGGGGCGTAAGACTGGCTTGGGGAGTTCAGAGGAGGGTGTGCTGGCCTCCACCCAGGGGAGCGCTGGGGTACAGTGTCTGGGGACCAGGAGCTGCGGCCTGGGATCGTCCTCACTCTGCCTGGACCCTGGCTGCACAAGTTACTTAACCCTCCTTGTGTCTCAGGGTCATTATCTGGACAGTGATGGGAGGCAGCTCACAGAACTGTGATGGGGATTAAATGAATTCCCAGCTGCGAAGGTCTTTTAGGGGCACCCAACTCGCTGCAGTGCCAGCTGTTTCTGGGGGTGTGCCCAGCAGGCCCCTCAGCAGGGCCCTGTGACTGCTGCAGAGAAGCCAGGTGTCCAGAGGGGGCGCTGTGGCTCTGACGTGCAACCGAGTGCACACTTGGGGTGATTATCCCCTTGAACATGGTGGTCTGTACAAAGTCAGCTTATTTTCATTTAAATATCTATGACACGTAAAATATCCGCAGTCCGGTGCCTTATCAAGTTAATGAGCGAACAGTATTAACTTTGTACAATTTCACTCAAATTCACCGGCTTACCACTTGAGAGGGCAGATGGACCGTCAGGCTATGCGTGGAATTAACATGTATTTTCCAAGCGTGCCCAGTGGAGGAAATGGAGCCCACATCCTACCACTACTTGTTCATTTGAGCCCAGAGGGATCAATCAGGTTTAGAACCAAAGAACAGTAATCCCTGCAGAGAGCCCACCTGGGATAACATCCTTATTTTTAGGATGAGGAAGCAGAGGTGCAAAGATGTTAAGTGGGTGTCCTGACTGCTACACGGCTTGGAAACAGTAACTAAAGTCCGGGGTGACACGGGGACAGGACTGGGGAGGTGGGGGAAGAAAATGTCCAGCGGGCTCCTGGGCTCAGATAAGACGTGTCTCTTCACGCAGGAGAGTCGCCAGCACACTGTAAATAACTGCGACACGCTCGGGAAGCAGACTTCACTTCCAGCAGCCAGAGCCACCGCCAGACCCGAGCCTGAGCACCGTGAAGGGTTCCTCATGCCCAGAAGTCAGATTCTTACTCGGAAGGCGAGCTGGGGACATGGCCTTGGCATTTTCTGCAAAGTCAGGCTGAGAAGGTAAGAGTGTGTTTCAAAGGGCGTCCTTGGTAGATGTGCTAAGTGGGTCACAGAATTACTGTGAGGCCACAAGCAAGTCATGAGATCAGGCCCAGGGTGTGTGTGAGCAGTTTTAAGAAGGGCGGTGAGACACTGGAGCTTTAAAATCTGTTCTTACTCCGCATTGCCTCACTCAGTTATGGGGTGATGCTGAACGAGATCCTTGACTTGGCAATGCCCAGTTCCCTCAGGAAAGACAAGAAGCATGAGCATAGAATAAGACATTTTCTTCTGTGTTTATAGCTTGCAGAGCCTAATAAAATTATATAATCCAAATTTTATGTTTCGGATGAGAAGACTGAAGCCCAGGAAAGTCAGTTGACTAAAGGCACGCAGCTAGTTAACAGAACAGAACACAGGGAACAGATTTGGGGACTTCTTGCCCTTTCCACGACATTTTACACTTGTTTACCAAACGCTTCCAAACACTTCGGTGAAAGTTTTCGTGGCAAACCAATGTGGCCATATTCAAAAAGTACAAATCAAATTTCTGAGCTGTTTCTCCATGTTTGACGCTGCCTACAGATTTGGCGGGCTGTTACCTGGGTTCCTTCAGCAGAAATTTCCTGAAAGCTAATAGTAATTTAAGGCGCTGACTTTAAAAGCCAGCCTGCTCCATTTCTGTACGTGCATCTTTGGCACTAGGTCGCCTAGAATGGAGACTCGTACCCACTATTGACCTCTTCCCCTGTCTTGAGCTCAGTCTGTTCTGCTCGGTCCTCTTCAGAAACATGCTCTCTGCCTTCCATAGACCAAATCTGCGGCTTCCAGACCACAAAGGGAGGCGTGCCGCCGTGTGTGGCAAGGGCAGGAGGCTTTGGGGTGAGCTAGACCTGGGTTTGAGGTCTAAATCTTTCAACTGATTCAGCAAATATTTATGTAGGGCCTCTTATGTGCCAAACCCGGTGTGGTGTGACCTTGGGCGGGTCACTTAAGTTCCCTAAGCTTTGGTTTCCTCTTCTGTTAAGATAATAAACCCTTCCCTGTAGAATTGTTCTGAGGATTAGAGATGCGGTCTCAAAGTGATTTCACCCATAGTAGGGTTCAGTACATGGTGGCCGCTATTATTTTCATTGGAAGCTGAACGGCAAACACCCTAGAGATGGACAGTATGTTACTGTTAAATTAGCAAATGGGAAACCAAACCCAAAAAAGGGACAAACAGGTGCACAGTTTAAACATGGAGATACTACAGAGAGAAGAGAGGAAACTCTAAGCAAATATTTATCATCTTTGGGGAAAACCTACAAGTAATTAAAAATATGTGTGCGTGAGAAAGTGTATGTATACACACACTATAGTCTTTATTATTTGCTTTCTTAGAATCCTAAAATACCAGAAGGGGAAGGGACTTAAGTGGTCTGCAGTTCAGCGTTCTTGTTTACAGAGGAGGAACAGGGCAAGGGGCAGAGGGGAGGCCCCTCAACTCGCTCCCGACTCACCTGCATCCACTCAGACCCTCCATCTCCTCATTCCCTCTGCACCATCTTGGCAAGACAGTGAGATGAAAAGCATTTTTAGAATGCGGCAAAAGGTAACTGAGATGATGATCACTCCCCCCCAAAAAAGTGATTCTAAAGGTCTTGATCAAATAGTCAAGGAATGAAGATTTTAAAGAAAATTCAAAACGTTTGCAAGCTGCTTGAGCCCCCTGCTGGTGAGAGAGGAAAGGTGAGATTCCCCAGCGTGGAGCAGAAGAAATCCCCAGTTAGGCGAGGGGCCCTCAGAAGCCAAGGAGAACTTTCTAGATCAAAGAGGATGTGAGACACAGATATTTGGGGGAGAGAGCGAGAGTGGAGGAAGTGCAGGAACAGTAATAACACATTGTTAAAAGGAGCCTAAAAAAAGAGGGGGCTCTCACCACAAAGGTCATTTTAAATTTATTAGATTTTTATTCTTCCTTTTATGTTATTTGAAGAAAATCTTACTTCCTTTCATGTTGTAAGAAGAGAAGCTGAAGGAGGAAATAGGAAAGTATTTTTTGCCTTTTACTTATATCTCTGGGGTCTTTTTGCATGTTTTATTTCTATCATAATTTAAAAATACATTTCTTATTAACAAATTCTTTTTTGGTCCTGTGTAGTGCCATAAGTCCCAACATGCTGCTTCCCCTAGATGTGATATCTTGTCAACCCATTTCTAAAAATTCTCCATTTTTTAAACTTGCAATATAATTTTGTTTTGGATTCAAGCATACAACATATTGGTTAGACCAGCAATTTTCAACTTTTTTTTTAAATCTCATGGCACACAAAAACTAATTACTAAAATTCCGCGGCACACCAAAAGATACTTTTTGCCAATTTGACAAAAAATAGGTCTAACTTTGATTCATTCACCCTGAACCACTACGGCTAGGTTGGCTGTTGTCATTTTGTTATTTGACTATCTGACAAGGGATAAGAGGTCAGTGCCCCTGACTGAATGTCAGGTGCTGCCTGTTTTAACAATTCCAGAGGCACACCAGTGCCCCTTGTGGCCACCAGCTGAAAATCGCTGGGTCAGACAATCACACACTTTACGAAGTCCATCCCCGCCCCCACCTCTGCTTCCTGATACTTCCAGTGCCCACACCCTCCTGGCACCACACATAGTTATTGCAATATTATTGAGTCCATTACACCCCGGCGACTATTTTGTAGCTGCCAATTTGTACTTCTCAATCCCGTCATCGCCTCTTTCACCCAGCCCCCCCAACCCCCCTGCGCTCTGGCAACCAGCCCACAATCTGTGTCTATGAGCCTGTTCCAAATTCCTGGTACAAGCCAGAGAACAGCTGGAGAGGCTGCTGTGGCCACTTGGGTAACACTGCCCTCTGCTGGTCACTGAGATAGACGCACCAGCCAGGCTTGCCTGCTTATCGGGGACAGACTAAATCCAAACTGAACATAAAGAATCTCTAAGACAATGTCATTACCGTCTTATGATAAAATCTCTTGGCTTGACTATTGAATCCTCTTTTTTCTGATTCTGGAATTAGTGAAGACTTATATTTAACAGGAATGGAGGATTGTGTTGGGTACGCAGCAGTAAAACCTAAACAACAACAAAAAAACAAAAATTAGCACAGAACAAAGAATTGAGAAGTGCAGAAAACACAGAGCTGTATATTAACGTTTTGTCATAAATGGAATAGAGGAGAGACTCGCCTTTTGACACGAGATAAACATGAAACTGGACTTTTTAAAGTATCCCCCACTTTCATTTCTTTCCTTCTTGGTAATCTTTGGGATTTCCCTCCTCCAGCTCTTAAAACCAGCGAGACTGGGTAAGGTGGTGGCAGTGAATTGTCCCAGGAAAGAGGGAGGACTGACAGGGAAGGCGTCCTTGCCAAGCAGGAAGGGGACGCAAAACCATCACTCGCCCCAGGGCCAGAGTCACGCAACAGCAAAGCACCGTGAAGACCCAGGGGGACAGGGAACTCCCAGCCTGGGGCCCTCTCCCTTTCAGGGCACTGTGCAAAACAGGGTAAGTTTATCTCTCTGCTTTGTGCAGACATGGGGTTAAAAAAAAAAAGCAGAAGGGCTTTATTTCTAGGAAATCAAATTATGACTTTGTACATCTGGGTTGTGAGGTATAAATGGTGTACAAAAACCCCCCTTTCCCCTCCCACTCCCCACGTGCGAAGAATGTCCACGGTATTGGTTCCACAGGCAGCATCTATCTGCACACCAGGCTGATGGCAAACTCTCCCCTGTGAGCGTGAGAGAACCTGACTCCAATTTTTAGTGAGACTTGCTAACACAGTGGAAGTGAAAAGTTTGGCTGCTGAGAGCTTTTCAGCCTCGCCCGTCCCTCTTCCTTTTCTGCCCCACGTCTGGGTGAGCTGATGAAAGGCCTGGACGCTCCCTCCCGTGGCACCGGCCAGGAGTTCGGCCAACCGCGGCCCTCGCTCCAGCCCCACCGCCCAACCCCAGTAAAGCCCCAGGTAGGTCTCCTTTCCCTGCCGGCTCACGCTGTGGTCTGCTGTCCGGCCAGATGAGGAGGCCTGCCCTGCTCTCCCTGAGAAAGGCTCATTACGTGAGCAATAAACCTTCTCACATCCCTTGATGTGTATGTGGCATCATCGGTCTTGACATCCAAGCCAGGTTTGGGGTGGACGCCCTCCCGACGGCGGCATGTCCACAACCGCCGGCCACCCCTCCCCCTCGGAGAGAAGATGTGCAACACCCAAGGTTCGAGGTTCGAGCACAGCGTGTCTGGTGAGCTCAGGCTCCTGAACTCTAAGCTGCGGCCCCTCTTTCTGAGCCTGCCTCATAGACAATGAATGAACGAATGAAATACTGGGAGGCGGCCAACTAGCCTACTGTGCCTGGGCTCTGGATGAAACAAAAGAAGCAGTAGACATGTCTGGTTGGGAAACATTGGGCAGTATCTGTCTATGGTAGGTTTCCTCTCTTCGCCCTCCCCCGCCTATTTACGTAGGTGGCTGCTTACGTGATTTTTCTTTAAGGGAGCTAAGAGCACATGAGAAGGCAGTAGATGCAAGGCCTCCTGTGTCTAAAAACCTAAGTCAGTGGAATAGCTGAGTTTGCAGAGGAGGCAGTAAAGAAAGGGGGGGGGGTTGTTTGTTTGTTTGTTTGTTTATTTAAAAAGCTAAAAGGGAGGACATTGCGCTGGTGGAAGGAAGGGTTTCTCCTTGACTAAAAGGGAGATCGGACACTTCGGCTCCTGGCTGTGGTGGGACATTGGGTGTCAAAGCCACCCTTCGTGAGACCCACCAAAAAAAATAGGATTTTTAAAAAACACTCTAGATAACTAGCTTTCCATTTCCAACCGAAATGGGACTGGATCTGCCCTCCTAACTGGGGAAAAAAGTTAACAATGGGCAAAGTATATGCAACAATAATTTTCAAGACACTGAACACCGAGCAACAGAGGACAGGGACCCGGGGAATGGAAACATTTAAGGTCTGCTGCCAGATGGCCCTCAGCTTCCTGCTGACGGGGGGAGTTTCCCAGCCACCGCACAGGAAGGAGGAAGGCGGAAGGCAGGCGGGGCTTGGTGGCCTTGAGTTGGGGAAATTGATCAGGGAGCCCAGAAAGCCCAGACTGTAGACATCACAGGACTCAGAACCAGAGAAGAGAGACCATCACAGTGAAGGAGCTCTGAAGAGGGGTGCTGGGGTCCCTTCGAGTGGTGTCCTGAATACTGATCAGCACATGACCATGAGAAAACAACCCAGGGCTGGGGAAAGACGCAGCTGAAAGAATTAGGGTGGATAGTGCCTGAAGTGCGCGCTGGGCAGGAACAGGTCTTGCTCCACAGTCAGAGTGGAAAACCTCTTAATTCACAGAACCTACAGCAGCGTGTGGGGAAGGGTTTGGCCTCAGAAATTGGGTGAAATTGTTCCCAGATTAAATCCTGCTCTGGTTCCAAAGGACAACGCTTCAAAGTGAGACTTCATACGGTCAAACTGTTTCTAAGTAGTTGAAGTGGATCTCAGAATAAAGTGCAGGAATCGACAGGACTACAAAAAATATGTAGACATAGACCCAATTCAGAATATCTGGCACCCAATAAAAATTTAGTGAACATGCAAAGAAGGGAGAAGATACACTTTACCACAAGGAGGAAATTACTGAACCAACTCAGAAGTGATACAGATGAGAACTACAGAAATATTATAGTCTATAACAGCTGTATGTGAGATCTTCCAGAAGCTACAGAAACAATTAGCATATATTAAGTAGAAGCATATATTACACGTAGAAGGTGTAAAAATGATCCCAAACACACTTTTATAGATGAAAAGTAAGATATCTGAGGTTCAAAAATTCACCAGATGAGATTAACACAAGGCTACACACTGTTGGGAGGGGTGGAGCTAGTAAAGTGGAAGACATAGAAACTACCCCAAATAAAACACAGAGTGAATTTTGTGTTTAAAGGACTTAAAAACTCAGAGTACCAGTGAGCTGTGTGACAACTGCTAAGAGGCTAATATACACTCGATGGACTCTTCAAAGAAGAGATGTGGGGAGAGAGAAAAAATATTTCAGGAAAAAAAGAAATAGTTTCATATTGGGTAAAAATTATAGATCTCCAGATCCAAGAAAATGCATGAACCTCAAACACATGAAACATGAATAAAACCACATTGTGGCTGTGATAAAGAGAAAAACCTTAAAATTAGGTGGAGAGAAAAAAGACACTTTACATACAAAGGGAACGAATAGGAGATAGCAGTCTACTGCCAGAAACATCTTTAAGGTAGGAGAAGAAAAAAAAACCCTGTCACCCTAGAATCCTGTACCCAGTAAAATACCTGGCAAAACAAAAGCTAAATAAATAAATAAATATAAATATATATACACACACACACATACACACATTATATATATATAGAGAATTAATCACCAGCAAACTGGAACTATAAGAAATGTTAAAGGGCCGTGGCTGGCATGGCTCAGTGGATTGAGCCCAGGCCTGCAAACCAAAGGGTCGCCAGTTTGATTCCCAATTAGGGAACATGCCTGGGTTGCAGACCAGGTCCCCAGTTGGGGGCACATGAGAGGCAACCATGCAGTGATGTTTCTCTCCCTTTATTTCTCCTTCCCTTCTAATCTCTCTAAATAAATAGAATCTTTTTTAAAAAGACATGTTAAAGGAATTCCTTCAGGCAGAAGAACAATGATACCAGTTGGGAATCTGTCTCCATCTGAAGGGATGAAAAAGTTCTGAAAATAATGAATACGTGGATAAATACAGGGTCCAGCACAAATAACAGCCCCCCATTTTATTACATAATAAGCATGTAATTCTGTAACATAACAATATCACACTCAAGCACACCATATGCCATTTTAAATGAAATGTTCAAATTAAAACTATAAATGATCACACCCATGTTATTATTACCGTACCAACCACCCTCAAACAGGCGTTACTTCTGCCAGATCCTGTATAAAATATAGAATGATGAGTATAAACAGATATGTTTAGATGCAACTATAATATTCAAACCACCCCCTCCCAAAGACACCTGTTATTAAATTCACTAGACCTTTCTGTATTTTGCTGACAATTCTGGAATATTTTTGGCCAGGCTGTTGTTGGTCTTTCTGTGTGGAGATGTCCATCTTATTAGCAAAGTTCTGTGTTGTGTTTCATTTGATGAAAAACTCTACTACAACATGTTCTTCCAAGCACCTGAAACAGCAAAAGACAGCATTCGTAGGGGTCATTTCCCATTGTTTGGCTAACTAGGTTGAGTGAGTTCTGTTCTCCCTGCAGACTAGGAAACCTGTGGGCGGGGCTGAGGTTGACCACGCCTCCGACCTCGAGTCCCCAGCGCACCGCACTCAGCACCTCTAGGGGGAGCTCTGCGAGTCCTCCCGGCTGGAGCTGCTTCCAGAGCTTTCGGAGGCTGGCATTTTGTGAATGTATCTTCATTGAGATAGTTTACATACGATATAATCCAGTGGTTCTACGTGTACCAAAATTCTAAATTTTGGCAAATGTTTAAAATGGCGTGAATTACCACCACAGTTCAGATGTAAATATATCCATCCCCAAAGTGTTCTGAGCTTCTTTGCAGACGATACCCTCCCAACCCTGGTGTCTGGCATCCGTTGCCCTGCTTTTGGTCACAGCTGGCGCCTTTTCCAGAATGTCATATATACGTAATCATACAGTATACACTGTTTTTGTGTCTTTTTTTTTTCACTTAGCACAATGCTTTGGAGATTCTTCCATGCTGTTGCATGTATTGGTCGTTTGTTCCATTTGCTACACACCCTCACCAACACTTTCCTGATAAATCTCATTAATTTATTCATTCCAGTGGTTCTACAGTGGTATCTCATTGTTACTTTAATTTGTATATTTTCATGTGCTTATTTGCCATCTATTTACCTTCCTTGGCAGTTCAAATCTTCTGCCCTTTTTTTAAACAAGTGGGTCATCTTATTACAGAGTCGTAGAAGTTCTTAGTATATTCTGGATACAAGCCCTTCATTATATATATGTTTTGGAAATATTTTCTCCCAGTTGGAGGCTTGCGTTCTCATGTTCTTAATTTTGAAGCTGCCTTGAATTTTCACAGAATGTTAGGGTTCCCTACAACTTAGTTCAAAAATTCTCGAGGCAGTTCACTGTTGGGTATTTCTAATTATGTTGGGTAAAAATGTTGGGTAAAAAGTCCCCATCCGTACTGAAGCTTCTCTCTCTCTTTCTCTGTCTCTCCCTCTCTCTCCACTCATCCTAATTCCAACCCTTCGAATCAGCTCAGAATAAGGCTCACTCTTCTTCCACACTAGTGATTTTCAAAATCCAGGTCATAGCCTCTGGGTTTTTGTTAAATTTGTTTGTTATGTGTGTGTGTGTGCTGGGTCACAATGTAAAATGTATTTCTAACCACGGGTTACAGTCAAAAAGTTTGAAAGTCACTGTTCTATAGGACTAGTCTTCAAGTTGGTAAAGGTGGCTGTCATATCACACTACCTGAAGACTAATCCCCTTATCCATGAGGGACCTCTTCAGCTTCTACTACACCTCCTTGTGCCATGGGGACTGCTCCCCTCACTACATGGGATATCGTCTTTTGGCCTTGACACCAGATTCACTTGGGTCTCTGCTCAAACCTTAGGGACGACTTCCTTGACCGCTCTGAAGAAGCACCACCCCAGCTTTCTCTAACCCGGGCCTCTGCCTTATTTTTCCCATAACATTTTTTTTCTATCCAACATCTTATTTTATGTATATTTCTGTAGGATCTTCCCACGAGAATGTTCACCACTGAATCCCCGACTGTTTGCTGGCACATAGTAGTTACTCAGTAAATATGTGTGGAGTGAATGAGTGACTGTGTTTGCTAGGAGTAACCACATTTTGGCAACAATCTGTATAGATGTACCCCTGATACAACTCCTTCCTTCAGGAGCTGCATGACTAGAACCATAGGCATGTTTTCACTCCACTACCTCTATGTTTTCAAAAACCTTTGTCATTTATGTTACAGTATTATCACATATTTTACCCATTTATACCCGTATGTTACTGTATGGGGTATATGGATGTATGCTCATACTTTATGGGATTTGCTTGAGTAGTTTTGACTATGAGAGTTTTATCCACTCAGTTATAATGCCGTGGTGCGTTTTGGAAATATTTTATACTTTTCAAAGCCCTGTCAGGTAAATAACCCATTCGATCATTTTCATAAGCCGAGAACAAGTGTCGGAAAGTTTCCTTTCGTTTTACCGAGGGCTAAACTGAGCCCCGGAGCAGGGAGGATGTTGGCAGAGGGACCGGTAAGGAGCTGGGATTAGAATTCTCCTCTTTGTCGCCCACCAGCTGCCAGGCACCGCAGCCCCCAAACGTTTGTACATTCGCAGGGGCTGGGGCAGGGGAGTCAGATGCCCACGCCCATCACAGAAGCTCTGTGGGGAGGGCATGCTAGGTTATAATCACCACTTTCTTGGCAGGGACTCTGAGGGCACAATTTCAGGGAAGGTCGCCTCCAATGGTGGCTTCTCACCCTCAGGCCATCACCTAGTAAGCACCGAAATTCGACAAGCACCCAGGAGCACGGGGACTAAGTGGCAGTCCCATGAGATATGCCAGGTCCTCCTCCCCTGACCCTGGGACCCGTGCCCCGCCAGGAACCGCCTCCTACCTCCTTGGGTCCCCCTTGGATGAGTCTCTCTCGCCTTGCCCAACCTTCCCCGTCGCTATGGCAACCACAGGCCTAACATTCTAGAGTCCGCCTTCCTGCCTAAGTAATTCTAGCCAATGGTGTCTTCTGTTTCTTTAGAAAGGAAAGTTATTGACCAATCGTTAGAGACGTTTTAAAAACTGCAGGGAAGCTGCCAGAATTTTAGACTTCAGTTCAACAACCCCAGGACTGGTGAGGAAACTTAATAAGGTTTTATCTGCGCGACCCCTCGAAACTCTTGTGATGGACAAAAAGCCTTACAATTTGTCCACCCGAAAATCCTACTTCAAGGAATGAGCCTAAAAGAACTAACCATCCAAGCCCTGTTTATAATAAAAGAAAATGATTGCTCCAGGCAATGGTACAAAGTCAACCACGTATTGCTCCTTGACTCCCTCTTCTCCCGCTTCCGAGCAGTCACACCTCATCTCGTCATTCCCCTGCTTAGAACCCTCCTATGGATTCTCTTTAAACTTTAAACTCTTTAAACAACGAAATCCAAACATCTTGATATAAGTTGTCCCTTGCCCGTCCCTCTGAAGGCAGCCCCTATCACCACGGTCCGGAAAATTCTTGCACCAGTCCCACCCTCGATCCGCTCTCAGGTGTTCCCTCTGAGCTCTCTCTACCATAACTGGCTCTTTGTCACCATTGAGGGCTCTGCCCAAATGCCGTTTCTTCATCGGTAAAATGGGTGAGCTTAGTGTCTCACTCAGAGGATCTCGAATGAAATGTGTGTGAGGGGAAAGGTGGAAGTTCCATGCTTGTGGTAGTGATTCTCGTTGTGCATCAGGGAAACACCACTGCGAGCTAGGCTCGCCGGAAGCTATCAAGAGCTGCTGAGCTGCGGACGTGCTGGGAGGGTTGGGATACAGTGCACCCAGCCGCTGTTCCGGGAGGGCAGGCAGGCCCTGGGGGGCCCAGGTCTAGAAGGATGTGCAGGATTTAAATCGTGGTGAGAGTGTAAGGGAACATCCGGGAAGTGGAGCAAAATCCGGGAAGTGGCTCTGTGGTTAAGCTGGGAGGACACCTAGCAAGCTGCCCACCACCTGAGCTCTCCGGGACAGAAGGAGACGGGGAGCCGAGTATGTTCCAAGGTCCCTCCTGCGACCGGTAGAGGGGTCCCGCTTCAGACGAGCACAGCGCTCCAGCAGGGCGCTACAGCTGGGCGCCGCCTTCCAAAGTCTCACCCTGCGCTTCAACCAAGCTTTGCGGGGCAGCGAATACCGGGAGATGACCCGCCTACCCTTCTCCTCACAGCCACTCGTATGAGCGCAGTGTCTCCAGTTTATGATTGGCAGAGGGAAGAGCAAATCAAGTCGCGGACTCTGAAAGCAAAACACTGCAAGATCCAGGCAGCACCGTGTTGGGGAAGGAATTAAGGGGGCTGTGCCTTCGGTTGCGCGAAGAGTCAAAGTCATTTCTCTGAAACCTCTGATAGGTGGGCCTTGGAGGAAACGCCGCTGGTGAGTAGTGATTAAGGCTGATAGAGGGGGGACTTGAGTTCAGTCTTCGTTTCTGGAAAAGCGAGTGCATTTGTAATTATCTAAGGTTCCCTAGTATAAATTACCCTTCCTTCTTGCTGTCATCAGCCTTGCCAGTGTGAGTCTTGCTGCCTCCGAATAATTTTTCCATTTCGGCATCTGGAGTGAGAGGACGGGGGCATGGATTTGCCTTAATGAAGGTGATTACAGGCTCTACTAAATCAGGAAGTGAAATGGAGTAACTTTGCCAAAATTATTCCTATACACGCTGGCTCGGGCTTCCTGGCAGTAGCAGGTGCATTAAGAGGAAGTATTTCTGATCTGCGTTGCCTGCTGGAAGTTGCAGTTTCCAGTTCACTAGGAAGGGACTGGGGAGCAACTAACTGGCTCTCAACAGCAAAAAAGCTGAATCGTGGGGGAGGAGCATGTTTTATCTATTTTTTCCTTATTTTTTGAGATCGAGCCAAATTCTGATACAGACCCTACTCTTAGCAGCCATGACTATAGCTCTCTCCTCTGTGAAACCTGCTGTGTGGGTTGATGAGATATTGTAATTCATTGAGATAAGGCGAACAGGGTGGAGTGGAGCAAACACCTAGAGAATTATACCTTTCCTTTCTCCAGCAGGAACCCTGTGCTCCGTGGTGACTGTGAGGGCCTCAAAATTAAGAGACGGCTGGTGACAGTCAGTTCCTTGCCCCTTGGGCATATGTCCGTCCTGGGGAAGTGCTTTGAAGTCAGGAAAAGGGGGCCACTGGGAGAAGTGTGCGCACCTTATAAGGAAGGACAACTTGCAAAGCGTTCCTCCAAGGCTTTTAGTCCAAACTCCTAGCAGCTAGGGAGAGCCCTTTTTCCTAGACAGTTCCTCAGGGGCCTTGGTCTTCCTGAGGCAGACAGGGAGGCTGCTTTTTAAAAGCAAAGTAAATGACAGCAACAACCACCACCACAAACAAAGCAGAAACAAATCCACCTGGCCGAACCAGCTGGTCTAGAGGAGGGTGGCAGGCCTGGGTTCCCATCACCCCCTTGGCGTGTCCCCAAGGCCTGTTTGCTTTCTCTCACATCCTGCCGGTGGGGCTGGGTGTATCTGTCGAATCTCTGGAGTTGTGGTTGAGTACCACTCTTGACTGGGAAGCAGCCACAGTGCAGCAGGTGCTTAACAGGCCTGCCTCTGTAGGCTGTCAGGAGGTCGTATGGAGGTCACCGTGCCAGGTTCTGGACTAGGTCTGGGGAGGGAGCGACTGAACAGGGGATTCAGCAGATGTCTTGCCAGTTTCTGCCCCTCCAGCTCCAGGTTGAAAGCCTCTAAGGGCTTTGCCGAGGTAGAGAGAGCTCTCGGCCACTCTTTCTTCCTAAGGCTGTTGTACTAAAACATTAAAATAGGGATAAAGAATTTAACACAATAACCCTTGTCACACACACTTAAAAGTGAAGTGATAAATAATTATGCTTTTCACAAGATTACAAACATTCTTAGGGCTTTACGGTCTGGAAGGTCTGGTTATGGGATGTAAGTTATGAAGTTGCCTGATGAGTGTGTGTGTGTGTGTGTGTGTGTGTACGTATATATGTATGTGTATACACACACACACAGAAGTATAACCCCATCTGAAGGCCCTTTGATAATGTGACACCTGGGCCCAATGGTCTTCATGGCTGTCCCTGTGCCAAGCCCTGCATCTGGTGTCTCCTATGTGCCAGACACAGTGTTAGCCCCATGACACATGACTGTGCTAGTCATACCAGAAACCACTGTTCCTGGGCCCGAGGCTGTCTTCCAGATAAATGAAGAAACTGACACTACAGATAAGAGCAGCGGCAGCCTTTTGGGGCCTGGGGGCATGGCAGAGACACATAGTAAGCCCTCTATAAATATTTGTTGCATGAAATGAAGAAAGGAATATTCATGGGTAAATTAAATAATTAAACTGGTAAGAATAAAAGCAATATTTATAACAGCTGACATTCATTCACCACTCACTGAGCATGCATTTTGCATGCATGATTTCAGGAAATTCTCCCCACAACCCTGTGGGATATCTGTATTTTACAGCAGAGGAAACTAGTTGAAAAGTTAAATGATTTGCCCAAGGTAAAACCAGTAGCACATGGCAGATAAAAAGCAACTTAAAATATTTTCATATTAAAATAAACATGGACTTCGCAGTAGAATCCAAATTTGTATGATTTTGTTTCCATAGAAGAGGACCTCAAAGAAACCCTTAACATTTTTTTTTGGGGGGGAGCAGTTAGGTCATGTTTCCTGATGTTTCCTGGACCATGACAGGCATACTTTCTCTACTCTGTTTGGTAGAAAAGTTTGAGACCCCCTGAAAGTATCAGTCCAGTGGCGTTAACAGGAATTGCCATCATTGCTGGTTGTACTTGAAGTCACATTATTACCCCCACTTTATAGATGAGGCAACTGAGTCTTCTGGAGGCGAAGTGAGTTGGTCACGTAGCCACCTTCCAGGCCAGTGTCACCTCTGTGATCCCCGGTAGCAGCCCAGTTCTTCCCTCTTCCATGGAGATAACTCTTCTCATTCTTTCTTTCCTAGGTCAGAACCCAGATGTTCCCTATTTATGGCAGTGCGGTTTATTTTGCGTTCTTTGGGGGGCTTTTTTTGGAGCCAGGAGTAGACATAGGTAGGATTCTACTATGTAGAGGAGCCTGTGGAAAAGGTAGAACTTAAATTAGGATGTAATGGGAGGAAGAAAGCAAAGGGGGAGATGATAGGGGATTTTTAAGGGCCAAGGAGAAAGATTCTGGGGTAGAGGAGCTATAGCTTTATTAGGGGGGTCAAGGCATAATATAATTTTGTAAATGGCCTCACTTCTCATGACAGCTTGTTGCTTTATCCTACTGGGATTCTCAGGTAACAAGGTTGGCCTCCCTGTTTCATGGTACATGCATTTTTAATGTTCCTCCACCCCCCTTCCCAGAGCACCGCAAGATTTGGAAACGCGTTCCTGGGTGTCTGCTCCGGAAAGAGAGAAGTTGGCACTTCTCTGCGCGAAGATGAGGAGAGGTCTGTAAATCAGCCCGAAGAGCCCCGAAGCACAGTTCCGGTGTGAGACAGAGATGGCTGGTCAGAGCAGGTGAACACCGTGAGGGGACACGGCTTCCCCTGACCCGCCTGCGCAGCCCCAGCTTCCGAGCCAGGCCTGCGGAATGCGCCGTTAGACCACCATGGACGGAGCCCACAGCGCGGCCCTGCACCTGGAGCAGGTCCCGCCCACCAGCAGCACCAGCCCCGCCAGCCAGGGCTCCTTCTCCTACAAGGCAAGAGCACTTTTTTTGGTTTTGGAATTTTGTATTTCTCTAACGAGAAGGTAACAGAGACGTCTGGGGCATGCGTGCCTGTGTCTGGTAGACATAGGCCAGCTCTCTGTACATGCAGGAGAATGTGTAACCAAAAGAAAAGAAACGCTCATTCAAATGCAAAAATATAGGGAGGTACGAGAAATATTTTTAAAAGAATGCAGTCACACTTAGAAGATTTGATTTGTTTTAAAGATTTCATTTATTTACTTTTAGAGAAAGAGGAAGGGAGGGAGAAGAACATTGATGTGTGAGAGATACATCAGTCAGTTGCCTCTTGAGCACCCCGAACTGGGAACCTGGCCCGAAACCTAGGCATGTGCCCTGACTGGGGATTGAACCAGTGACCTTTCCGTTTGGAGGCTGGCACTCAGCGCACGGTGCTGCACTAGCCGGGGCAAAATTTGATTTCTTTTCAATGACCTATCCCATTGTTCATAGACAAGCTAAGTTCATACTTCAGTGTTATTTGCTTCTGGTCTGTTTCTGGCAACACAGGTTTGGTCAGATTGTACAGGAAGTTGTGTGCCTTGGTTGTTTTGGTCGACCTTGTTCACGGAGTGTTTCTGCACGTCACTGAGTAGAATCACGATCGAAAGCGTGTTGTTGGAATGATTGTCCGGTGATCTGCTGAGCGTCTGTATAGGACCTGCCAGCAGACGCCCTCTGGGCAGGCGTGCAGACTCTGTCTAACGCAGGGTGGCTGTAAGCAGTGAGCGTCCCAGGGTGCGTGTCCCTTCGCTCTGCTAAGAATGGCTCGGCCTGCGAGAGGCAGTCTGTCCTGCTCAGAGAGGCCGCCAGTGCCAGAGCGCCAAGAACACGGAAAATAAGAAAATATTGTTAATGTAATTGGTCCTGTATGGAACGGATGCCAAAGAGACAAACACAGAATCAAAGACACCGCAACACTCTCCCTGATGAGATGTTTAATGTTTCCATTTTAATCACAAATTAATTCAGCTACTTATTATAGAAAGGCCTCTGTGCCAGAGCAAAGACAAATAATCCACGATGACTCTACCAAAGAGCCTGAGAACTGAGGTGGGAGGCAAGGGTGTGAACGAAGGGGTGTGAGCTGTCTGAAACACCAGGCGGGGTAAAAGGACAAAGACCTGGGTTCAAGTCCCTGCTCTGCTCCTTCCTAACCAAGTGACCTTGGGCATGATGGCTTAACCTGTCAGAGCTTCTGTTGTGGGTAGAGTGGTGGTAGTAACACCTCCCTCCATCCTTCATCTCTCCAGGGCTGTGTGGATCAATGAAAAAGCCCCCAGCCCAAGTCCTAGGCATGAAGAAGTTACCTGACTTGGAAATGCCTCGTGGTTATCAAAAAGAATATTAAGGTGCAGAGAGCAGAGGCAGGTATAGTTCATTGTGCCTGGGGGAGCCCTGACTAGTGTGACTCAGTGGGTTGGGCATCATCCTGCAAACCAAAGGGTTGCTGGTTCGATTCCCAGTTCAATTCCCAGTCAGGGCACATGCCTGGGTTGCAGGCCAGGTCCCCCATTAGCCGCGTGTGAGAGGCAACCGATCAATGTTTCTCTCCCTTTCTCCCTCCCTTACCTTCTCTAAAAAAGTAAATAAAATATTTAAAACAAATTTTGCCTGGGGGTAAGAGAAAGGGTTTTTAAGGGAAGTTGTCGCCTTCTTTTGATTTTGTTAAGTCTGTTGCTTGCAAGGAATAAAAACTCCTTTCAGAAACACTAAGGCAAAAAGGGAAATTCTAATAAGGCTACAGAGTGGCTCGTGAAACCCAAGGGCAGGAAGGGCAGTGGGGCTGCCAAGGTACTAGAACTCTCACATCCACCTTCAAAAGAGGGTGGAGCTGAGGGGTGTCTACATTGGTCCAATGAGTGGTGGCCCGGGGCGGGTCACCCCCGCCCCCGGCCAGACATGATCCCTGGGCCCCATCACTGCGGGCAGCTCTCAGAGGAAAGTGGGCCTGTGGGCTGGGCAGGCTGCCCTCACACCGCCTCTTTCCTGCGGGGCAAGGGAAACGTCAAGCAGCCCCAAGTCCAACTTGATCAGTGGGATGGAGGTAGGAGCACGCAGCTTGCCTTGAGTTGCAGCCCTGCGCTCTGCCCGACCCAATAGGGAATGGATCCTGGTTGTTGGGGGAAGGTGGTCTGTGAGAGACCCACAGCCGAGCTGCCCAGGAGGCAGCATGGCAGCAAGTCCTTGACATTGGAGGCTGTGCCTCCGCCCAGAAGAGTCAGGCCTCCATTTCTTCTATTCAGCAAATAGGCACTTCCACCGAGCCTGTGTATCCATGCCTGCACCCGGTGGGTGGGGGCGGGAGCGGTCTACATTGTTGCAATAGTGCTTCCCTGAAGGGGCTTACCGTCTACAAGGGCAGTAAAGGAAGCTATTTCCACGAGTGCCCGCCCTCCAGGACAGAATTTGGTGCACAAACGGAGACAGAGCAGGATGTTAGGACCACGGCCTTTAGAATCCAAGATACCTGGCTTCAGATCCCCGCTCCGTCACTTGCTGGCGTTATAACTTGGGGAAAGCCGTGGAACTCCTCTGCAGGTCTGTTTTAATTCCATCCCAGAGGGTGGTCGCGAAGATGACCTGAATTTACAGGGGAAACTGAAGCTGCCCACGCCGTCCCGTTTCTGCCTTTGGAAATCCTACCCACCCTTCCAGCTCCGGCTCAGGTATCACCTTTTCCATGAAGCCTTTGTCGGCCTTCTGGTCAGGAAATATCGGTCCTCGCTCGATCCACACTTCCATAGCCCGTTCACAGTTACTGGAATGATTAGTCTCATCACAGTAATAATAGCAGCTAAGATTTGTTGAGTGCTTACCAGATGACAAGGACTGTGCTAGTCTTCACAAAACCCCCAGAAGGTGGGTACAATATAACCCCATTTTACATCTGAGGAAACTAATCCACAGAGAGGCTCATTAACTTGCCCAATGCCACACAGTTGCATTGTACAGCTGGGATTCTAATGGAAGTCTGTGCATTGCCAAGGCCCTTGGTTTTATCCACCTCTGCCCGCTGCCTGCATTATGCCAGCGCTCTGGGAAGCCCCTTCTCTCCCTGACATGGGTTGTTTACTGTTGAAATGGCAACGCCTTACCTGCTGGGGAAGGTACGTGTCAGGAGCTGGCCGGAAACCGGGTTGTAGGGTGGCAGAGCCTGGCTACCCAGGCTGCTGTGTCTCCTGTGTGCGAATGGGAGTAACCCTCAGAGCAAGCTGGATGCCTACGCTTAACTGTTAGCAGTTTAAGCCCAAGGGGTTGTGGGAGATCAGTTGCAACAACAAGTGATGACTGGTCCTGTCACCGTGGGGTTTAAATAAGAGTTGTTGTTGGCAGAGGTGAAGTGGCCCTTGGAACAGGAGATTCGCGCTGAGCTTTCCCCAGGACGCCGGTATCCAAGCCGTTTCCCGCCTCCAAGACTGTTGGCTGCTTTTCTGGGAACAGCTTACTTCCTTTCAGAGTTGTGGCTGGTGCAAGATCAATTCTTGGATCAGAGAATATCAGAGCCAGAAGGGTCCTTAGAACTGCTGCTAACACTAATGACAACAATACAAATAAAAACCGTAAAAATAACCGTAACAGCTGGAATCGCTTTGGCATCTCTCATGTGTCATGCAAGGTTTCAACTTGTGCCTTATTTCACGTAACGTGACAGCCGTATGGGGGTCTGCAGTCAGCTCCATTTTTCAGAGGGGAAGCCAAGGCTCCGAGAATGAAGGTGATTCCCCCGAAGTCCCACAGCAGCGAGTGGCAGAGGCAGGACCCAGGCCCAGGTCTGCTGGCTTTCGAAGTGCCGAGCCCACACAAGGTAGCTGGAGGTGGCTGATGCAAAGAGGGAAGTGGCTTTGGGTTTGCCGCCCTCCCCCGCCCCTCCCCCATATTTGGTCCGTTGAAGCCTCGCTAGAAGCGGCTGAGTCTGAAATCCAGTTGCCTGCCTGTCGTTGTGCCCCCACCCCGTTTCCGTGGCCAAAAGCACTCCCGTTCAGGGCCTGTGCGATGAGCACAGTGACCGAGGGTCCTGGTTTGAGCCCCGTGTCCATGTGTATTAATAAAGCCCCCCATCCTTCTCAAAATACCCCAGTTTGGACTAGATGTGTCGTAAACATGAAGTCCCTGATAGTTGGGAGGCCTCACTCCTTCCCTACACTGGGGAGCAAGTGTTAGGAGACCTGTGTTCAGGTCTGGTTTTGCCACTTTGCTCACTCTGTGACTTGGGCTGAGTCTCGGACCCCCTTAGGTAACTGAGATTCCCCCCCATCCCCCAGGAATTTGCCTTCAAAAGGAGGACAGCCCTCCTCCCCTTCCCCACCCCCTTCATTGCCTCAGAAGAGTCCTCCCCCTCTGGTGTTGTGGGCGCAAGGACCTCAAGGACCAGAGATGCTGCAGGTGCAGGCGCTGGCCGCCAGGAGGCCCGCGGGGCAGCGGGAGTGGCGGGGTTCCAGTCCGCACGTTTCCTCGCGGCACCGAGCGCTGGGTCCAGGGTCAGACCCCTGTGAGTCCTTGTGAACACCCCCAAACTGCAGGAACCGTCCATGAAGACACCCGGAGTGTTCCGCAGCAAAAAGGGGCCACGCAGACGGGCGAGCGCCCCTGGGGTCCAGCGGTGGGAGCTGGCCAGGCACCGCCTGCACTTCCCTCGGTGTCCAGCAGACCTGGACACTCCGCTGTACAGTTCAGAAGCTCTGACCCTGTGGGGGGACGTCTGTGTCAGGAGTCCTGCCGGCTGGCGCCTGACTCTGAATTGCCCTTTGCCAGGCACTGGGGGCGGCTCATAGGTGTGCGTTCAAACTGTGACCCCTGGGCCCGAGGCAACTTCTTTGCTTGACTTGAAATGCCTATAAAATTGTACCCGTCACCACTTCACAAAGGTTTGGGGCATAATTAGCGTTGAGGAAGCCCTTTGAACCACTTGGATGACAGGACATTAGTTACATTATGCTGTTACTAACTGAGTCTGTAGCCAGTTATTATTCATGGAGACTAATATGCTTATAGACATGGCTTTTTAAAGAAACCTCAGCCGCCTGTGTCATTAGCAGGAAGGTAGCACTTACAAGGTGGGTTATTTTTTTCCTAATTTATCTTGAAGCCATGGTCTGGAGAAGGAGTCGTCCCCAGGAGAGCGGAAGTCAGACCTCTAGCTCCAAACCCTTCCGTCCTCACCTTGGGCAGGTTATTTTACTTCTTTGAGCCTCACTTTGTTCATTTATAAACTCCTTTCGACTTATGTGTTAAAAATAGGTCTCCTGGCAGTACCCACTTTGGAGGGCTGCTCGTGGCCCAGAGGAGGTGATATGTACAAAGGATTAGCACTGTGCCCAACGTGTATAAATGCTCCATAAACATAAGCCTTTATTATCATAGTAGCCTTTTAACCATGTTTCTGCTGCTTAGTTTGGTTTATCCTTATGAGGTTTACAGGCTTCATTTCCAGTCTTACCCCCTCCACATCCGCTCCCTGAAACGGTATCGGCTTGTCTGCTGGCCCCACGACAGGCCGGTTTCCCTTCATCTCCTCACTGCTACCCCAGCAGAGGGTCTGGGGAGGGGCTTTGTGTTGGACGTTTTTCTGGGGCAGCAAACACTTGGGTTCCAAATGCGTCCTGGGGCCCCTTAGCTCAGGCCCGGCTCACATCTGCCTCTGTGAACTTCCCTTACAGGAAAACCTGATCGGCGCCCTTTTGGCAATTTTCGGGCACCTTGTGGTCAGCATTGCGCTTAACCTCCAGGTGAGTTTGCCGCCGGCGCAGAGTCCAGGCAGCGAGCCGGGGCGCCCGGTGCAGGCCCAGCGGCCGGTGCTCTGTCTCGGTTGCCCACTCCCTCCCTGGGCTGGGCCTGGGGCCGTAGCTCGCGGGTCTTTCCAGAATCTCTTGATCCTTTGCCCCAACTCCCTCCACCCATCACCCCTCTAATGCCGGTGCTCTCCATTACTTAACAATCTCTGGCCTGCAGGTATAGCTGGGAGGTGTGGCGTACGTGTTGGGTGGTAGTTAGTGCCCCTGGGGCAGCCTTCGGGGGGGGGGGGGTCAGGCTTTGCCTCAGGTGGGATGGTTCTGAGGTGCGTGTACAGCATTCTCAGAGGGTCCCCAGTGGGACTGAGCCCCACGTGCTTAAAGCACTGACTCACCCGTGAGTACGCTCCCCCCTGGGCCTCCCACCCCCAGCTTGTGCTTCCTGGAATCACTTCCCAAATCGACTACCTGCTCCCAGCAGCTCGTTCCAGGGACTGCTTCTGGGGAACCCAGACTAAGTAAGTCCTGACCCCGGGGACAGAATAACCCCACAACGGGGCAGCCACCTCCCCTTCCCTGGTGGTGAACCCTCTCCCTCCCTGGAGCAAGGATGCCAACACACATGTACGTCTTGGCTCCCATGTACACATCTGTGTGGGCATGTTTCTGAGGCCACACGGCCTCCCAGCTGCTTGTCTGCTTCATGCTCTTCCTTTTGCAGACCAGCACCTCTGCTTCTGTGTCTGCTGCTCCGCAGCCCCCATCACGACCCTCCCCGGGAGGCAGCCTCAGCCCTCCACGTTGGCGTGACTTCCTGCCTTTCCTTAGTCACTGCCTCGGTTCCGAGTCCACGGTTCCAGAGTAAAGGATGTTGTTGGCCCACGTGGGCCAAGCCTCCACCCAAGGGTCCGAGACACCCACATCCTGCCCAGCAGAGTGGCCGACACTCCTCCAGAGGAGTGTCGCTGAGCAGGCACCCAAACATGGGGACTCCTGGGCATCACAGTCGGAGGGAGAAGGTCACCCGAGGCCAGGCTAAAGTGGGTCCTGAGACCATGGCTGCCAACCCAGACTGCTCGCAGCCATGGTGTGTGTTAGAAGTGCACACCTTCTCCGAGGGTGAGACTCTGCGTTTTTTCAGACCTTCCCGGGGAACTTTTAAGGTGTCCCAGCCAGTTTGAAACCTACCGTCCCAGGATAACGGTATAGCACTTAGATCTCCGCTGCTTTACTTGCTGTTCCAGAAGTACTGCCACATCCGGCTGGCAGGCTCCAAGGACCCCCGGGCCTATTTCAAGACCAAGACATGGTGGCTGGGCCTGTTCCTGATGCTGCTGGGCGAGCTGGGCGTGTTCGCCTCCTATGCCTTCGCCCCGCTCTCGCTGATCGTGCCCCTCGGCGCAGTCTCCGTGATAGGTGAGGTCCTGGTGCCCCCATTCCTCCCCTGGGACTTGCTGCCTGTGTGACCACAGTTTCCCCAACCAGGGTCGAAGACACTCATTAAACATACCGGCTTTTGCTTTGATGATAACAGCCAGCACTTACAAAGGGCTTCACACACTCCGGGCCCTGCTCTAAGCACTTGGCGGATGTTGACTCTCCTAATCCTCCCGGCAGTCTTTTGAGGGAAATACTATTATTGGCCCCATTTTATAGAAGAGGAAACTGAGGCACAGAATGGTGGAGTTGATGACCCCAAATCGCATAGCTGTTGAGGAGCAGGGCTGGGATGTGAACTGGGCTGTCAGGCTCCAGAATCTGTTTAAGATTCAGAAAGTTTGTCAGAATCGCTTTTTATTTCTACTACAGAAGGAAGCTAAACTTTAAATCATTCATTCTAATACCGTCAAGATCATCTAAGCCTTTACAGAATTCGGACATCTTACACCTCTAAGAAACTCAGCCTATTGTCTGATCTTTTATACGTCAACTGATACCACTTTAAAAACATCATTAACCTCCTCTGCCGCCTTCCTGTGACTTCTGCAATCACTGAGCCAGTGTCTCGGAACACTGGAACCAACTGAACGACAAAGGAGCTTTAAAATCCATGAGGTCACAAATAAAACAGAATTAGAAAATAATTCTTTCCTTCTTAAGTGAAAGATGTTCGTGGACTGCTGATCACTAGCTCACTGGACATAGGAGCAAGGGCAATGAACTTGCTTTGAAATGTTTCCTCCCATCTTGCTGGCAAGCGGTGCACTGCCTAGAAGCTCCTCCCTGCTCTTAAAGGAGAAGGTCATGTTTCGAATCTTACTCTGCCTGGAATTAAGAGGGCCTCTTCCACACCAGGGACGGCATACTCATGGCAACGGCATGCCCCTCCTGAGCCCAAGGCAGACATCAGTAATAATCAGCATTCCTTCCGAGCGAGCCTGGAGGGGCCCTCAAACTCCTTGGACCTTCAGGCAGTCACTGCCAGTCACCAGGGGCAGGCTTCCGCTGATCCTATGATGAGACCCTCTTTTTCCTCACCAGGGTTGGTAAACTGGCAGCCCACAAGATGAATGACGTCCTCGAACGTGTCCTTTCCCACACAGTAGTTTTTAAGAACGTAGTTTGAGTGCCTGTAGTTGAGGCAAGTCGTTGGCCACAGCCCCAACCATTCCCTGTTGTCTTAGGTCCAGCCCGCTTCCTGCAGCCGAGTTACTGCCCTGCCCCCGTGTGTATTTAGATTTGTCCTCTGTCCACTGCCGACCTTGCCAAAGGGCTCTCGGGACTTTCTTTACAATGAGGAATAAGTGGCTGGGTGACCAGACACATTAGATAATAGTCTTTGAATTGTAATAAAATTTAAACAATCGAATCCTTCAAAACAAGGGGTTGAACTATAATGATGGGCATTCTGGTGTCTGCCACTGGAAATTAAGAGGTTCTTAGAGCTTCTCGGGTTACCCAGTGAGAAACAGTATTAAAAGTAGGAATCACCACCATTTATTGGTCCTTATTATTCATCAGGCATTGTTCCAACTACTTTAATACTAATAATGGCCCAGTTACTGAGCATTTACTGTGTGATGAATGGTTTACATATATTAGCTCATTGATTTGCCCCTCTCTATCAGAGGAGTAGGTATTTTCAGTGGTGTGCTGATAAATCAACTCAGAGAAAGAGTGAGAGAAGAAGAGGAAGAGGTGGAGAGAGGAAGGGAGGGAAGGAAGGGTCAGGAAAGTGGGAAGGCGGAACAGGAAGACCTGATTTGTAGTGTTTCCGATTTATATGTTCTAAACACCCCTCACTGTGGCTGTTTTCAAGCCACCGATAATTTCCTGGGTATTTAACAATCCGCAGCTGATGCACCCGGATCCAGCACATTATTTCATAGACTTGGAACCCGAGACCCAGGTGAACTGACTTTCCCCGGGACGCAGGGCCAGAAGACGCAGAACTGAGATGGCAGGCCAGGTCTGTTCTCAGGGCAGGCCAGCCCCGTCTCGTAGGGCCGTCACAGGAAGTTTGAGAACATCTGCGAATGTGGAAGGTCCGGGGGAAACAAGATTCAGGGTCAAAATACCAGAGGCAGACGTTGCCGGATGAGGAGCAAGGGCCCTGGCGTCTGACAGTCCCGGGCTCCAGTCCAGCCTTCACCTGCCAGCTGCACGGTCTTTAGTGGGTCCTTCACCTCTCTTAGCCTCAGTGTCCCCATTTTTCAAATAAGAATAATAATAGCACCCAGATCAAAGGGGGAACATACCAGAAATAACTTTAGTAAATTGCCTGTTGCCCAGGAAGTACTTAACAAACACCCAGTGCTCCTGGCCTTGTAAGAAATCCTCCCTGTTGAGATGGAATAACGGGGAAATGGGAGGGGCCTGAGCTCTTGGGAGCCTGGGCGAAGGGGCTCCCTTTGACTGGTGGCAGCCTCAATTCTTTTCCCTGTGTTTTTTGTTTGTTTGTTTGTTGTTTTTTATAGCTAGCGCCATCATAGGAATCATATTCATCAAAGAAAAATGGAAACCTAAGGACTTTCTGAGTAAGTTCACCGATTTGGAGCCCCTGTTAATTTTGCGCTTGTGCTTTTTCTCATTATAAAACCAGCTCACCCCAAGTTCACTTCCGTTTCCCACTCCCCAGTGTGGTTCTCAATCCCACTCTCATCAGGAGAGCTGGGTTTTTTCATCACTGGCTCCCAAACCATTCCGTCAATATTTGTGGAGTACCTGCTTTGGTATTTTAGAAAGCCAAATACAAGGCACCCCCTTTCCCTAACTGCCTTCTAAAACAATGGGGACTAAATACGCAGTCACACGCAGGAGACCAGAAGTCAGGTTTCGTTACCAACGGAAGCCAAATTAGAGCATGCAGCCAGGTGACCTCTGCCCCCTGTGCCCCGGCTCCCAGCTAGACCTTGGGCCAATCTGCCAAGAAAGTATTTGGGTTTACAGAATGGAGCACTCAGCCCGAGTTACTTGGTCACCTAATCTGGGGCAGCGTGTGCTTCCGGGGCAACGCCGCTGACCTGTGGTAGTTGGTGCCTGCGCTGAGCCCCGAGACAGCCTCCCCTTCCCCGCAGGGCGCTACGTCTTGTCCTTCGTGGGCTGCGGTTTGGCTGTGGTGGGCACCTACCTGCTGGTGACATTCGCACCCAACAGTCACGAGAAGATGACCGGCGAGAACATCACCAGGCACCTTGTGAGCTGGCCTTTTCTCCTGTACATGGTAAGAGAGGCCTCTGGTCCTTCTGCCTGAGGTGTTGGGGGTGGGGGGGTCTGGTTCTATTAACAGAACCCGGAATCCCCAGCCACAGGGTCCACGTGAGCCGGGGTGGACTTCACAGCACTGAACACGACGCTTGTGCAGGGTGCACGGTTCACGGGAAACGCTTTTTCTCGCAGGTCCTGAGTAATGTCCACATTACTTCATTTCACTTCACTCTATTTTAATTTTATTTTATTGTTAGAGAGAGGGGAAAGGAAGGAGGGAGAGAGGGCGAGAAACAGCAACGTGAGAACATGAGAAAGAAATATCAGTGGGTTGCCTTTCGTTCATGCCCTGACCAGGAACTGAACCTGCAACCAGGAATAGAACTGGTGACCTCTGGCTTTGCGGGACAGCGCCCAGCCAGCTGAGCCACACTGGTCGGGGCCAGTGACAGCTTGATTTTTTAGAGGTATTTGTAGGCTGCACATGTAATGTAACTATGAAAGACTACAATGGGGAAAAATTCCATCAGTAGTTGTCTCTAAGAGATAGAATGATGACTGAGTTTATCATTTTGTCTTTATGTATCATCCAAAATTTCTACAGGGAGCATTTAAAACTTCTATGGTGAGAAGAAAAGTCAGCATTTTAAACAGTTACTAGGTGTTATTTATTTGTTCATTTTTGCCCAGCGTCACACGGCTGGGAGACACAGGGGAGACCCTGGAAGGGGGGTCTCCTACTACCCCGGCCCAGCTCCGTCCCGTCCGCTCCAGGCACATCCCATGTGGGGTCTGCAAGTGAACCAACCAAGGAAAACGTCTGAGGGGCAGGGGTGTCCAGCCCACAGCCCACAGGCCACCCCCGGCCCAGGGTGGCTGCGGGTGTGGCCCGACACAAAATCGTAAATTTACTTAAAACACGGTGAGATCATTTTGTGATGATGTGTCGCAAGGTATTTAATGTGCGGCCCAAGACAGCTCTGCCTCTTCCGGTGTGGCCCAGAGGCAACACAAGGGTGGACACCCCTGGACGGCGTTTGCTAAAGCTACTGGTACACGAGCGCCCCCGTTCCATGCCTGGCTCTGCACTCGGCACTTCCTCTGTGTCATCTCGGGGCCTCTGCACACCCCTGAAATGGAAGCGTTTTCTCTCTCTGTTTCCTGGATGGAACAACCGGAGCTCAGGCAGGTTAGCTTGCTTGTTCCGAGTCCCACGAGAGCAGTGCTGGACTCGAAGCTGGGCTGGCCTGGCCCCCCGTGACGCTGCCCTCCACCGGGGCCCGCTGAGGGAGGCGTTCACTGTGCCCCCTCTGACGTGAGCAGCCTGGGACTGCCCCGCAGGCCTCAGAACACCGCCTCTCCTCGGATCGCCCACGAGGCAGAAGAAAGATGTCCCTAGGCTGGCCCTGTGTCACCTCCCTACCGCCAGCCAGCCCCAGCATTTCCCTGGTGGTCACGGAGGCATGTCTGTGGGAAAGAGCCAGAGAGCTACCTCTTCACGGAAAGGTTTACCCTGAACACAGGCTCGAATCCATCATGTGCTGCGTGACCTTAGCCAAGTCACTTGACCGGAAGCCAAGCCGCTGGACCTGGGCTGGCTGCTGGGAGAGACACAAGGTGGCATGGAGGCCACCCAGCACCTGGCAGATGCTCAGTTGGTCTTTATTCCTTGTGACTGAGACAGTGCTGCCAGCTGGAGAGGTGTGGCCAATTCAAATTCAATAAATACTTCTGAGAGTCTTTTACGTGCCAGACACTGTGGACTTAAAAAAATAAATAAATGAGGCACACTCACAGAACTCATGGTCTATCGGGAGGCCCCAGCTCGGACGCCACCATCTCGAGAGACAACGCCAAGTACCAGTCCAGCTGGCATTTGGGCATCGTGAAGAACGGCGGAGAGACTGGGCCCCCTGGACGCGCGCACGCCGCTCGGGAATGCTGAATACCCCCATCTGCCTGCTGGGCTCTGCCGCAGCCATTAAAGATGATTATGACAACTTCATAAAACATGGAAGTTGTTTCTGGTAACTAAACGCAGCCCCATACAAAAACGTGCATAAACTACGACAATGAGTAGATAAAATATATATTCGCTGAGACAAAGCCAGGAAGAAACAGGAAAGTGAAAACAGCTGTGTGTTGTGGTCTCTCATTATGAGGAATTTTCTAAAATGTTCTTTTCAAAGTGCCATTAATGTCGCCGCATTGGTTTTTATAACAAATAATCTTTGGTAGGCGGTTGGGGTAAGCAAACAGAGCTAAACTACTGTTGGATATTTTTGCTTTAGTTTTGCTGGGCTGACTTTACTCCTTGGAAAGTACTGCCCAGGGTCTGAGCCCTTAAGGAGTAGAAAGGACACGTTGTTGATCCATAAGAAAGCGGGGAATTCTCACACTTTAGATTTGCTGTTGTTTAATAGTAAGTCTGTTGATTGAGAGCCTTGTAATTGCCAAGCGCGTGGCTATCTGTCCTCAGGCAGTGTAGCTTAGTGGTAAAGTACATGGGCCCTGGGGCTAGAGTGTCTGGGGTTCAAATCCTGGCTCTGCCATTTTTCTAGCTTGGGGGTGTAATAGTGCCTATTTCATAGAACTATTGTGCCGGCTCAGTTACTTGAGTATAGATAAAATGCTTAGAATAGTACCTGGCTTATTTATGTGTTCATTAAATGTAAGCTTTAACTGTGGCTCTGGTAGGTAAGAATTAGTATTCCTGTCTCACAGAGGAGGTAACTGGGTTCAGAGAAGCTCAGTGACTCGCCCAAGGTCACACAACTAGTTTAGAAGCAGATCCAAGTCCACTCCTGGACCTCCCCGACGCCAGTGCCCTCTTCCTCCCTCTCTGCAGAGCCACACACGTTGGGGGCTGGGTGAGGGGCAGGGGCATGGATACGTGCATACCTCACCGAAGGCTCACCTCGGTGAGCAGGTGTTCCCTGTTTGACCGACCCCCACAGACCCCAGTGGGGTTACCCACAGAGCAATAGAGTGGGAAGAGACCATCTCAGCCTGTGAACCTTGTCCATCCCAGGCAGGGTCGAGGTGAGGCCAGCCCCTCACCCTCGGAGCTCAACCGTGAAGCACACTCCTTTCCCGTGTTGTCCAGGGACTCGAGAGAGGCACGCAGTGTCCCCTCCTCTCCCACGGGATCCGTTCAGCAGTTTGGGAAGTGCTGGGTGTTTCAATGCCCTTGAGGGTCTGTGACTAGTGAAGTCAGCCGAGTAACCTCCAGCCCAGGCCGCCAGGGTCTCCCGGCCTTGCCCGCTGACATGCCCACCCCCTCTTGCTGCTTCCCGTAGCTCGTGGAGATCATTCTGTTCTGCTTGCTGCTGTACTTCTACAAGGAGAAGAATGCCAACAACATCATCGTGATTCTTCTCCTGGTGGCGTTACTCGGTAAGCGGGGCCGGGGGAATGAGTTGTGCCCTCACCACGGAGCACCAGAAGGTCCCCACTGGCTGGAGGCAGTTCCCGTCACTTCCGTCACATCACGGGCTGCGTCCAGCATTCTCATTTGGGAACTGAGTCTCCTGAGTGCCAGGAATGTGCTGGAAACTGGCGTCAGTGACGTACAGGACAGACAAACCCCAGGTGCCTCCGTTCTGGAGGCGGTGAATGGCAGTGAGCAAGGAGACAGATACCCAGTAACATACATTTGGCTGGTGACGGCGCAGTGAGGGAAAGGGCCGGGTAAGGGTGCAGAGGGTGAAGGGGCCGTTTAGGAGAAGCCACAGGTGGACCAGGTTTCAACAACCCAGTCCTTAAGCGTCCGTGGGAAACCAGTCAGAGCTCAGGAAGCAATTCTGGACTCAGAGGCAGGAATTGCTTTTGTTTTCTCTTTCTTTCCTTTTCTTTTAGAGAGATGGTGCCATGGGGGGAATGGTTCCTAAATCAGCTTGGGGCAAGGCTCTAACCCCCCACAGTGTTTGATTAGTAAATGCAGCTTTGACAAATGCCTGCTCTTCCTGGGGAAGGGGTGGGCGGAACCCCGCCGCTGTCTCCCCATTCTCTCCTTGTCTAAGCCACACCGCCCTCTAACAGTGGGCCTAGGGGAACACGCAGGCGCGGGGGGACAGGGGAATTCAAGGAGATGAGCACAAATGCCCGACACGTGTTGTTTCTCCTCTGTCCTTCCCATGGCGAAGCCCCCACTCCAGCGACACGCCATCAGCCAGACAGAGAGGTGTCACCCCAAGACAGGGTGCATTGTTTTTATTTTTCTTCAAACGGCTTTATTTTTTAAAAATAAGATTTTATGTATTTATTTTTAGAGGGGAAGGGAAGAAGAAAGAGAGGGAGAGAAACTTCAATGTGTGCTTGCTTGCACTCCCCCTACTGGGGATCTGGCCCGTAACCCAGGATGTGTCCTGACTGGGAATCGAACCAGTGACTGTTGATTCACAAGCTGTACTCAATCTAGTGAGCCACACTGGCCAGGGCTAACAACAGCTTTATTGAGACATAATTCACATACCATAAAGTTCACCTGTTCAAAGTACACAATTCAGTGGATTGTGGTGTATTCACAGAGTTATGCAACTGTCATAGTTCAAGTTCAGAACATTTTTGTCACCCAGAAAGGAACCCTATGCCCACGAGCAGTCGCCCCCCGCGTCCCCCTCCTCCCAGCCCCTGGCAGCCACTGATCTGCCCTCTGTCTCTATAGACTTGCCCTTCTGGGCGCATCACGTAAGCAGAATCATACATCACGTGGCTTTTCGTGACTGGCTTCTTTCACTGAGCAAAGTGTTTTAGGGGGTTCGTCCGTGTTGTAATGTGTCAGCAGTCCGTCCCTTGGTGATGTTTTAAAACTGGATTAGAAGGTCACGGCCCCAGAACATGTTCTCCCACTGAATAGCAAGCCCAGAAGGTTCCGAGGCACGTCGGCCGCTGTCTGTCCCCTTCTCACTCACAAGGGCGGCCTGATGAAGCTGCTTATCCCACCTGGCTGCTGCCATTTGCAAACCGGCCTCGGAGCCGGAGCCGAGGGGGCGTGGAAGCCGCTGTGTGTGCTGGGCTGTTGGCCGGAGAAGGCAAACCGGGCAGAAGCTGAGAAAAACGGGAAGCAGAGCATTTCGGCCAGAATGAGGGGCTCCCTTCGCACCTCCGTTGGGGGTGGCTTCTCTGAGCCCTTGCTTCAGCAGGGGGATCTGACAGGTTAGAGTCAGGAGTCATTTCTGTGCCCGTGGTCTTCCTGGTGCAGTGAGGAAGACCATCCGCCAGGCGTGTGAGAAGACCACATTAGAAGTTATTTTCATCTCCACCTTTTAAGTGGTGTTTCCTGCACATGTCCCGTCATGGACACACACATAAGCACAGTGTTGCATGACTGTAATTTTAGAATACATAAACACGTGTGTATTGGAAAAGCATGTGCCCATCCATTAGGAGTAGGGTTGTAAAACATGTGGGACCTCTGTCCGAAGAAGTGATTTTTAAAAATACAACTGAGATTGTTTTTTAAAGAGCGCTTCACACATGCCGTGTTATTCCCCTGGTTGCCATGAGGACGATACTCAGGAAGTTTGTCCGTTCACAGATTGCGTGGCTCCCACTGGGTCCCGGGCACCTACATGAGTCGTGGGGATGAAACGAACCCACGCCAGGGTTTGGAGACCTGAACTTCTTGCTTTTTCTCGGTAGAGTTTAGAAGCGACATTTGGAGATACCTGGCGGGGCTCTGCCTCCCTTGCTTCTTCAGTGTAGTGGCACGAACGGTGGCAAGTCCAAGAGAGGCGGACAAAGAGCGTCTTCTCGCCACGCGAGTCACCGCGTTGGCTGTGCAGGGTTCCCTCTGTTCTCTTCACCAAGGCCTTTGGGGCGATAAACTGACTGTCAGGGCCTGCCTCCCTCTGTTCCCTGGGTCCCCACATGCTTGTTTGCCTTCTTTGCAGGCTCGATGACGGTGGTGACGGTGAAGGCAGTGGCCGGGATGCTCGTCTTGTCCATCCAGGGGAACCTGCAGCTCGACTACCCCATCTTCTACGTGATGCTCGTGTGCATGGTGGCGACTGCTGTCTATCAGGCCACGTGAGTCGCGAGTTCTTTCCTGCTGGGCCTCGGCACGCAGGCCTGGTTCCTCCGTTGTCTGGACCCCATTTCCTCGTGGTTGAAGCTGCGGGGAAGGCAGAACATTCAGACGCAGCCTGCCGCCCTGCCGCTGGGGTCTGGCGCCCACCGCAGAGAGTGCGGCGCTGCTAATTTGCTGAGCTGTCACGTGGAGGAGGTCTGTTGCTTGAAAGACGCAGCCTGGAGTGGGTGTGCTTGACCCTGTGCCTCAGAACGTGCGAGGTGGTCAGAGGCAGCCTCGCCCCCCACCTGCTCCTGGCAGGCACACGTTCCCGGTGCTGGAGGCACCGGTTGTCGGGGAGGTGAAAAACACAAGGTCATCAGTTCTTGTCCTCAAGATCATCCATTTCAAGCGGATGTCCCCCAAATCATCCCAAGTGGAAGAGCGAGGGGGGATCACTTCTCTCTGAGCACAAGAGTTAAGTCAGAAGCAGCCGTACTGAGGGGGCCTTGTTCACATTTGAGACTCTGTGACCAGCAGTGGGCCTGGAAGGGAATGTGACACCCTGTGTGGGGACAGGAGGGTGGACTGTGAGGCTGATTCGCCTGGGCAGGCCCAGGCTCGCTGTCTACCAGCCTGGCCTCGAGGGATCGTAGGAGTGACTGATGCCCGGCGTGGGCCAGCCTCGCTCTCACTGATTCCACGTGAACTTGAATTCATTGCATCCCCACAGCACCCCATTCATGTGCATGACACAGCCCTCATTCTGCACATGAGGGACGGACTACACAGCACAGTGAGGTTCGAGGGCCAGGAAGTGGTGGAGCCGAGATTTGACATCCTGCTCCCAGCCCACAGCCCTTACCCCTCTGTTCTACCACCTTCCCCTGCTTCTCTGAGACGCAGTCTTTGTCTGCAAACGCGAATAACTGCCCCTGCCTGAGGGAACCATGTAAAGCGTGGTAGACAGCAGCTTCTTTTAGGACTTGTTACTCTGTCGATTATGGCTGTTCCCAGTCCTACGGCATCAATTCTGGGCATCACCACTGAGCCCCTGCCAGACGGAGACCCTGTTTCCAGCACCTCAGGGGTCACTAGGACAGATCAGATGCCCTGCCCACCTCCTGTGAGCTTCTCAGTCACCTACTCAGTGCACATTCACTGAGGGCCTACTGTGTGCCAGGCCTGTGCCGGGCCTTCCACACACTCAGACTGTTCTCGAGGCTCTCACAGCCCCGCTGGGGGCAGCCGGGCAACATGATTACAGCCGAGTGGGAAGTAAGTTACGGTGTAAGCAACTGCAGTAACTAAAGTACTACACAGAGAAAGGACAAGATATATTCTGAAACCATGGCAGTGCTTACCCCAGAGGGAGAGATTAGGAATAACTCCAACTTTCCCTCTTTTTCCTATATACAGGAAAGTAGGTTCCCTATATACAAAAGTAGGTTTACAGTTGTGAATACGCGAAATGGTTTGTTCTTGTGTTATTATCATCATGACCTGAATGTCTTTTCCCACACAAACGACTATAAACCTACTTTTGCCTATCCCTGTATGTTATAGATATCATGGTATTTTTGAATGAAGAAGGAAATTTGACTTAAAACATTGTTAACAAGACAGAATATTATAAGTGAAATTAGAGTTTCTCAGAGTGTTTCAGCCACCTGCAATGGCTCTTTTTAGTGGAGGGGACCCCGGGGACACAATGGTGAGGGAAAGGACATTTCCAGTTACGAGAACCATGTGGTCAAAGGTGTGAGACGAGGCACAGCCCACTTGGTGAATGGGGGTGGGCCTCAGCTTATGAACCTGGGGAAGAACGGGAGCAAAGCATGGACCTCAGACCTGGGGATGCACGAGGGTGGCATCTTTGTGAACCCAAGGAAAGTTCTGTCGTGGGTCATCTCCATATTTCAAACCAGGGCTGCTGTCCGCAGCTCCCACCTTGGCCTTTCCAACATCCCCGCAACCCGCTGACCAAAGCGCTTTTGCATTGCAGGTTTTTAAGTCAAGCCTCGCAGATGTACGACTCGTCTTTGATTGCCAGTGTTGGCTACATTCTGTCCACCACTGTCGCCATCACCGCAGGTAAGGGTGGCCGATTGCTATGTTTCTGTCTTCTCCCTGAGCGGCAGGGGTGGTGCCCCCGTGTCGGGGGAGGCGGCTCTGCCTTGGACCATGCTCCGACTCATTCTGCCCCTGGAGAAAGTACAGGGTTTAGAGCCAGAGGGACCTGGGTCGGCATCCCAGCACAGAGACAGCGCTGTGTGGCTCTGGGAAAATCACTTCACCTCTCTGTGCCTGAGTTCTACTTTCATAACCTGGAAGTAATAACACTTACCTCCTAAGATTGAAATATGTACAAACCGCATGTGCCCGATGTTGCGGCGCTTATGCAAGGTTTCTTTAACCGTTTTGCTGTCCTCTGCTGGCCACACGGCCGTTGCGGGACACGCGCCCACAGGCTCCTTCCATGTGAATTCCAGAGATCATTAGTATACGAAGCCTCTGCAGTGATAAGGGCTCAGTCCGTGATCACTGTTACAATACTACCCTTTTCTTCTACTCCACCCCTAATTTAAAAAAAATTTTCTTTCCGAGGGGGCTTTAGAGGCTACAAGCATGTCAGAGTTAGTTTGTTTTTAAGTGTCTGCGATGACTAACATCTTTGAAGTGGCGGGCTGCTCTGGCTCCCTAGAAACATTACAGGGAGGAAGTGAGCTGAGGCCGGGCTGCTGCTGGATCAGTGCACAGTCAGAGAAAAGGGGGCCGTGGGGACAGGTTCAGGGGGTGAGTCAGGGACAAGCTGCTTTCGGACAGGGACAGTGCTGCCCATTGCTCCCCTCATTGCAAGTCTCGTGGAGTCCTTTTCAAACTCACTTTCACCAGGGGCCACATTAGCCTCGAGGTTGCCTTCAAAGGGCCGAATGTAATCTTAGGACTGTATCAGTGTAACTACTCCTTAACAGTTAAGCGAGAGCTTGGTGCTGCCGCTGGGTAGAATCAAGGTGCCAGGCTGGGTAAAACAAGGTGGAGGGCCGTGTTCGACCTGTGGGCCTTGTGTTTGCCACCTGTGCTTGGCATTTAAGAGAGAAAAGTAAAGATGCATGCCTGAGAGGGAAGTTGTGAGCATGCCCAGAGAGAGTGCACCATTTTTGTGAGTCGAGTATTATCTTGAAATAAAAAGCTAAAAATAGATGAAGATAAGAGGGGCCTAGGAGTGGGAGAAAGAAGACAATCTCTTCCCTTCAATGGCTTTTATTCCGTTCTTCTGGGGTGTCACTAAGTGCAGGCACAGTAGTGTTTGATTGCTTTGGTTCCCTGCGGGGAAGAGAGCTCAGCCAGCCCGACTCACGGCAAGCAGGCGATCTGAGAACAGCTCTCTCCCACTGTCCGCTGCAGGCGCAGTGTTCTACCTGGACTTCATCGGCGAGGATGCGCTGCACATCTGCATGTTCGCGCTGGGGTGAGTCCCGCCTCCTCCCTGGCCGCAGGGCCTCCTGAGCAGCAGCGTCCCAGCAGGCGGCCCCTCTCCGGTCCCAGCCTGGGCCTCTCAGGCAGCACTTTGTCCCCAGAGGTGACCGCTTTACTCCCCCGTGGGCTTTGGTTCCTTCCCCTTTCCTCTCTTCTGGTCTTTAATCTCCTTGTCATTTCTAAAAATCCTACTTCAGTACTTGAAAGGCCTCGCTCTCTGACCTCAGATCAAAGAAATGCATATTGAAGCTACATGAGGTGCCATCATTTTACAAAAACTAATGGGACTGATAATATTCCATGTTGGCAAGAGGATGAGGAGACCCTGAGAAGTTCTTTAATGTGGAAGAGGACAATTTGGCCATATCAGTAAAAATTGTAAATGAGCGTACTTTTGAGATAGCATATCATTTATAATCATTTGTCTTGGGAGAGTAATTGAAATGGGGCACAAAAACCCATGTATGAGGCTACTTGTTAATTTTCAAATTAATTGTATAAGCAAATAATCGGAAGCCACTTAGATGCCCGGCAGTAGGAGCAGGGTAAGTCATAGTGTATTTATACAATAAAGTTGCACGGTGCCGTTTTGAAAAATTGAGGCCAGTCTATTGGTATGGATACATTAGGTGGAAACGTTACTCTTTCTGTTGATGTGGAGTCTATTCTAAGATCCCACAGTTCCACCTCTAGATAAATATATTCCCAAAAGAAATGAATATGCATATTGACCAAATGACTTATACATGGATATCTATAGTGGCTTTATTCATAACATGTCCAAATGGGGTACAGCCCAAATGTCTACAGACAGGAAAGTGAAAAACACATTGTGGTCTCTGCAGACAGTGGGTTCGCCACAACAATTAAAACGAATGAACTAGAACACACAACAAAGTAGATGGATCTGAAAAACATTTGCTGGGTGAACGAAAGTAGCCATGAAAGAGTCATACACACTGTGAGGTAGCTTTGGAGAAGGTCAGAACCTGGCAAATCGAGCTTGTGTCGAGAATAGTCACAACAGTGGTTTCCTCTGGGGGACGGTGGCATAAACTGGGACAGGGCCCAAGGGCACTTTCGGGAGCAGAGGGGATGGCAGTGTCTTCTCCGTCAGCCTGGCGGTGATCGCACGTGTGCGTACACAGATGAAATTCATGAAATGGTAATCAGGGTTTGTTCATTTCACTGCACGAAAATTATACCTCAGTTTTTAGGAAGCACGCTTGTTTAAGCTCTAGGGAAATGGGGGAAAAAAAAAAAACAAGACTCTGGGAAAATATACGCCTCCCTGGGGTGTGAGATGGAGGAGTGCAGGGACTTGCATTTTTACTCGCTCCACTCCTGTACTGAGTAAGTGTGGGCTATAAAGAACTGCTTAAATTAAAACAAACCCTTTCCAAGGCAAGGTTCTGAGATGCGGGCTAACTACGAGTGAAGAGCCGCCCGAGTTTTGCCTGGGAGAGTCTAATTTATTCTGATGAAGGCTTGTGCAGAGTGCAGGCGTGTGGGGGTGTTATTATTCATCTCACATCTGCTCCCCGCTGGTCTCAGGCCCAGCAGCCTCCGCAGGCCGCTGGGCAGCAAACACCCCGCTCCACAGCTGCAGCCTCCGTTCTCCCATTTTTCCGTTACCTGGGTCTGGAAGCATCCCTCCCGAACTCGCTGTGGCCTTACTTCTCTGCCTCCCTTATCTCTCTGTCCCTCAGGTGCCTCATTGCATTCTTCGGCGTCTTCTTAATCACACGGAACAGGAAGAAGGCCATTCCATTTGAGCCCTATATTTCCATGGACGCCATGCCAGGTAATGTTAAAACCCCCGTCTCCAGCTGGCCGGCTCTCCCTGTAGAATGACTACTACTTCCCGTTTGAAAGCAGACAGCCGGCCGCTGGGTGTGGTCCAGGGAGGGCATGCTGTGCTATACTGGTGTGACTGTCTCTCTGTTCTTTATTTGTTTAATCTCAGTGTGCCGAAAAGGAGGTAATGGCTGAGGAGCCTCAGTTGGTTCTGAGTACATCTTGCCAGTTCCTGTGTCTATTTGGGGATCTTTTAAAGACCATCCTGATTCCCACTGGATATCATTAATTATGCTCTGCAGCCCCAGGCTTCACACCTGCAAAGGGAAAACCCGTTTAGCTGGAATGGATTGATCAGAGAGGGGCAAGGAAAGTAGGATGAATGAAATTCAGATACTATAACCTCACTCCCTACACCACAAAGGAGTGGATTGTTCTGGAAAGCTGAATTTCCTAGGACCTAAGAAGAGTTCATGCTGAGAAGCACAAGCCCGAATGCCCTTAAGGCCTCACAGGAGCAAGAATGTGCCATCGCTGAAGCTCAGCCCGAAATGGGTGTGGGGTGGCCAGTGGAGAACTGGAGAGGACCCGCCCAGCCCAGTGGCATCCAGATCGGAAAAGTTAGGGCTCTGGGCCAGCCCCCTCCAAGTCTGCTGACCTAAATTCTTTGGAGTTGCCAGGGACCACTAGCTTTCACTGTTTAACGCACACTTGTTATTTTCGCTATATTTGATAGGACTCTTTCCCACGCTTCATTAAGACAGTCTGATGAGCCCAATATAATCACGTTGGTGGCACAGAGCGCTGCATTGTCCAGAATGCTGTGGCGTAGGTGTGTTCTCAGGGCTGACTGAGGTGCCCCTGCCTCAAATGACCCCAGGGTTTGCGTGTCCACTTTTTGTACCATTTCTTCCTCCCTTGCTGTTAGGCCGTTGTCTGTCGTTCTTGCCGCTACCGGCCTGGGATTCCTGCTGTTACCAGCAGGGCAACTCCGTGTCCGTCTTGTCCTTGGCCCCCCCTTGTCTAAATTGTGTGTAAAATTACATTAAATGCACCCTGAGATGGGGCCTTCAGGTTTCCCCAAGGAGTGACGTGCATGGGCTTTGGTGCATGGACTTTTTAAACGTCTAACCAGCAGCTCAGATGCCTTTTTTGCTTACTTCCTTGTTCTTGGCTGTGTTCCGGATAGATGAGGGCGCTGGATAGCTGAGTTCCAGATAGGTGAGGTGTCAACTCCATGCGTGTGCAAGTCCGTGTATGTGTCCGTGTGTCTGTGCATTGATGAACTGTGTACGTGTGTGTATCTGTGGCAGTGTTTGTATATGCACATATACGGATGGATTTCCTGGTAGGAAACAAGGTAACCTAAGGTCATCCCGAAGACCAGTGTTTCTGTGGCTGGTTTGTGGACGTGGCCCGTGCTTCCTCCTTGTACTTTGTGACCCGTGGGAGGTAGGTGTTGGAGGAAGGAGACTCTGCCCTGTCGCTGTAGCCTGTCACACACTTCTGGGTGGACGTGTCCCGTGCCATGAAGTACGTGGGCTTCGAGTTCGGGTGATCTGGAGTCAAACCCCAGCTCTACCCCCGCCCGCTCTGCGACCTTGGCCTCCTTTCGGGATAGTGGCATAACATGCGACAGGCCCCTTGCACAGTGTCTGGGACATGGAAGATGCCTGGTTGAATTTGGTTTCACTGCCCTTTTGCTTTAGAACATTTCAAACGTTTGTGTGGCCTGAGGCCAGGTAGAACTTGGAGAGCACCGCTCCATACGCAGAGTGGCTTTCCTAGCTACTTGGTTTCCCTGACCAGCATCGGGGCCTTGCTCGTGGCCTCCCGGGACTGGTCTCTTCACAATAGACCGGTGCCTGCTGTTCAAGAGTCATTCGAGTCCCCCCAGTTCACTCCCTGTCAGAATTTGCCTGAGCTTGAAGTAATTTGAGCACCTGAAAGACTTCTCGAGAAGGAGAGAGGGAAAAGCAGTGCCTGGTGGGTAGGAGCTGGGCCTTGCTGTCCCCCGGCTGCACACACACAACCTCACAGAACATCCACATCCGGCAAGGCCGCTCTGTGACCTTGAAGGATCGAGACACAGACAGGGACCACTCCAGAATCATGTCCGAACACAGACGACACTTGAACATTGTCTGACCACAGAAAGGACCGACCATCCCCCTAACATGAGTGACCGCTGCTCTTAACCCTTCGTAGCATTAGCCTCAATCTGGTCTTCTCTCCTTCTAGATAAGAATTAGTAAGAGCTTTTATTATAGAATCATCTCCACTTCCTGACAGCATTTAATCCAAAGCAGAGCCCTGCTTCCTTACACCCTCCCCCAAATCACCTAACACAAACCCAAGTAATAAGTCCTTCCTGCTGTCTTCTTGCCGAAGCAGCCCACGGTTCCCCCTGGAGTCCATCTCCCTCCCTGCAGTGAGCTGGTGAAGCCAGGACTGTCAGACGATAGGTGTGTTCCTGGTGATTTGTGGCTGGAGAATATTGGCAAAATCCAAAAGCTCAGCTACACCTAGTAAGGCCACTCTCTTCCCTGAGGAGTAGGCTTCCCCTCCTCGTCCCCCAGATTCAAACCACAGCCACTTAAACTGCGTCCTTCCGATGACCATCAGCTCAGGCTTGTGCAGTGTGGTAGCAAAGCGTCTTCCACAAACCGGGTCTGCCCAGCCCGTTTGCAGAGTGAATTAGAGCACAGACCTCAGCGCCGGATCCCAGCTCTCTCTCATTGCTGTGTGACCTTGGGCAAGTTACTTCACCTCTCTGAATCTGTTTCAGATTCACACTCTTAGCATATCTCTGCCATAGGATTTTTAGAGATTAAGTGCAGGTGTGTAGGGTGGCCACGCAGCATTCCAGTTAAGAGTGTGGGCTTCTGCCCTGCCTGGTGCGTCTCAGTGGATTGAGACAAAAGAGTCGTCTCAGCTGGCTTGCGAACCAAAGAGTCGCTGGTTCAATTCCCAGTCTAGGGCACATGCCTGGGTTGTGGGCCGGGCCCCCGGTTGGGTGCATGTGAGGTAACCACACACTGATGTTTCTCTCCCTTTCTTTATCCCTTCCCTTCTCTCTAAAAATAAATAAGAGTGTGGATTTCAGAGTTTAAATGACCTGAGTGTGAACCCTGGCACCGCCACATAATCGCTTTGTGACCTCCGACTGCTTCATCTTCCTTACTGGTAGCTGTGAGGATAGAATGAAATAAAGTTTTCTGATCATGTCTGCCACCAAGTAAATGGTCAGCACACATCAGCCATTGTCATTATTCCTGCTGTTGTTATTACTACAGAAGCACTCAGCCCGGTGCCTAAGGCACATTAAGCAGTCAGCTGTCCTCTGTTTTTACCACTCACAGGAAACACTGTGCATTGAGTTTCTCATGATGCAGCCCGGGGACAGGCGGGTTCGAAGGGTCTTCATTGCCTGCAGGGTCAGACTTGGCCTCAGAAAGCACCAGGCCCCCACCGGGCTAGGGGAGCTGTAAAGTAAGGCTAAAGGAGTCAGTGACTGGAGTCTTTGCCCTCAAACGTACGTGGAGATCCAACATCACTGTGCCAGAGCAACTAGCAGAGGGACGCCTCAGCCTGTGCATGGCTCGGGGGGGTCGACCTTACGGTCAGGCTGTCCCTCTGAGCTCCTCGATGCATCTGTCACAGTGACGTGTCCATGGCACAAAAGTTACCTTCTGTCAACAATATGATGATGTTTTCTGGATCCTGATTTAACTCAGAAAAGTGATGGCATCTACCATGTTCAAAGCACAGTGCTGGTCCCCCCACCCCCAACCTCCTGGTGGCCCAGAAAGGCACTCCCCCCATTCTAGATCGACCGATGGTTCCTCGTGACAGGGGTTGGTCTGTGTGCATACTTCCTGAAGATGCCTCCCTTCCTGCTTAGCAACCATAATGTTTCCAGTGTATATTTATGGGTGTTCTTTTTTCAATCTAAAGCATTCAGGAAATTGACAATGCACATGATTAGCTCTTGAGCCCTGTGATTAGTCTGTGGTGGGATAGAGAGAGGTGCAGCCTCCTTGGGCCCGCGCACTGCCTAATGATTTGGGGGAAATGGCTTTCATTTCAGGTATGCAGAATATGCATGACAAGGGGACGGCAGTGCAGCCCGACCTCAAAGCTTCTTTTTCCTACGGGGCGCTGGAAAACAACGACAGCATTTCCGAGATCTATGCTCCTGCCACACTGCCTGTCGTGCAGGAAGAACACGGCTCGAGGAGCGCCTCTGGCGTTCCCTACCGAGTCCTGGAACACACCAAGAAGGAGTGAGCCCGCCTCGAGGGGGACTTAACCTCCCCTCCACTTACAGCTGCTCAGGCCAGGCTGTCAGTGGTCCGACTCCTAGTTCTAAAACTTGCCTTTCAAGTCTAATTTTTGTAAACCAGGAACTGTGTGGACAGGGATCTTGAAAAGGCTTTGTCTTTGGCAGAGGATGTTATCTTGGTCTTGGGAATTTCACACACTGGGGGTGAGGGGAGAGGACAGAAGCAGGACTCTGCGGGTGGAAGGGTGGTCCGCCTCTGCCTGGTTGGCCACGCCGGACTTGGAAAGCCTTCATCATCCTTGAGGTCAGTAACTGTGCTTCCTCAGTCACGGACCAAAGGCTTCCACGTTCCTCAGAGCTGAAGCGAGGCAGAGTCTGCTCTTCCTCTCCAAGTCCAGGGAGAGACTGGAGACCTTTAAGTCTCGCCTTTCCCCACCTCATGTGCGGGCCTGACCTCTGCCCCTCTCACTTTTGCTTCCGTATTTGTGATAACATTTGTGTGGCCTTCACATAGCCCAGTGGGCCAGCCGTGGGTGGGACATTCTGGCATTCGCCGGTAGGAAATGCACTTCTGCCTCCCATAGTCTGCCCTCCCAGTGAAAATGTGCTTGATGTGTTTATAGTGGATCTGCTCTGAAAACTAACTTGATTTTGGTTCTGTGAACTGTTTGCTTGCTCTCCCTCCCTGCCCCTAGAGGAATCGGGAAGTTAAGAGAAGAAGGATGAGAACAGGACAGGGGCAGAGCGACGTCGCTCCAGCCCGTAAGGGAGGGAGATTCGCTCTCCATCCTGCAGAATGGGATCACATCACTTAAAAAGGGTAGACAGGAAGTCTGGCTGTTTTACATGTATCTTCCTGCACACCAGTGCCCTCTGGGAAGATTGAGGCGTTGCTCACCTCCTTCCATCCTCTTCACTATAGATCAGCAAACCAAGCTGGAGTCACTGGTTAATGTCTTTGGAGTCAGCACAGACTGTTTGGGTCCCCATCCCCATGTATACATGTCTGGGAGACGCACACAATCTCCGAAATGGAGCTACGCAGGCTTCTTTCTGGCTGCAAACCTTCTTCCCCTAGACCGACTGTGCGTCTTCGAGAACTTGCAGGTAGAGGTTTGCAAACCTTAATGAGCCTCAGGATCCCCTAGAGAGTTTCCTTAAAATGCAGAACCCTACACCCCAACCACAGATACTCCAAGTGGGACTGGGGTAGGGCCCAAGAGTCTGCATTCTTAACCAGCAGTACAGGTGGCTCCAATGCCGGTAACCCACGGATCACACACCTTGAAAGCCTAGTGTTCGGGAGGATCTGCTTTAAACCCCCCAGGGCCCGACGAACTCCTACTGGAAGGTTGGAGTGACCATTCCTTGTCTCCTTCCCAGGGTTCGTTAGGCAGGTCGTGCAACCCCTGAAGAAGCAGAGGCGGTTCTCCGTTCATTGATTACCACTTAGAGCTACACTTACTGCTTCCCACGCAGCCTTTAACTACCGGGCAAGATAACAGTGTTAAGAGACCAGTGTTGATAGATCATTAACCTTTATGGATTGTGCTTAATACTGATTTAGTACCTTGACTTCAAAAACTGACTGTTGCCTGTGGTAACACTTCTGTATTGTATCTCGGCCACTTCCGTACTGTCTCTTACATGCCTAGGCAAGCAGCCGGCGATGAAGGACCTTTTTCCCTTTAGGATAGGTATCAACTCCATGCAACAATATTTATGAGGCATTCATTCACTGTTTGTTAAGCATCTGGATGGTGAGAGCAAAAAGTAAGGATGGTTCCTGCCCTCCAGGCCAGCAGCTGGGGGAGACACAAATACCCAGGAGGGGAACCGGCAGGGAAACCAGCAGGCCAGGCCAAGTGCACTAGTGGACCACAGATAATGAGTTTTGGAGGCCCCGCTAAAGGTCAGGCCCAGAGCTGAGAAGGAGGGATTCAAAGTGGAGGTGGTTTTGGCCCCATTCCTTGATGAGAGGCAAACTCAGCAAAGTTTGGGCAAAGCATAGAAGGTTGAGTGGTCACCCCCACACCCACCCCCCAGGTGGAGGAACCAGCATTTGCAAAGGCACAGAGGGAAATCACAGGAAAGGGGAGCCAGGGAGGGGGTGGGAGATGAGCCTGGAAAAGGAAGCGTTGGAAGCTGAATCACAGATGGCCTCAAATGCCTGGTGAGGAGTTTAAAGTGACCCTAGAAGACGTGGGAGTCATTGATGGTTCTTGAGGAAGGGAATGGCAGGATCAACACCGATTAGAAAGGAGGGACACTTATGCAGTGTGGGGGAAGGATCTGAAGTGCACAATAAGTGCACTTTTCAAGGTCAAGCGGCAGTCCTGTAAGACAGAACACAAAAGGGGAAATAAAATCGTTTCATTGCTGTTTGGGGGATGATGACATCAACTGTACACTCACATCCCTGAATCCTGATCTCCTCTCATGGCTCTAACATCCCCCAACCCTCTTGAATGTTCTAAGCAACATTAAATATCACGCCTCTTATCTATTTCCTAGCAGCCACGCAGTTACACTTGGGTTTAAATTTTTCAGTCACTCTGTGGCCTTTCTCTCCCTACCCTTCTCCCCCCCTTGTTTAGAGGCTGGGATTCTGGATCCCCAAATCAGAGATCAGAACCAGCTCTTCACAGACTGGTTCCTGTGGGTTTTGACAAGAGCTCAGTGCCCCACTTCCTTTGACCCCCCTCCCATGAGGCTCCAGGTCTGATGACCCCATCCCATTAAGCTTCAGGTCATGTGGGGGGCTCGGCAACATGGAACTGCATGCTGAGTAGGGAAGGGGGGGCTGGCATCCCTTTACTTTTCTGGCGGAAACCAGCCAGCGGGGTGGTGTGTGGATACCAGTCGCCCGTCCCGGTCGTGTTGGGAAGTCTCCACTCTGCAACCTTGTGAATTCTACATCTAGTCCAACACTGGCTGATAAGCAAAAAAAAAAAAAAAAAAGATTGTGTGTTTCTTTGAGAAGCTATGTAAATGAAGTCACCTTAGAACATATTCTATGTGGATGCTTATATTTTGTTAACTTCTTGACTAATATGGCATGTCTTATTTTTTCAAAAAAAATGTGCGTGCTAGGTGCAAATAAAATTATGAAGTGGTATTTAATTTTAAAACAGCCCACGTGACACCTGTTGAGTGTGAGTCTTATATTTGGCTAATCACTTTCTGGAGTTATCTGGAGCAGTGCTGTCCAATAGCACTTTCCGTGATGATAGAAACGTTCTATGTGCTGCCCGGTATGGCAGCCACGACCCACGTCCATTCTGATTGAAGTAAATCATGGTGATTCGAAGAAAGAAAGAAAACAGACTCTACTCTGCACATTTCCAGTCTGCTGCAACCATTGTCAAAACTGAAGACTCCTAAAATCAGGAAGGGTCAAAGCTCCTTGGCGGCTTCTGAAGTTACACAGCCAGACACACCAGAGCTCTGAGTCGATTCGCCTCGAGTCAGCTCACTAACGCCGACAGCTTGGTCTGAGACCCACTTGAATAAATGTGTTTATCTAATTTGCATTTCGGTTTTAACCCATCCTTACAGGCCTCGCCAGACCATGATTTTGGCTAGCAGTGTTTTTCCTCTTTATACCCAGATTATTGTCCCACAAGTGCCTGAGAGCGGGAAGTTAACCCCCTTCAGGGTGACATTCTCTCCCCCACCCACATCTGCTCCTTGGAGAGATTCTCAGGGAGGGTTTACAGTGTCCTGGGTACTCTGCAGCATCTCTGGGGCTTCATGTTCCCATCTGCCGCGACCTCTGCTCTAGCAGCCCCTTTGAGACCAGCACTCCGTGAGGTCAGCTGCCCCCCTGCTGGTGACCTCTGACCCTCTGGTCCTAGAGAGGAGACAGCTCTTGGGCCTCCCCCTCCAAAGCATGGACTGGGCCCTCAGTGGTCCCTGGAAATGGCTTCTTGTGAGCCAGCCCATCAGCAAAAACAACCATGGGGTGGGGGGCTCACTTGGCTCCAGGTAGGTCTCCTCACCATGGGGCCAGCAACCCATCCCTTTCCCCTTTACCAGGTTTCTCCAGACACATGCCAGTCCAGACCTGACTGACCCTGGGCCCAGAAAGAGCAAGTCTTTCCTCAAGAACTTGACTTACGTCTGCCTACCCAAATAATCCCAACTCGGTGGCACTCCCAGAACTGAGGCAACTCAAGCCTCCACCCTAGAATCAAAAAATATTTCAAATGGTAGATCTTTCTAGCTTCAGAATTCTTATTAAGGCCTTCACCAAGCACCCTCGAGGGTGGAGCCTCCATGAATGGGATTAGTGCCCTCAGTGGGAAAGGCCAGGAACGAGCTGGCTCTCCACCCTGTGAGGGCTCAGAGAAGACAGCGGTAAACCGAACAGCTGGCACTCACCAGAACCTGGTCCTGCAGGTTCCATGCGCTCGGACTTCTGGCCTCCAGGAGTGAGAAATAAACTTCTGTTGTTGAATAAGCCACGCAGCTTATGGTATTTTGCCGTAGGGACCTGAACTGAGTGAGCCGGTCAGTAGGCTCTTTTCTCTCCTTCTAGGAGCCGGCTTTGGGATGCTGTGGCTGGAACTCTGCCAGCTGCTCCCTGCTGGGAGCCTGTGAGAGGGACTGCAAGGCTGCAGGGGGCTCCTTCCTGTCTATTTCCGGTTCCTTGCCTACCACCCGGCCACCCTTCTTCACGCTAGGATAGCAGCAGCCGAGTCGAGCTGTGCAGTGCTTCCCGACTCCTGCACAGTCAGCTTCGTGGTACCCCCTCCTCAGAGATCTGGGTCCTAGCTCCTCTTACCTCTCTCCCTTTTTTTTTTTTTAACAGCTTTATTGACATAATTCACATACCACACAATTCACTCACTCACAGTGTACATTTCAGTGTTTTTAGTGTGTTCACGGATATATGCGCCCATCACCATTGGTCAACTGGAGAGCATTTTATCACCCAAAAGGAAACCCCCAAAATAAATGTCGCCAGGGACGTGGGGAAGCTGGAATCCTTGTGTATTGCTAGTAGGAATATAATAAAACAATGCAGCCACTACAGAAAACAGGTGGTCTCTCAAAGCATTAAAAGTAGAGTTACTGCCATATGACTCAGAAATGCCACTTCTGGGCACATATGAAAAGAATTGAAAGCAGGGACTCAGAAGATGTTTTCACACCCGTGTTCACAGCAGCACTAGTCACAACGGCCAACAGGTGGACGCAACGCCGTGCCCACCAACAGAGGAAGGGGGGGAAGAAAAGGCGGAGCGTGCTCAATGGAACGTTCTTCAGGCCCTAAAAGGAAGGAAATTCTGACTTGTGCTGCAACATGGGTGAACCTTGAGGACATTGAGTGGAAAAAGCGAGACCCGAGAGGACAAACACTGAATGATTCTATTTACGTGTGTGAGGCACTTCAAGTCGTCAGAGTCCTAGAGACAGGAAGTAGAATGTGGGTTGTCAGGGGCTGGGGGAGGGGCAGGGTGGGGGCCAGGGAGTTTTTGTTTATTGGGTAGAGTTTCAGTTTGGCAGGACGAAAAACGTTCTGGAGATGGATGGAGGCAAAGACTGCACATCAGTGCAAATGTACTTAATGTCACTGAATTGCACACTTAAAAACAGTTAAAATGCTAACTTTTACATATATGTTGCCATAACTTAAAAAAAAAGAACCCCTGCACCCTTCTGCTATCACCTCCTTAGATTCCCCATCCTACCTCCTCTCCCGGCCTCAGGCAACCTCTAACCTCCTTTTTGTCTCTACAGAGTTCCCTATGTTGGATTTCCGTGTGAATGGAATCGCACGATACATGGACTTGTGTGTCTGGCTTCTTTCACCTTACATCCTGTCTTCACAGTTCACCCAAGTTGTAGCGTGTATCCAAGCCTCATTCATTTTTATGGCTGACTACCCTCTTATCTTTTAACTTTTAATAACTGCAGCCACTTCCCTCAGTAACTTTCCTCCTGGGAGTCATAGCTGCGTTCTGCAATTGCTCTTCCATAATCCCTCGGAGTTCTTTTTAGCCTGTTCAGTTACTAGGTAATAACTTTATGCGTTTCTAGATAACAGTTCTTTATACTAAATTCTTCCTGGTCAAATCACCAGTATGACTCCTGTCTCCTGACTTACTCTTAACTGACAGTTAAGAAAAATCAAAATAATTCGAATCCCCAGGCTACTCCTACAGCTGCCCATTTTTAATGTCCCATTTTCTCCGTGGTGCTCTCTGCACCCCTTCCTTCCTGACTATGGTCATGTGACTGTTACTCTCCTTGGCCCATCCGCAGCTCAGATGAACCAGGAAATAATATCTCCTCCCAACAAAGTCAAGGGCAGCATACTTTAAAGAGTAACCCCTTCCAGGAAGTGTAGCGTTGCGTTGTTCGAATACACCCGATTTTGTTTATCCATCCTTCTTTTGCTGGGGACTTGAGGTATGTCCAGTTCGGGGATATTATGAATAAAGAGCATTCTTTGTACAAACCTTTTTGTTGTTGTTGTTTTGGTGGACATTTACTTAAATTTCCCTCGAGTATATATCTAGGAGTAGAATTTCTGGGTCATAGGGTAGGTGTACATTCAGCTTGATAAAGTGGCACAGAGCTTCCAAAAACGGTCATCTCCGTTTACATTCCACCGACAGCCCATGAGTGCAAGGCAGGGGGTCTTTTATCACTTCTGCTCCTTCCCCGGCACACACCGATGCAAACATAACACAGACATTCTAAAGTGCTGACTTTTCAGTCTACTCAAACAAGAAGGACAGAATCTGAAATGAAATCGCCCATCTGGAAATTCTCCCGAAAGGCCAGAGACAAGCTACTCCAGATCTGCAGCGTCACCTGACGGGCCCGCCTTCGGTTTTCCAGGGCAGCAAAACACTCACCGGCCTTGGCACAGCTTCCAAAGGGATCAAGCCACAAGGGATCGATTTCTCTCTTTTTTTCTCTCTGCCCGAAACTCAAACCTCACAATGATGAGGAGGAGAGGGAAGAAGGGAGGGCTGGAAATGTGAAACTGTGTAAAGTTCATTCATAACCAGCATTTATTGCGCACTGTGCCCCACCTTGCTGGACGCAATGGCAAAGAGGAAAGATGGGGAAGATTCCATTCTTGTTCTCGAGGTTCTCATAACCTAGTTGACAGATGCAAGATGGAAACTCTTCCTGGGCCCACCGTGTAAAGGCTGATGCTGTTTCGGATCCTTCCCTTTGCCCTTCTTGGGTTCTATTCTGTGCTCTCCCTGGGGCAGCTCTTCCGAGCCCATGATTTCAACTACTCACCAAGCCTCCCCCCCAAGTCACTACACTGGGGCTTAGTTCACACTCAGGCTCCAGACCTATATTTTCCAACCACTTCCATCCTCAACTCCTCTCTAATGCTCATAACTTACATATAATTCACTGGTTAATTTTGTTAACCTCGCCCTTCTAATATAGCCAGAATCATACTATTTTTCACCACTTCCTCCCCTGTGACCCTTGCCCAACCCACTATCATCTCTGGTATGCATTTTTACAATAACTCCACCAAAACCAGGACTGCTATGTCACCGCTATTGCCAGTTCCTTATCGCTTCCCTTTCTTTTGGTAAGAGCAACTTGAATTGCTTTTCATGGCTGTAACCTTCAGGGTTCCAGCAGAAAGTTAACCTGAGGGCAGCTTGGAAAAGGTTATTTACAAATATGAGGACATTGTTGAGGGAAACGAGAAAGAATGATGGTAATATAGTCTGAGATTCCAACAGAGAGGACCCATTACTGCATCTAGGCCAAGAGAAAGGAGACTCTATCGAAGAGTCATTTGACAGAAGCCTTGGTAGGTGGATGTGGCCTGCCTGCAGTGACCTAGAAGGGAAGGGGCCTGTGAAATATAATACAACCCTTACTCCATCCTTCTCCAACCTGCTGACCTCCTCCTCATGTCATCTATTGGATAAATCCAAATGTCAGCCAGAGGCACCCATTGGAGACATCCGCGCAGGTCGGTGTCGTGAGGCGCAAATCAGGAAGGAAAAGGGTGAAGAGGAGACCTGAGGGGAGCAATGGAAAAGACCTCGCACAGGAAGCCACCTCTCCCTGTACTCGGTCCATGAGATCTGAGGGCTGCTGACCTCAGCCCAGCTCCAGGGGGAAGCATGTGAGCCAGGCCTGGGCTGTGAGAATATTCCAAGCTCCTTCTCAAGAGGGTGGTTACGTGATGTACAAGTAGCCAAGTTAGACCAAGAAGCAGCAGCCCTGGGACTTTGGCTGACAATGTGGAGGAAGAGAAACTCTCTTTCTGGCGCTAAGATTGTGACTGGAAGTTGTAAGCAGCCATTCTGTCATCTCATCGGGAAAGGCGGCCAGAGAATGAAAAGTGAACTCAAAGAAAACAGAGTTAGGAAATGAAGAACAAAGACTACATCCTGATGGGACAGTCTATGCCCGTGGATCCGGCCATGTCTTAAGTCTGTGACTTTTCTGTTACATGAGTCAACGAAATCCACTGTTGCTTAACCCAGTTTGAGTGGTATATTGCACGTGAGAAAAAAAAAAGACTCTTAAATAATATTTAATAACTCAAAGACCAATGCAAAACTGTACTTATATGTCCAAATATACTGTCATTTCTATGGAATGCCCTTCCCATATTCTCTACCTAGAAAACTCCTACTCAAATAGCCTCTTTACTGCAGAGCTTCCCCTTAATTTTCCAGGCAGAACTGCTCACTTCTTCCTCTGCTTTTGTCAGCACTTTACAAATACCTCTGTGAGTGCATAAAATTGGATCACAGTTACTGTTTACTTACCTGTCTTTCCTCACTGTGAGCCCTCGAAGGCCTAGATTCGTGTGGGCCTCACCCTTTCAAGCCCAGTGCCCTGCACAGGGCCTACAGGGAAACTCTGAGTTAGGGCTAAACCAGTCTTTCTATTTGGGGACTTCTCAGAGCCATTGCTACACTTGTGTGCATTTTGGATCCCCAACAAGGGGTGCAGAGTGCTGCAGTTTCTGAACTCAGTTGACCTAAAAACTCTTTTTTTTTTTTTGCTGAAGTTGCTGTGTTAGAGGAATTTAGAGAAGGAAAATTACTGTGCTTCTTAGGGCAACAGTGAAAGAAGTGGTTCTTAATAACTATTTGTTCAGTAGATGAAAGAGAAGAATCTGGTTAGGCCAAGGTGGGAGGCAGGGGCGGCGGCCAAGCTGCAAGCAGCAAGCAGCAGAAATAACAGAAACAATGAGCAGGAAGCAGGAGGGGGTGATCCTCGGCTGTAACCCTCTGATGGTGCAGAGTCAGTTGTGAAAGTGATTCGGACCATAATCCAGCCCTGTGTCCTTAGTATTTAATCCAGCCTTTAAATCTAACGGAGATCGGATGTATTCCACACATGTGAATCCTTCTTTTGCCCCCCTGAGACCCAGGTGCTCAGTGCCAGACAACACTGCCTCCTTGATTTTGACCTTCAATGTGCTTCACTTTGACTCAGAGGGGGTTATGGGTGGGTGATCAGAGCTGATTTCCTCCAACTTCACATTCTTAGGACAAACTCCTTTCTGGTACTGTGCCTCTGTTTCCCTCTCTGTAAACTAAGGAAAGAGACACAGGCTCCCCCCAAGCTTGGTCCATTGTCTTTAATAAGAAGAAGAAGAATAAATAATATCATCATCTACCAAATAAAGCCCCGTCCTACCACTGTAACTTTGAACAACTCATTGAACAGCTTAGGCCCTTGTTCTATTTGTAAAATAAGTGTAATTATGCTCCACTGTCTCCCAAGGCTTCTGAGAGAATCAAGCAAGGCTGTGCGTGGAAAGCGTTTTGTAAACGGGAAACTAAAAATGTAAACATTATTGATACTTTATATAGGGGGAGGAGGAGAGCCATGGAGGAGCAGGTGGAGGGCGGCGGCAGTATCCCACCGTGGTTAAGACCTAGCATGAGGATCTGCACATCCAAGTGCTACCTACAGCTCAGCTACCTACCAGCAGCCTCTTGTCAGGCAATTAAGCACACAGAAACCCTCCTAATCTATAAAATGAGGATCTTAATATCCGGCTCGCTGCTTACCGTGAGGTTAAATGAGGTAAAGCTCGCGAAGCACGAGGCGCATTGTACATAGTAACTGGCCCTCCATAAATGCTCATATATCCCTACTATTCCTGTGGCCGACACATTACGCAGGAAAAAGATAAACTATTTCTGGTCACGATGAAAAATGAAAAGGTCGCCAAAGGTCCTGTGGTCATGAGGACCTAACGCCGCCGCCGCAGCACGACCGTGCACACCCTACCGCCCGGAACACGAAAACCGGTACTGCGGGCCAAGCGCGCGCGCTCGCGCGCCCAGACCCCGCCCGCCCCCACGGCCGCGCGCCAGGGGCGGGACCGCTTCCTGCCGGCGACTGGGACCCGCGCACCCCTCCGGGCCGCCGACCTCGGGCGCCTGCGCCGCGCTTGCTCCGCGGGAGGACCGGGCGAGACGGGGCGGGAGTGCGCGGGCTGGTGCACGCGCGCGACGCCAGCCCCTTGCTTGGCCCTGGCGCCGCTCGCTCCCCGGCCTAGGCTGTCGCTCCGGCCGGCGTCGAGGGCGTGGCGGTGAGGCTCCTTGCACCGTCTCTGACCCGACTGCCGTCCGGGGTGTCTGCCCAGGCCCGGCTTCTCGTGGCGCCCCGTCCTCTCCCTTGGCTTCCTGCCTGGCTTCCTGCAGCAGCCAAGCGCTCAGGTGAGTTCCCTTCGCAGGGTGGGGCGAGTCTCTGGCATTTCCGAGCCAGGTACGCGACCAGCACTGGCGGAGGTGGTGGTCCAGCCCCTGTCGCGCCCAGCGTCTCCTTGGATTCTTCTAGGGTGGTGTCTTGGGGAAAAAAAAAAGAAAGAAAATTGTTGTCGTTTCCTCTTCACCAATAATTTTCTCCAGAACAATTGGTTGACTTTCTGAAAAGCTGCCAGGCCCAATCTGAAGGCAGGAGAGGTGCAGTCAGTAAAACGGAGAAGGCCAGAAGTTGGAGCCCCTCGTTCTCTCTCACTCCTCCTCGGATAACCATCGCATTACTTACTCGCTAACTTCTTGAAACTTGTCTATCTGCTTCCATCTGCTGCCTGGACCGGTCGAGCGACGATGCTGTTTTCAGGTCGCTTCGTTCCAGCTTCCGTGCAAAATCTGATCATCTCCTTCAGGGATTAGGAGTCTGGTATAGGGAGCAGTTCAGATCCGAGTTCCAGGTACAGACCAGGATTATTTAAAGTGATGCTGTAGTGTAGTAGGAAGCCAAAACCATCCACTCCCCCTTACTGAAAATAGCACACTACATTTATTCTGCCTTTTCACAGAACTCTGCATTTGGCAAAAAAAAGTGCAACTGACTTATTTGTGGCTGTGATTACATATCATTGAGGGCTGTTTCATTAGCTCTAATGGTTCTATATTAAATTAAAATTATATAAATTCTATAAAAACACAATATTGAGAATGAGAATATAGACGGTGCATCATGCGAATTTGTGCTTTGGGGTGGGGAGAGTGCACGGTATTCTAGAAGTGCACTCTCGAGGCGGGGAGACAATGAACAGCCTGAAAAAAAAACAACAGCCTCCTTTTTAGACATGCCATCAGTTTTATATTTTACTGGGTTGGCAGTAAAAGTTGGGAAGATATTTCAATGCTTTTAGGGCAAACAGGATTTCCCCCCACTATCGAATTGTCCTATTTGTAAAGCTTTTAAACATGTGCATCTTCAGGGTTACAAAGGGGAACCAGTTTCACGTGGTCCTAGAGGATTTGTTCGTTGAAAGACTTAAGCCGAACATGAGAAATAGTGTGATTTGAAAATCTGCGACGCTGAAGCCTGTGGAATAATGGAAGCTGTAAATTTCAATGTCATTGGCTAGTTAGACCCACAGAAGCTGGAGTTCAGACAGTGCATCTCCATTTTTCCCTTACAATGTAGAGGGTATAGTGAGAGAAAATGAACTGCGTGCAGCAGAACAAATAGTATCAGGTCTTTTTATATCCCCACTCCAATTATTCTTTAAAATCCGTTATTGTCATATGTTCTGACAGTTGACTTTGGTGTTTGTTTCTGTTCTCTCTCGTGCTGACAACTACCGCTGTTCCTGGTGGGGCACTGAACCTCAGTGTTTACAGCGGACCAATTCCAGATGACCTGTGAAATGAGGGCACAGGTCATGGAAATATACCAAAAAATTGAATTTTCACCTCTTTTACCTTACAGTTGCACCAATTTTATTTTTTACCACAGCTGTTAAAATGTAGTAAAATTCTACCTATAAATGATGAATGAGGAGGGACTAGAGGTAGAGGCTTGTAGATAGCCATTCATTGATAATCCTGAGGGTTTTTTTTTTTTACAAAGAAACTTAATCTAAATTTATAATTTAGAAGTTTGGAAGAGGAGTATAGTAGTTCAGCAGCATCCGTGAGTATTTTCCATATGTTACATGTGAAAGAACAAACAGAACAAAAAGCCGAGTGACTTTTCCCAGGTGATGCCTCAGGGCACTGTAGAACTGGAGATGGGGTACCAGTTTGCTTCCAGGATTGTTCAGTAGCATTTTGAATGCATCAAAAAATAGTAAGTGCATCTAGCCTGAGGTATGTGAAATGGTCACCAACTTGAGAAGCATATGATTTTCAAAAATTATTTTTTTAAAAAATCCTGGAGGAGGAGGAGGAATTTAGCTTTTCTGATCAGAACTTAAAATGCAAAGTCAAATCCATGTGCGTGACATTTTGGCTTGATGGATTACTTTCGTCACAAGACTTGTAGCAGAGCAGATGGTCACGCCACTTGGACTTTTCCACTCATTTGATGTTTCCATGAAGAAACCATTTGCCGGAAGCCAGCCACAGCTGCAGCTAGGCTGCAGGTGATGGTGAACTTTGCTTGCGGAAGGTGGGGGACAGCCCTTTGTGTCGGATGAGTCTCTGCTCCCCTGGGTCAGTAAACTGAGGGACAGCTTGGTTTTGTCGTAGTTGGAGTTGGGGCAGAGTTAGCAACAACTCCGGTAATAACAGCATGGAAACAGTATATACTTTTGTAATTATTTTCTTGGCCTAATAAAACCAAGCCACTTTTTAAGTACCAGCTGAGTTACCTTGTAAGATGATTTCTTTACACATGCGTGGGGATTGTCATGTCCACTGGCTGACTTTGATCATATCTCTCTGTTAAAATCTAAGTGCATTTAGAGGGTCAAAAGTCATGAAGTGGTTGACAGTGTTGACTTAAGCTATCACCAAAAACATCTCATGGCTTGCCTTTAGCAAGGAAGCCGCCATTGGGATGACACGGTGTGTATTGGACATAAAATTTGGGGAGGCCTTTTTCAGCTAGTTCTCTGATTTTAAATCTTGAAACGTTTTCATGCAGTAGCCGTAGTGCTACTGCTTGTGGTTGCTGGTTCAGAATGGGTGTGTACTTGCAAGGTTTTCTAAAATGATACATCCGAAGTGTGAGTTTTACTTTTGTAGCCATTTTGTTGCTTGGAATGAGATCATTTGGGTGTGGATTTTGACAGTGCATTGCCATAGACCGTGCCTGTGCGAGAATCATTACTGAGTGCTGACTCTCTGCAAAGTATGACTCGGAACACTTAGCATGTATTCTTTCACTTAATTCTTCTACTGTCCAAGGATTATTATTATCTTCTTTTTATAGTTGAGGAAACCAATAGAGAAACAAAGCAATTTGCGTAGTAACAGTACTGGGGGAGCCAGAGTTTAAATCTGGAAAAGTATTGTGGAGCCCGAGTCAGGTCTGATGCAATATACGTAAAGACCGTTCAAACTTGTTTGCAGTTTCTGTGGTGCTTCATCCATCAGTCCATCCTTTTAAACGGTATCAAATACACGGTAATGTGTAAGTGAAGAAGATGTACCCAAACTAGAAAGATGATCGAACTATCTTGTGGCAAAAAGCAAATAATTTAACAATAATCTTGAAAAGTTGGAGAGAAAATAGCTACAAAGGACCTTATTGGGATAACTGACAGGATTTGGATATGGACTCTGACTTAGATGACGGAACTGTATCAGTGTTAAATGTCCTGGTTTTATCATTGCAGCGTGGCTTGTGTTAGAAATGACGGTTGTGCTTACACACTGAGGTGTTGTTGGGGAGTTAAGGGAGCACACTCATCTTATTCTCCTCAGTGGTTCGGAGGAAAAGTATATGTGTAAAAACAGGGAGAGACTGAGATTTAAAATGGGTAAAAGCGTAAGTAATTGGTAACTGGGTAAAGAGTAGATAGGAATTCCTCAGTACTGTTCTTAAAACTTTCGTTTGAAAATATATCCCCTCCAAAAAAGCTACCCAAAAACAAAGATAGAAAACAGGAAACGAAGGTGTAACATTCTAAGAATTTTTTTTCAAGTCAGGTAAAGGATCGTTTCCTGTGCTCTGATTTTTTTTTTTAGGGGTTGGAGGAAGAAGCTTGAAACAACAAAAAAATCATATCAAGAGACACCTGACTTTCTCAAATGTGAAAATCTAGCCATTCAGAGCTCACCAGCTCTCCACCCTCCAAAAAAGGGCTCAGTCCTTTCCTCGCCTCTTTGTAGTGGGTTGGAGATGGGGTGGGGGGAGACCCAAGACATCAGTGTCACTAAGAGCTCAGATACAAAGACCGTCCACTTCAGTTGACACTGCAGGTTAATTTGCGTCGGCCATATCCTGGCCCTGCCTGAAAACCTTCGGTGGCATGCTGGTGTTGAGTGGGTCCCATGTCAGGACACAGTAACCTTGCTCTCAAGGGCACCCCTCCCACACCTGCCTTTCTGACTTTGTCTCACGCCACCCCACCCCCACCCTGTACACTCTGGCCGCATCAGGTCAGTGATCTTTGGGCAATCGGATCTTTTCGTCTTCCCGCCGATGCCCATGAATTGTTGGCTCCGCTTGGAAAGTTCCCCTTCTTTTCTGGCTGAAATTCTGTTTGTCCTTCAAGGCTCACCGTAACCTCCTTTGGGAAACTGTCCCTGGTCTCACACAGAATTACATTTTCCTCGGCCTGTGCGGCCTGGTCAGTGGTGTAGGTGACGTGAGCGGGTCAGTGTTACCTGCTCTCATTCAGCAATCCTCATTAAGCACATACTGGGAGCTAGAAACTGTGCCAGGGACTGGGGGTTCAGCTGCCCTCCCGGTCTGGTAGCCAGGAGTGATTTGTAAACAAATAGTCATAGAATAGGTATGTAACAGAGAAATAAACAAAGGGCTGTGAGAGCTACATCTGCTCCAGACAATTTAGTCTTGAAGAAAAGATTACAATGAAAGCCACAGTGAGATACATTTCCCTCCTTAGCGGGTTCCTTTCCAGACTGGAGATTTCCAGCACAGTAATCTAATTAAATGAATAAATTTGAAACAATGGTCATCCCTGTGGGGCTGCTGAAGCAGATATAGTCCATAGAAGTCTAAAAATAGAAGCCTGGAACTCAGGAGAGGGGTTGAATGGGGAGATAGGAACCAGACAGAGCAGTGATCTTCAGTGAGCTCAGGCAGGAAAGATGTAGGAGCAGGTCACAGCCTCGTGGAGCTGTGTACTTTCTCCAGACTCCCCACCCCTTCATTGCCCAAGGTTCTGCTCTCACTTCCTCTCAACCTGGGTGGCTCCTTCCTGGCTTAAGAATCACTATGTGGAACCAGGGACAGTGTTGACACACACATGATGTGTGTGCACCTGGGGCAGGCATGGAGCAAAGCTGAGACGTCCTGGTGGGGAAGTAGTTAAATACTTGCATGTGGATAAAAACCACCCAGGAAAGGGAGGAAGAGGGAGAGGATGGGGAGGAAACTTTGAAGAGACAAGTTGTGAAGGGTGAGTGGAGAAAGAGGAGCCAGTGGCAAAGGCAGTTGGCGAGGAAGACGAGGCAGGAAGGACCAGGACCCAGAAGGCAGAGGCACAGGGGGGTCCCAGGGGGCCTCGGGTGGGTGGCAGGGTCCCTGCTGCAGAGATGGGCTGTGGCCCGAGATCAGGCTCCAACCGTGAGGAAACCATTGCTGCCCACACCGAAGGCAGCTTGAACCAGCACATAGCGGGCAAAGTCCGGCCACACCGAATTCAGGAGCAGCTGGAACTGAACACAGCCAATACGGCAGTGTTTCCAGCAAGTTGGTAGGAAAGGGGAAGGAAGGGCAGAGAGGTGCAGATTGAGGGGAAGGTCGGATCCCAGAGGAAGGTTTTCTTGACTGTTGGGTGGGTGGGGAACGACAATCTTGAATAGCTATGTTTGCTGAGGAAAAGGGACAGATGGAGGAGGAGACATCAAAAGCATAGGAGCCAGTTAATGGAACAAGGTCCTTCAGGCATGGCTAGATGGCCAGTGTGGTTGAGAAGAAATTCTTGCTTGGAGGAAGCTCCTGGAGGATAAGAACCACCCCTTATTTACCTGATAGCCCTAGTGATCCCTGCGTGCAATGGGCATTCAGAAAATGTTTGTAAAAGTGATTAAAGATTTTGCTTTTCAGAATGCCCTTCCTGATTGTTGGAGTAGAATAACAACAACAAAATAAACACGATTTTTATCCTGTAATTAACATTCTGTAACTTGCTCTAACTAAGCAATGTATTTGTGTTCTTTGAAGTAACAGGGTAAGCAAATTGGGTGACGTTGAGGTAGTGATGATCACGAGCACTTAATCTTCCTGTGCCCGAGATTTCTTGAGCTCTGTTACAGCATCTTCACAGGTGTTACCTGCAAGGCGTCCTTCTTGGCGGGGGTGGGGCAGCTCATTGGAGGAGGAAGATGCGTGCTCCCGCCCTTTAACGGAGAAGACAGCCGCAGCTACATGCTTTGGGGTTAGAATGATTGATTATTAACTATTCAGAAAAGAACATCGTTTTGATTGTCACCTACGTCAGATTTTTGTCTGCTGTAAATGTTTCTGATATTAACAGAAACTGACTTTATGTAGAACTTTTGGTTGTGTGTAACTTCATTCTTTGGGAGTATACCCAAAAAAGCCAGCTTGCGTAAAGAAGGCGGCGTCGGCTGCTCGCAGGCTGGTTTCAGGGCGCAGATGGTGAGTGAGTCTGTGTGGGCTTCGCTCCCCGCGCCAGCTTCAGTGCTGCCGACCCAAAACCCACAACAAACATGTGAAGGCAGCTCCGGTTCACATTTTCCTTCCTACGCCTTGTAAACTCCCGTACATATTGATGTTATCTCGTTTTCTGTTATCTTTTTTTACCCTCAGTTTCACTAGAAAACTTTCTGCCTTTTTTTTTTTTTGGTATTATATCATTGCCAGTGAACTGTATTGCACAAAATAAGCGAAGCAAATCAAATTAGCTTATATAGAGTTCATGTATGAAGACTGTAGTAGGTTGATTTAAATGCTGATTTATCTTTACTGAATGAAACTGTTGCCTTTGATGGATTGTTTCCTTGAGAATCGATTGGAACCTTACTTCTTGGCTCTCAGTCTTCTCTCTGTTGTTTTCTTGTTTAGCAGCGGCTGCCTGGTCGAGGTCTTAGAACTTTAAAAACAGAAAAGACCTACTTTTAGGGGATAATGCTGAGGGACACTATGAAATCCTGGAATGACAGCCAGTCGGATCTCTGTAGCAGTGACCAAGAAGAGGAAGAAGAGATGATTTTTGGTGAAAATGAAGACGACTTGGAAGAGATGATGGATTTCAGTGACCTGCCCACCTCGCTTTTTGCGTGCAGTGTCCACGAAGCCGTGTTCGAGGTGCCAGAGCAGAAGGTAGGCGCTCACCCTGCCCTTCCCTGCCGTTGGCGGGGTGTTGCATGTGCGTGGATTTGGGGGAGCAGGGCCGAAGGCTGCCCATTGGCCAAGTTCATTACGGGTCCATGACAAGTACAGAAAGTGTGCGTCAACCTTTAGACGTTGCTGTAGCGTTTTCATTACATTTTATAAGAGTATCAACCTGGCCCTGGCTGGTGTGGCTCAGTGGATTGAGTGCTGGCTTGCATACCAAAAGGTTGGTTCGATTCCCACTCAGGGCACATGCCTGGGTTGCGGGCCAGGTCCCAAGTTGGGGGTGTGTGAGAGGCAACCTGTTGATGTTCCTCTCACACAGTGATGTTTCTCTCCTCCTCTTTCTCCTTCCCTCCCGCACCCCCTCTAAAAATAAACAAATAAAATCTTAAAAAAAAAAAAGAATATGAACCTGCAACAGACAGGATGTGCTTAAAAACCAGTTTTTCCCCCACAAGTATTTTGAGAATCACTAGTTTATAGTGAATCAGGTCTTACTAAATGCATTCATTCATTCATTCATTCACTTTTGGAGGCCGTAGTTAAGAAAAAGCCACTGATTTTTAGTGTGACTTCCTGTTACCTGGGAATAGATCCACAAAAGTAGGAAAAATTTTAAAGTCTTTTTCTAGGGCTAGTTACATAATTAGGACTATTTACAATTTCATTGTAACAGATTTGCTAACATTTTGTTTTACTTTCTACGTTTTTTTGACTTGGACAAACTGATTATGTTTATTTTCTTAAGGTTACTCTCCTTTAGTTCATGTATTATTTACCTGGAAAGAAAGAGGTTTTGTGTGTTGAGTTTTCCATTATGGCCTCCCAAAGTCTCTGGGCCTTAGTCCCACGAAGTAACTCATTTCTCGAGTGGGTGTAAGTTTTGCGTGTTCAGAGGCCCGTGGGCAGCCCTCCCACTTTGTATCTCTGCGCTTAACGTGTTCTCCTCCCGGTGACCTTCCTGGGCAGAACCCCCGAGGGCGTGGCCCGGAGCACACCTGAGTGCCTGCCGTGGGCAAGGCGCTGTGCCGGTCACTGCAGGGGGTAGAGCAGGCACTTAAATGCCTCCTGCCTCAGTTTACAGTCCTGCAGTGGTGAGAATAAGTCATTTGATGGGAGATGGAATACCAGTGTCCTTAGAGACACTTGAAAGTACGTTGGGTTATCAGCAGAGAGAGAACCCCAGTTGGTTGGAATAAACGATCGTACGGGAGGTGGCAGTGGAGTAGAGCTGCGGAAGTTGGTAGGAGGTTAGCAGGGAAAGGAAAGCGAATTCTGGCCAGCGGGAAGAGGGAGCAGAAGAACGGAATCACGAAAAGTGTGGACCACTTCAGTGAGTCGGAAGCAGTTCAGTGTGGCTGGTACACAGGTGAGATGTAGCCAAAGTCAAGGGCAGTCGAACAGAAAAGGTGAGTGTGGAACATCTTGCAAAGCTCAGGAGCTTCTCCGTGTGTGGTGAATCATCTGAGCAAAGGAGCTCCGGTCAGAGTCACCTTTCGGATTTCGGACGGTCACCTGACAGGTGCAGGCAGATGGTGGAAGGAGGGCAGCATGAAAAACTATTCGGGGTTATACAAGGGTGGGCAAAAGTAGGCGTACAGTTGGGAGTACACGAAACACAGTTCACTCTTGTATTGGCATTTATTAATAATTCTATTGATCGGTTTTATAACTGTAAACCTACTTTTGCCCACCCCTGTATTCAACCTAAATACATATGTTGGAAATTGTATCAGGAGAAATTCTAGTAGCAGTTCAGTGGACTTCAGGTTTGCTTTGTACATTCTTAGTCATCATAAATTCTATACGATAGCCTTCATGCTAATAAACTGAAACTGTGAAATATAAAGTGTTTCTATAACAGAATTATGTGGATCATCAGTTGGATACAAACCGTGACGAGAGTCAGATGCTCCCTTTGCGTTTTTCTCACCACGTCCCACTCTCCTCTTGTTGCCCCCAGAAGACCCCATTTATGCAGGTCACCCACACGTGTGCGAAAAACAAAGCAGAACAAAACCGTTTTGGTGGATTAGAGGCAGGGTAATCATAATTGCAATTACACACTTTATTTTTCAAAAGAATTTTAGTTTCTTTTCCCCTGACTTGAAGAGCCCTTTGTCTTTATAATTTTGTAATCGTTGGAATGAGCTTTTACCTTGTCCGGAATAGTAGATGAAAGAACACTGACACCATTTCTATACACAGGTGAGTCTCCCGTTTAGGTCAGTAGGTATTGGCTGCACATTTTCATCTATGCTTCTTGAAAATAGTGTGTCTGAGGTGGAGGAGGAAAAGTAAAGTATATAATAAGCCATAAGAAACATGAACGGAGGCTTAGCTCTTGGTTTAGAGTTTTGCAGCAGCACAGATGGTCATTTTTTTGTGTTTGCTCAGCTCATCGGTAGTTCTGCTGCAGGTTCAGGGCCTCGTTTTTCTATAACAGATTTGCATATTTCCCAGTATGATTTTGCTTACTTGCTCGTTGTTTTTAACTCCAGTTTTCTCTTTGTTAAAATAAGAAAAAAAATTAAGCAGGCTTCTGAGTTGAACATGAGAGGTTTTAAAAATACAGCTTGGGTTTTTATAATGTAGGAAGTAGGACTGTTGTTCGTTTTCAGTCTGTGTGTCTGAGGGGACTCCGTAAATGTTAATGCAAAGCAATATCATTGATAAGATTGACTTTATAAAGAAATGCATGTGGCTTTTGGATTACAGTCCCTTCGCACAGCCCTAAAACTGTCTCTGCTTATTTACTGACCATAGGACATTTGGTCTGAGTCGTTTTCCTAATGGTTGGGGTGTGTGAAAACATCTCTGCTTGCTCTCTCCTTCCTGCTTTTTTGATCAATGACACTTAGTATCTAATACTATTCTCAGCACAAGGTAACACCTGTTGAATGTTTGTTGAATGAATGGACTCTGTAAGGTGGTTGCTGAGGATTAGTGCGGTGATGAAGAAACAGAATTATGAGCTGAGTGAGGTTAAGTGGTATGTTGGAGATTCATCCAAAATTATGATTTCAGACACACCGGCCCAAAACCTCTTGTGGTCTGTGTACTCACAAGCACAATATAAAGCTTTCTATTAAGTATTTAGCTCTACACCTTCTGTTTAAAGAAGAGGAGAAAGTATTATTTAAGAAAAGTAAATGGTCTTTGGAAGTTAACTGAATGCACTGATTCTCAGGTTTTTAAATTAAATCAATTGTGTGTTTTCTGACACAACCTTCAATCCAGAAGAAGTAAGTCCTTCTTTGAGAAAAGGATTTGTTTTAAATTTGGGAACTGAAAAAGGGATTTGAAGGAAGAATGGTTCTGTTTAATGGACTCTGTTTTTAATAGTACCTGGAATATAATAAGATTTCTGTAAATATTTGTTTAATTGAATATGTAGCCATTCTGGCCACAAATAAATGGAAAAACATCCTGTGTCGTGGACTGGAAGACTTAATGTTGTTAAGATGTCAATACCACTGAAAGTATTCTGCAAATTCAGTGCAATTCCTATCAAAATCCCAATGACATTTCTTGCAGAAATAGAAAAGCTCATCCTAAAATTCATGTGGAATCTCAAGAGACCCCAACTAGCCAGAGCTTGAAAAAGAATGAAGTTGGAAGACTCACACTTCCTGATTTTAAAACTTAATGCAAAGTTACGGTAGTCAAAACAGTAGGTCCTTATATGTCAATTATACCCTAACAAAAATAAAAATGAACCAGTGTGGTACTGGCATAAAGACAGGCAGGCATATTGACCAGTGGAATAGAACAGAGACTCCAGAAATGAACTTTGCCTATAAGGTCGATTGATTTTCAACAAGAGTGCCAAGACATTCAATGGGGAAAGACAGTTTTTTCAACAAATGGTGCTAGGAAGACCAGATACTTACATGCAAAAGAATGAAGTTGGACCCCTACCTTATACCACATACAAAAAGTAATTCAAAATGGGGCAAAGACCTCAATGTCAGAGATGAAACTCCTGGAAGAAAACATAAGGGGAGCACTTTTTGACCTCGGGTTTGGTGTCATTTCTTGGATCTGACACCAAAAGCTTGGGCAACTGTAGAAAACATAATTAAAAATGTGTTCCCGAAAGGTCACATCAACAGAGTGAGAGGCTGCCTACAGACTGGGAGGGAATATTTTCAAATCCTATCTGATAAGGGGTTAATATCAAGTGCATGAAAGAACTGAAGCTCAACAACAAAAACCAAACAGCCCGACCCAATGATGGACAAATGACTCGAGTAGACATTTTCCCCAAAGAAGATACATGAATGACCCATAAGTGTGTGAAAATATGCTCAGCATCACCAATAATCAGTGAAATGCAAATCAGAATCACAATGACATACCACGTCACACCCTTAGAATGGCCATCACAGAAACAGAGAAGTGTTGACAAGGATGCGGAGAAATTGGGACGCTTGTGCGTTGCCGGTGGGATGTAAAGAGGAGCAGCTGTTGTGGAAATCAGTGTGGAAGTTTCCTTGAACATTTAAGCACAGAATTACCATGTGATCCAGCAAGTCTGCTTATGGGTACATTCATGAAAGAATTAAAAGTGATTCAAACAGATGTATCAGTGTTTATAGCAGCATTATTCATAGCAGTCAAAAGGTGGAAACAACAGAATAAACAAAATGCAGCCTATACACACAGTGGAATATTATTTAGGCTTTAAAGTGAATAAAGTCCTGATGCGTGCACCACGGATGAACCTTTGAAAAGAGTACGCTGAGTGAAACGAGCCAGACACAAGAGGACAGATGTTGACGTGAGTTGCCTGGAGCCAGCAGCTTCAGGGGGACAGAAAGCAGAACGGTGGTTGCCAGGGGCTGGAGTGAGGGGGAGTAGGGAGTTGTTGGGTACAGGGTTTCACTTTGGGGTGATGAGCAAGTTCTGGAGTAGTGAGGCACAACTGTGAATACGGTTCATGCCACTGAATCGTACACTTAAAAATTACACCCTAAGAATCC